TTCAACTTTATACCTTCTATCGCATTGCTTTTACGATGGTACTATCTCCTATAATGTAGCTATATTGCATTGAACACGTAATATAATTGATTTTATACAGCTATCGGCTGAAAAGACCGATAGTCAGATCCTTTACAAAGTTAAGGCATTATATCGTGCAGATACTACATGCAGCAACCATAACCCCCTCGTTCTGAAAAAACGGACATGCGTGCTACGAATCTGCAATAGAATATACGTATACAAACCGGAGGCCGCCGAATCCCCACAGAAAACAATAAAACAAGGGAAAATTAAAAGCCTCACTTTTCAAAGAATTCCCCGCCAGGACTAGCTACAGTAGCGGGCTAACTACGGAAGACAGTAGCGTCTTAAATGTACCCCATACAGCAAAAAAGAGAAGAGTCACATCCGAGCACGGAGTGCATATACCCACTTCTCGCTAAACAGTTCTCGACGCCAATTCCATTAGCCCAACGCGGCCACGGTAAGGGTGCACCGTGATCCCGTGCGCACCGATGTGGGGGGAATGCGGTTGCCGAGCGTCTCGGACATTGGGGAACGGGGATATTGTGGATCTATTTTCCTCCTTTTTTTGTTGTGGAAGGGAGATTGGGGGTGTGTTTAGGCGTTTGGGGGCTTTGAGGGTTTTGGGGGTGGCTGTGGTGGATATCCTTGGCCTGCAATGTCGCTTCGCGCAGGGCTCTGAATTGGGTTTAACTTGGGTCTTTGTTAGGCGCGGTTGTTTTGTTTCCCTACGTTTCCCTGCTGTTTCACTGCGGTAATTGCGTGTCGAGGTGTTATTGGGGTTGGGCCTTTTGCTTTTATTGCATTGCATGTTGGTCGAGCTGCAGATATGTTCTGTTGTTCTATTGCACAACATATTGACAGTTCTAACGGTCTGTGCGAACAGAGGCAAACTTTTTTTGCTATCCGTGCGATATTACGAAGTACTGATGTTCTATTAGGGCCTTTAGATGTACTCTTATCCGTAGTTGAGGCGAATACAAGCGATCCAATGTATTATAACGTATCTTGTTCTATCAAATCGAGAGATAAGCGAACCAAGCTTCAATGAGCCATGTTCACAGTAACCTTATCCTGTCGCAAACCCCGAGATCTAGGTATGACATCTATGTCTGAATCATGTCAATTGACTCAGTTCCGTATATAGGACTCTTGAGATAATAGTAATTACTTTCTTATCAAGTGGATCTATACCGGAGGTGACTGAAGCCTCCGGATCTGTCTTGGCCCTCGCTTTGAATCGGCATTATCCATCCACTCTATAGGCTATTCGATAGGCTATACTATATGTATAGGAACGAGCCCATTCGGCCGAACATCTATACGTCGGACAATCCCGTGTTAAAAGAGATGTTTTTGCTTGGCAAGTAACGTCTCTATAGCCCTAGCCTAGAGGCAGACTCGGCCCCAGCGAACATGAATCATTAGGGTGGCGATACCCGGATCGACAAAAAAACTCTGATTCCACGGGTGACTGGGTGTGGAACTTGAGTCCGTTCAGGGGTGGTCAGATCATTTTAATATAAATTTTTTTTTTACGGATGTGGCGATCGGGTGGATGTGCTTCGACGGGGTTTTCTAGAATTCTAGAAGGTCTAGGCGGTTCCGTGTGCGGAATCCTTTGAAGCAATTTTATATTCCCAAGGTTGTTCGTATAGATGTAGTCATTTGAAAATTCTGCCTATTCGGAGTACGCCGACTCTTATGTCTATCCAAGTTAGTATCCAAAGCTACTTTCTAAGGCACTTTCTTTCGCCACTAATGTTCTTTCATTAATCCCTGTGAATTCCGAGAAAGAAAAGCTTGTGTGACATTCCAATGTGGTACTAAATGGACAGGAATGATCGGCAGGGCCATAATTGGCATTGAATACAAGCCCTAACTAGTGTGCCGAGATTATATATATATATTGAGTTTCTATTATGAATATACCCTTGGAACATAATTAAGGTAACAGGGGAGGTTTTGGATGACGTGCAAGACAAAAGGCGAGTACCCTCGATGCAAGGGAGAGGGAATGCTGTGACACGGCCTTATCGTGTATTTTTGGTATTTTTACAATACTACCAGAACCGTGGGTCGAGGATTGACATTCCGGTCTCGGATGGCGTGCTAGCGGCCGCGAGATAAGAGGCTATCGTGAATTAGGAAATACCTCTGTTGTAGTATATGAATTTGTTCAGTGAAATAGAATGGACATTGTAGAGAAAATGTACATCTCCAAGTGTTCCTCGTGTTCGGTGGAGTTCAGGGGAAACGAAAATTCAAACTCGCCACGTTGGGCGCATTGGTCGTTTTTTTGTTTTTCCAGAACCCGTGGAAGCTTACACGTATGACTTCTGGAAGGATTGTGGAGTGATCAAAACAAGGCACTTTCTTTTTTCATGTAGTTTACATAATACTTGAGATTTTAATGTCAACAGAAGACTACAAAAGACGAGGTACATTTTCAAAGTAATCCCTTGCAGATCTTAGGCGCTTGTTCAAACGTGAAAGTTCAGCATGTTGCCATTAGACAAAGGTCAAAACCAGTTAAAAAAATTCCATGAAAAAAAGAATGAAATAAATCCGAATTAAGAAATAGAAAAGAGAAAAAATAGAAAAAAAAAAAAATAGAAAAAAAAGAAGGAAAAAAAAAAGAAAAAAACAATTATGACATCTTATCGAAAGACGATATCCACTTGGGCGCAGAAACTAGTTTAGCGTCACCACCTTGATCCACAATTGATCCACCTTCAGTCTACTGAGGTGCCCCCCCCGTAACGATCAAGTATTGTCATGAATGATTCCAGAATCTTTGCCCTTTTTATTCTTTAATCCCTTAGATTTCCGCCTTCCTTAAAAAATATATTGATCTCACTACACTATCATTATCATCCCTGAACTCTGAACTTACCCTCTCTGACCTACCCCTGCCAATCCTATATGCCTGTATCCCGATAACCCGCCGCTCTTTTAACAAGCTGGAGCCTCGTCCCACACGCAGGGGACGACCGGTGAGAAAAAAGCCGATTAAGGGTCCCCGACGTACACTATACGCTATGCTTAAAAAGAAGACGTTGGCTCCGTCTCTCTTCTTCCGGAACCACACTCCTACCGCAACCCCCGAATTGTCCCCCACCTCCTCAGACAGCGACTCCGAAGAGGATATGGAATCCTCTGGCTCCCGGCCAGCCAGTCTAGCCATCTCGTCGGGGGCCTTCTCTATGCGTCCGACACTCGACGAGGTGCTGGCCAACATTGCTCCGCCCCCATACACCTTGAGCGCCTTTATGGCCTACCTCTCCCAGAATCACTGTCTCGAGACCTTGGAATTCACCATGGAGGCCAACCGATACCGGGATACATACTACGCTCTAGGCGAGCGACTCGGACATGATGCTTTGGAAACGGAATGCCCAGAAACTCAGCACCTACGAATGCTCTGGCAACGGTTATTGACGGCATACATCTTCCCGGGGTCGCCCCGTGAGATCAACCTGTCGAGCGAAGTGCGAGACGCACTCCTACAGCACAAGGATGTGTCTGCACCACCCAAGCCTAAGACATTAGAGTCTGCCGTGAAACGCATCCATGACTTGATGGAGGAATCCATCTTCCTCCCTTTCGTCAACAGCCACACCACCTCCCCCTCCATGGGTCCTTCCGAACCCTTCATGGGACCCGACGACTTCATGAGTTTGTCATCGACGAGCCTGGACGAACACCCGATGAAAAGGGTGCGGTCGCGCGTGTCGAAGCGCATCTCTCCGCAGTCATCTACCAAGGATCTTCCCGCAACGGGTCACAGCCGCTCAACCATGTCCCTCGGCGCTGTGCATGCCATCGGCAAACGCTCTTCCGGCGCCCTTCTCAGCACCAGCGGCGAGTCGGCTTACCTCTCTCTGACCGACGACTCTTCCTCCCCGCAGTCCAGCCCCACCGCTGAAGAACCCATGACGCCGCCTACCACCCCACCTGCCAGTGAGCCGCATATGGCTCTCCAAAGCCCCAGACTTCGCACCGAGAACCCTTGGAAGAAGATGGGTATGAAGCTTGGCTTTAAGAAGCGTTCCACTGGAGGCAGCAGTGGTGGTCCTCGTGACACTAAGGTTCTTGCTCTTGATGAATAATCGTCTCTTTCTTCCCCGACTCTTGTCGACATATACAAAACCTACAAAACATACTCCTGACGACAACTACGACCCCCGCAACGATACCTCTCATCTCAACCTTGCATGAACTACCGAAATGCATCCCACGACTTCATTCTAGCCTTTGTCGAGCGTTTATACTGGCGGTGTATGAGAGCATGATGCATTGAAAGCATATGAAACCGGCGTTTTCTTTTTTTTTTTTTTTTTTCTTGGATGTCTCGGCTGAGCATCTTTTTCAAACTTCATTATTCTTATTTTTTTGTTTTGCAGCGGATGGCATCACGGGAAAAGAAACCCTCATATATCATATGTTCTCATCTATAGATTGGATAGAGGACCTTCACAGGTCCTCTGGACACATGGCGTTTTGTCGAGACATTGTCTTGGTCTCTGGGATTTCATTTACGGAATCAATAGACTTGATACCCCCCTTTCACATCACTTCACTCGTAACAAAGTACAAATCCGTATGTTGTAGTAGCCTTGAATACCCTAAACATGCATGCATTCGACCGTTAGGGCAATTCCAAACCCAAGACCTTGTTTCTAACCTCGGTCTTGAAATAACACCACTTATTAGGCTCCCGAGTATCTTTCTCAAACACGGTTGTCTGGACTTTCTCCCGGTCACACGTCGGACAACCAAGACTCGGAGCCCGGGGAGACATAGACTTCCATTGTAGTACAGATGCACACGTAACCCTGTTCATCCATTCTTAATACCAACACTCTATGAGACTTTGTCCATTGACTACATATAGTTATAGGCATATCAGCCAACGCCAAAGCCAAAACCAAAGGAAATGCAAGTGTAAAATGCACGTGTAAAATGCAGTATCAAATATGAATCCTCCTCCCGCCCCTCGTCTCCAAAGCCGCAATATCAACATCCCACCCAACCCCCCTCAACTCAACTAAATACCTCTCAAACCTCCCCTCACTATTCAACAACGCAAGCGTCCCCTCAACAACAGCAAGAACAACATCAACAGAAGACCCCGTAATCCGTCCCAATACCCTCGCAGCTAGTAACGCATGAACCCACCCCTTCAACTGATCTCCAACACCACACCCCCGTTTCAGAAGAATAGATGCATCCCATTTCCCATCCGACGGGGCGAGGAATAGTATATACGATTCGTGCGCGAAGACAGATGCGAGACGCGGGAGGGGTAGGGGTTCTTTGTATGACATGCTTGCTAGGAATGTAGACATTGATACACCTATCTGTGCGGAACCGAGGTGGTCGCTTGTTATATGTGTAGGTGAGTGTTGTGTCCATTGTAGCGCGCCGTCTCGGTGGAAGATTTGTTCGAGGGATGAGACTTGTGCTGGTGTGAGGATTTTCCATTCTTTGGATTGGGATTGGGATTTGGATTGGATTGGTGCGAGATCGGGATTTAGTGCCACTGCCAGAGTGTTGTCTGAGTCTAGGAGGGTTGAGAAGGTGATGTTTGCGCGTTGACGATTTAGACTTGTCATTTGCACTGCGCGGACGGCGGCGTAGTTCATGCTTAGATGCAGGGATAGCAGCAGCAGGAGGAGTAGCCAGGTTGTTGTGAAGCTGGTTATGTGGGAGATTACTACAGAGCCGACCTGTTGTTGTTAGGGTTTGGGGGTGGAGAGTTAGGGATGGGATGCTTACTAGCATGCCGAAGAGGGAAATGACGGTTTCTTGGGATGAGTCTTTCTATAATTGATATATTAGTTAGATCTGGTTATCAAGAAGACAGGAGGGGGTGTATGAATCTAGATTGATACATACGGCGTTGAGTTCTGCTAGATTTCCCCATTTGGCGAAATGGGCACTCAGGCTCGCTTTCGAGCTACCGCCGGCTACGCCGCAGAGAGCTCTGAGGACGCCGGCTGTGCTGAGGACAATTACTCGTGGCGCCCCGGCGGGAACGCCTGGTGAGAGACAGTCGAGGATCATGGCGATGTCGTTGAAGACATCTGCTGCTAGTCGGTAGGTTTTACATTCTGGTTCGAGGGCTGTGCCGATGCGGTGGGCGAAGCAGATTGTTGCAATGCGGCCTGATATATCTTGTAGGATATGTAGGAGTAGTGCGGAGGTTGGAGAGGCGTTAGCGTTGCCAACGCCGACTCCTGTATGTGGGTGTTAGTTGTTTGTGGTTTGAGTTTGGTTTATAGGGTTTGGTGGGATATGAACCTTGGAGGACGGCTCGTGAGGAGAGCAGGCCAGCTATTGAACTGCAGAAGGCTTGAAGGGAGTCCTGTTGAAGTGGATTGGTGTTAGAACTGTGTTCTAGGTGTATCTTTGATATTGCTTTTGATATGGTAGAACAAGATAGTTCGAGCTATGTGGTTCTGTCTCTGGTAGCCGGGATTGAATACTCACAAAGATTTGATATCTGTGGTTGACATTAGTAAGTTTCGTAGATCAGGGATCTCATGTATTCAACAGGCTTTTGTACTCACGGGAGATAGTCATCGCTGACACTATGAGGGTACCCGGAGGGAAGGAAAACATCACTCAGCGAGCCGAGTAGAAGCTTGGAAGACCATGAGGTAGATGAAGGGGAACTCTGTTATACTAGGTCAGCTAAGTCCAAAAGGGTTGAGGTATTAATATAGCGTTATAAGTCTTTCTGAATCATGCAATGGCACCATATTCTGAACCAACATTGAACATATCAAGATTTGGATGAGCACAATTCATATATCAAATGCAAGAAAGAGGGTATATGTGTTCCAGGAAACAGATTCATTATGAAGCGATTGGCAGGTATCCCAGGACATTGACCGGCATATTGGCCTGCTAGTCGGCAAATGACGGGCCACATGTAGGAATAACTTAGGTTGTATGCCATGTGCCATTCAAATTCCTAGTTACTAGAAACACCAATAGGGAGGTAAGAAATGACCACTTACTATTACATCTATTCGGCCTGGTGTCTTTGAAGAGGAAGTGACATCTCCCGAGTAAACATAGGTTGCAGTATAATTCCCAGCCTCATCCGTCTCCTGGAAAGTCAGTCTGTTCCCACTGTAAGAGATCATGTTCAGGCCTCGGAATGGAGAAGTAAACAAGGTTGTTCGGATCGAGGTAGAGTAGGGGGCACGTGCTTGAGACCATGTACCTTTCCACCTTAATACTTAATGCTAATATAGTTCGACGTTCTACAGGCGATATTACTATATTAAAGAGTATTATAGAAAGCTTAGTCTTTGAGAGATTCATTTCTTCCAATAGTGCTCACAGAGCCTATGTAGCAGGAACCAAGTCCTGATCAAAATCTATGTATAAAACGCACACTCCGCTTTCCGACATCAAGACGATACAGCTGCATGTTGCGCGTGAAAATAGTACACCGAGAAAATCAACCACCAGCGCCGGGTACAAGAAAACACCGAAAAAAAGGGCGGCAAAGAATGACCGCTAGAGAAAGACATCCTTGTAAATGGCCTCCGACCATCACAAGGAAAAGGTATAAAGTGAGAGTTTCTGGTCTCGGAAACTCTCGGAACGAGTGAGCAAGCATCAGGTCTGTGTCCCCAGCGACCGCGAAGGCATTGGCAATGCCACGGTCGGCCAAAGTCGACATTGTAGCCGCACCAGCCGCGAACTTGAGGCTCAAAACTCAAGCCGGCTCATCAGGCAACTTCCACAGGAAGTATCATGCCCCATTCATACATTTTGAAGATTTATATTTGCCCGAGCGAACGCTTATGCGAACATGCTCGCGCCGCCAGTCTCAATGGCCTCCATCTCGGCCTCAGTCCAGGGGAGACGGCCGAAACGGGAGGGGAGCTCAGCGCGGTCAAAGAACTCGCCAGCCTGGGGCTTGACGGGGCCCAACGCGGCGCCGGCGGTACCGCCGATGCTGCCATTGAAGGAAGAGCGACCGAGGGGGCCGTGTTGCTGAGCCTTAGCACGGTAAGTGGCAAAGGAGTCAGGGAGAGTTCCGGTGGGAGAGGCGGGGTGGACGCGAGGAGAGTGGTCAATGGACTCTGGAATATGAGGTTAGCCTAGGTTTAAAGGATTTGGAGCTCGGCAATGGGAATTTCACGTACTGGGGACAGAGCGCTTTCCAACGAAGCGAATGAGAGGAGTGCGCGCAGCGCTGCTGAGGACGGATGTGACACGCATGGTGGTAGTTATGTGGTAGTTATTTGTGTGAAGGTGGAAGGTTGGCAAGATCAATTTGACGCGAGAATGTGCGAAAATGAACGGGTCCGGTTGTATCCGAATCCGACCGAGAGGGGCGAAGCACAACAAGAGAGCGGGTTATGGTGTTGGAGGTAGTAAGAATGCTTGAGTATATGAGAGAAGGTGTAGAGAAATTAAAAAATTAGAAGAACAGTGAAGAAGAGGAGGGGAAGGTGGGAAAAGCAGAGAAGATAAGAAGGGAGAGTTACCGTTTTGGGACAAGCCGATTCGGAACCGGGTAACTTCTTTTATACGATTTTACACGGTATAATCAAGTACATCTGCAACTGCTGTACAATATTTACTACTACCTGCAGCATATTAAAATATGTACACGGTATAATCAAGTACATCAGGAATAGGGAATATATCCATGTCACGCCATATTCTCTTTTTACTTCGTACTTTGCATTTCGGAATCTCATCCCCGTAAGCCCTGGCTCAACCTTCCAAGGTTGGTAATATAATGAAGCCATCTACCCCTCTGATCTTTCCCCAGTTTGTCTCCCCGGTGAGATCCTAATTGAGCTCCTCACTCATTCTCGCTTCCTTTTCGGTGCCTGACGCTTACTTTTCGCTTTCTTTGATCTCTAACCCTCCAATCATCATCCCTATTTCTGACAATCAATCTGTGCTTCCCCATACATATTCAAGCTTATTTGCCCACACAGACCTCACCCCGCAATCGGAGGCAAAAGTCCAGAATTTTGACTATTTTGACTGGGATCTATGTAACATTTTTTTATTCTGGGATTGATATTCCGGGGGTTTCACAAGCATCGGAAAAGAAGGTTGTACAACCTCGAACTGCCAAGAAAAGGGAACCAAACAGACCAAACAGACCAAACAGAGCCAATTAGACGCTATTAGCAATAACAGCGACACATAAAAATAATCTGATCTCTGATAACGTTGCGCCACTCAAGCTTGGACCCTGACTAATACATCCCGGATTCACCCGCCCGATACCTTACACATATCAATATGCACGAGCAGTCGCTTTTCGCCTCGGTTCCAGTCCACCAACATCATGAGCTTCTTCAGCAGCTTGCCGGATTGACGGCCATGCAGCCCCGCCATTGCCTAGAGCGGAGGTTGATCTTCAAGGCCTACCGCAAACCAGGGTTGGCGGGGCGGACCGGAGCCACCCAAGACCTTCAACAGGGAGACCTGCAGAAGTTGAACAAGATGCTCAATGGGAACATGTACTATACCCAAGTGGTCGGGCCGGTTTCCGAACGGGATTTTGGCTCCACTGACCCCGTCGATCGAGACACTCAGATGGCCGGCATGGAGGACTCAAAGCCTAATGAATCATCATCGCCATCTTCATACGACTATGAACGTCAACCATGGAAGTTGGAGTTCCGTGATATCCCGGAAGCTGGTACCCGGTCAGCGGTCACGTCGCGTTTGATGTCTAGTGCCACGCTGCCGCGGGGAGATGTCGTGCAATCTATGAATGCGTGGGGCTATCAGTGAGTGGCGCCATCGAGTCAATCTTATGATCGCGGGCACTAACCCTGTCTGTTCTAGTTTCACTACTGAGTATGTGGTTGAAGGTGATATGTTCATCCACAATGACATTGCTATCTTCTTGCATCGCGTGCTGCACTACCCGGGTGGGGATGAGTTGAATGCGCCTCGGCGTCAACTGCCTGCCTTGAAGGATATGGTTTTGTTTGAGAAGAGCGGAAGCTATGTACTGCAGGCATTCATCATTGTCCAGGACGGTAGCAACCAGGAGACGATGAAGACTGCCTCGCAGCATCTATTTGGCCTGCGCGAACAGTTGAAGTCGGCCGTTCTCTTGGAGCAGGCTGATCGACTGTCTCTTGATACACGGGCGAAGTAGGACCCTACTTCGGTTCGTTTGAGCATAAGACCACAAATACCCGGTCCCCAGCGCCGGTATGGTGGTATGGCGTTGATAGAAAAAACAAGTATACCCATCATAGCAATCAAGTCCACTACATACATTTCATTCTTCTAGCTTTGAGCGTAAGAATCAAGACGGAAGTATATGCAAGGCCAAAAAGTACTCCCATAAGTAAAATATTGATACCATATACTAATGTTCAGGTAGGACATGACTGAGTGGGTAAACCCTCGGCCCTCCTACCTGGATGAACATCATCCGAAAGGAAAAAAAGGCGAAAACAAAAAACCCTCATGTCTGATTGGAGTTCAGAGACAATTCATTGAGCTTCTGCGTGCGTTCCGCACTATTTCCAGAGCATTTTCTTTCAAAAGTGACTTGCTCTCAGAAGGAGATTGTCCTCCCTCCTGTCTATTTTTTATTTTTTTTATCTATGTTTGAATATCACACTATACAACATATAAAATGTCCCTTTAATGTTCATGACCATGTGACTTCGTGATTGCTTCCGCGTCCCGGCGCGTCCAACACACATCCAACTGCAACTCGCTCCGAAATCGAAGCAACCACCTCATATACAAACTCCATAAGCTCTTCACCACGTCTCCACTCGCCCAAGCTGTCAGAATGGCCGAGGGGGCAGCCAAGAGAAGTGCCTCCCCCACCCAAGCCATCTCTCCACCACCATTGCGCCGCAAGGTTCACTCAACGGTAACCAGTGAGTCTTACTATCCACCAGCGTATTACATCTATTAGTAACAATTATTGTATAGAGAAATCAGCTGCAAACTTCTTCACCCCGGCTTCGCAAAAGAAGCCCGAACCGATCACATGGCGTGTCATCGGCACAAGTGTTATCATCGGAAAGCAGATAGCGGGCAACGCAGTATCTCACACCGACAAACAGCGCCGAATTGCCGGCTTTGATTTGGTCAGTTGAAATCGAACGCTAAGACAGTTGGCATCGAGATATAGGGCGCTGCTAACATCAATATATAGGACTCAACCCTGATCAAAACCAAATCGGGCAATGTCTTTCCCAAGTCTGCTACTGATTGGCAATGGTGGAACACCAAAGTTCCGGGGCGACTGAAGGAGCTCAACGCTGAAGGGTATGTGTAGACTCAGGGCATAGGATTAGTTGCGTCCATTCGGGCTGATACTTTGACAGATTCCAAGTTGTGATTTTCTCCAACCAGAAGAAGATCAGTGTCCAGAAGGATATCAAGGGTGGGCGGAGTGACTCAAAAAGCCTGTCAAATTTCAAGGAAAAGATGACCGCTGTCATGACGGAACTGGATTTCCCCGTCAGCGTCTACGCGGCCACCACAGACCCTGAATACAGGAAACCCCGTATCGGGATGTGGCGCGAGTTCATGGACGACTATGATCTCGACGTTGCGGGTGTTGACTTGACCGCGTCGGTTTTCGTCGGTGATGCGGCTGGAAGGCCAGGTGATCATTCAGCTGTGGATCGGTAAGAGACCATCACAGTTAGTATGTCGTGATCAAGTCTGATTTCGACTTTAGGGGATTTGCTACCAACATTGGTTTGCCATTCAAGACCCCCGAGGAGTTTTTCCTCGGGCAGGTCACGGAGCCGGCGACGATGGGCTTTGACCCTACGTCCTTCGTAAAGTCGGATCTTGGAGAGCCGGGTATGTGCTGTCTTGTGATTCCAACTCTTGCAGATTGTTGACAGGTCTTCATCGCAGCGAAACCCTTTACCCGTAAGCACCCAGTTGAACTTGTTGTCTTCTGTGGCAGCCCAGGTGCCGGGAAATCCACTTTCTACTGGAACCACCTAGAGCCTCTAGGCTATGAGCGAGTGAACCAAGATATTCTCAAGACGGTACGCGTTATAGCCAATGAAACTGAAATCGAATGCTGATGAACAGTAGCGCCCGAAATGCCTCAAGGTCGCCCGAGAGCACTTGGAAGCCAAGAAGTCTGTGGCAGTTGGTACGTCGGACCATTTATTCTTATCTTAGTTTAAACTTCATTTTTGAAGCGGTCTAACCCGACTACCATCTAGATAACACCAACGCCGACCCAGAAACGCGAGCTCACTGGACAAATCTCGCAAAAGAGTTCAAAATCCCTGTCCGTTGCGTACAATTCATCTCAACACCAGACCTATGCAAGCATAACAACGCCGTCCGAGCATCCAACAAAGAACTGGTATGTGGCAATATCCCCTCCATCTCAATCTCTCATTCTCATCCCAACCAGAACCCCGAATCCCGAACCTCCCTTCCCGGCATCGCCTTCGGCGACTTCGGCCGCCGCTTCCGCGCACCAACGTTGGACGAGGGCTTTGACGATATCATCCCTGTCGAGTTCCAGTTCCACGGCAGCGAAGAGGCGAAGGAGATTTGGGGCCAGTACTGGGTTTAGAAGTACGGACTGGTATACACCTACTACTCATGTCCCTTGGTATATGCTTACGTCTGTCTGCATTGTTCCAGCACTCATCTTGATCTCTTCGTCTGCATGCGTTGAAGCTGAAACACAGCTCGTGTTTATGAACCTAGTACCTATTGACCGGGTTTCACCTAACCCCAAAAATGCGAATGTTGATCTCGGCTGCGTCAATGCATGTCTCGGTTCTGTATCTTAGATCCAATCATTCTCCGCTCTGCCGTGAACCCTGAGGGAGGGGTATATAATGTCATTTGGGATATATTGTGTAAATCTCGTCAGCGGCTTATGCCCATCTCAGACATGACGTACATCCCGGAATGGGACATAATTATATCACCTAGTAGATCCGTACATACATACAGTACCTAGGCAGGTTATGTAAATACATGTCTGGTAAACGACCGATATCGCACTCTCAAAGTATACATAAAGTATACACTCCATCGTTGCCTAACACACCTCCACTCTCCTTCCTGGCTAGACCTAATAGACGTAATCTGAATCCAAAAAAAGGGTCTGACTCACAATATGAAAGACAAAGATTAAGTCGAACCTGTTGCCTAGAGTCCTAGACAAGGCATAAACAGGTATAGGCACCAGCACCAGCTAGCCGGGAATTGCCGACTACTAACTGAATCCAGCTGATGATTCAACGAGGCCCATCTGACAGGACAGGTCTAGGATAAAGATAATTATCTTCAGGTAATTCAGCGATTGGCCGTAGTCAAGGTGGTGAGTTCGATAGTATCCATTCCCAATCCATTTCTGGTCTTTTTTCTCTTCATGATTTATTTACATTTTTCCATGTTTGCCAGGTTGTCTAAGAAAGCGAAACAGGACATGTCATTTGCTTAACGTAGCTCATCTTTCAAAGGAAGGCGCACATGCTCTCTTTCCCTTATTTCTTCACATTTAGAGCGCTCAGTACAATCAGCCTGTACCTCCTGTCGTCTTCGAGCATATAATGCCGCACCTCTCGAACCAGCAAATGTCAGATCAATTGTTTTGGATATAACAGGATCCGCAAGAACTGGAATATTCGTTTTCAGATTCACAGCCAAAGACACCTCCGTTAAGAGGCTGGGTAGAAGCTGCTATCACCTACCCATGTGCGTAGAGTCAGGTCGCGGAGTGCAGCGTTGACTTTCGAACTGATGGAGCTGAGATAAGGGGTTGTAACCGCAACCCTATTAAGTGGTTGAGATATTTCTTTTTCGGTAGAGACTTTGAGTTGTTGGAGTAATTCGCTGATTATTTCAACATCGCTGTGCGCTTTCATCGGACGACCGAGTTTCTTGTTTAGCCAGCGATACTAAGTGCCCCATGAGGTTGTATCAGATTGAGAGAGCTGTGTGAGAACAATGCTATAGAGAGACTGATTGTTTCTGTCCATCTGTGACCTGGGTTCGTCTGCAAGTCGTTTCATAAGCTCGAGGTACTCGCGGTTTCCTTGGATATGGGCTATGTCAACGACAGTGCCGTTGTAGTAATGTACCGAGGCTGTTCTTTGGCGGATATTAGAGATTCCAGAATAGAAAGAGCATCGTTTGCTCACATATGAGGGGGTTAGGTCAAAGCCGATTCCGGGGGCATCGTGGATCTGTGTAGAAAGGCATGTTTCACAGGACGGGCGATGAAAGTCGTAAGCGTTGATAATGGAGTCATGAAAGAATAGAAAGGCTATCAACAGTCTGTTCATTTTGGAGAATTTGGATTTCATAGCGTTTGCCTAGACAAGGAGATAGGTACAGCCAGGACCAGTTGGCACTAGTCACTGCCTTTCTGAGTATATATCTAAACAAGAGCAAAGACTTAAAGTATTTCTAAGTAAATGCATCTACTATCAACATAACGCAATATAATCCAATTCAGCATGGCACTCTCCCAGTGGCAATGATACCCAAAGAATCAATCTCCATCTCATTGCCCTTCCCATACAAATCCTCCAGATACTGAGCCAGCGCAGGAACAAATCGAGCACCGCTCTGCTGCCGTTGCGTCTCAGTCCAGAAACGAGACATAATAAAATCTAACGGAACCTTCATCAGCGTACTGAACTCCGATATCCCCTGAGAAATAGTTTTCCCAACAGAAGTAAGCTGAACTTCGATCAAGCCTCGATTCCGAAATTGCGTCTCGATCCAAGTGGGATCTTCCCACCTTCCATCACCGATAGCTCTCATAAATTCTTCTGTAGATATCTGGGGAAGATTCCCTAATAAAGCTGCCACTGCATTGACATGATCGATCCAGCCAACTATCGCGATTAGACTTTGGAATTGCAAGCTCTTTCAATAACTTACAAGATCCCCAGCATAATATGCCAATTGTTCCACCCGGCTTCAGAATACGAAGTGCCTCTGACGCTCATTAGAACAATCCAGTCAAGTCAGTTTAAAGGAAAGATGAGATACCATCCAGAGCTGCTTGCGAGTCAGGGAGTGCCATAAAGACTGTCTTCCTGTTAGTATTTTTTTTTCGTACTATCAGATATTCCAACTTACTAAATGCGCCAAAGACGTGGGTGTACTGGTTATCAGGAAAGCCCGTTTTCAGGACGTCCGAGACCGCCGCGTCGGTATTTTCCCAGCCGTTTTTCTGGATCCGTTCTTGGACTGCAGTGACCATTGAGGTTGATACATCAGTGCATGTCAAGCGCCAATTCTTTTCAAAGTTGCGAAGCGCATCGTGAAGGGCGACTGCCACAACACCTGTGCCACAGGCCTGGTCAAGGATGGTGAGTGGTCCGGCAGAAGAAGCTACACCTGATTGCTTGACAAGGTCTATTGCGTATGGTAGAGTGGTTTTTTCGGCGTTTTGATAATCGGAGGCCATTTTGCTCGGTATAATAGAGAGTAGAATGGATTGTGGGACAATGATAGAAGTCTAGTGAAGGGGTTTTTATATCTAAAATTACACCAAGGTATTTAGATCCTGTCTAAGTCTAATGGGGACATAGTGGTTGCCCTGATTTCGCAATTCAAATGTCTCCGAATATACGAGCCATAACCTATGCCGCTGGTATAACAAGAGGATATATTAAGACTTCTGGGACACTAAACTCCCCCGGAGACATTTGCTCGGAGACATCCCAGATTATACCTTTTGGCTTATAAACAATTCTTTTAATCATTTCATTGGTATATAAGTGCTGATATCTGTGGTATTTCCCTATTCCTATTTAATCTTATGTCGTCGCCAGAACTATCGTGGAGTCAAGACGCATTATAGTCATAGGAGAAATCGGTAAACAAGCGCTCTAATCGAGGCTCTTTCCTCAATAGCATTCCATACTTGTGCCGTTTAAAACGGTAGCTTAGATACGGAACCAGACAGAGAAAACCTCCAGAAATATATCTGTCTTTATAATCATAAGTGTATTTTGAACTGCTTGTTTCGTCTGAATCTGGGAAGTGTGGTATTCTAAGACATCATCAATCGTGTATACCACTAAAGGAACTTTAGTTAGCGCCAATAGCGCAATTAGCAGGCATGTGACTTCTTAATACCATAGGGATTGGGTAGACGTGAGGCTATACTTATCGTCATATTGTAAAATGCAAATGGCGGTAGCTTCACAACGTGGCCGACCCACAGTTCTCTACATGTGACTCATTACAAGTGAACATGTGGGGATTCTATTATGCACCGTGTTATCTCTGTACAGTGAATTGAGTTCATTAGAATTGTAGAATGCAGTATGTAGATAGAGACATATGACATGTGTATTGTGAACTAGATATGTACATATAGAAACATGAATATGATACTTTCTGAGATGCTTTTTTTTTAGCTTTTTGTGTGAAGCAGATAGGGTTGAAGTCTATGGGATACAATTGGTGTATGGGGGGTATAAGTATAGTGACAAAAGGAGAGGAGGGTGGTACACCCAGTCGGTAGGGAACTTCTCTTTTTCCTGGTGTCTTAGACATCCAAGAAACGGAAAAGATAACCAAATAAGACAAGACTCGGGAATATAGACAAAGGAATGACATGATCCAGAACGAGAACAGTAGTCGCTCCGAATCGTGAGTCGTGAGTCATTAATAGTTCAAAAGAAAAGACCAAAAAAAGAGAGACATTAATCGTAATAGTGCGGGCGAGATTGACATCAAACAGCGCGCGGGGAATAATCTATCGTCATTATCGTTGATCGCTTAAAAAAGAAAAAAAATGAGCCCAACGAAATGACTCAAGGTCGGGAGACCAAATCCTGGAAGAAGCGGAAGAAATTCCTCTTTTTCTCAGAACGGCAGGGAACTGCAATCTCCGTAGCTGGCGCTACAGTCATTGGGCCCACAATATCCTCATCACCCATATCGGGGAACTTGTCGTTGTCATGTAGACGTGGGATGCGGACTTGCTGGCAAGGGTGGATATTGGACTGGGTGAGCGTAAGAGCTACACCGTCTATCGCGCTGAGCTGGTCAAGCATGGCCTCGTGTTGCGTGGCCCACTCGCCGTTGATCGATTCCCATTTCTCGACGGTTAGCTTGTAAATGTTCGATGTGACGCCGTAGTGTTCGCCAGTGCGGACGAGGTGTTTGGCAAAGTTGCAACGCGCAATATCCCAGTCTCCACGTAGCTGTTGGAAATGGCCGAGGTCGCAAACAACAGGGTCGTAGGGCTCTGGCATGATGGTGAAATTGGCGTGGCCGAGCTTGTTGGCCCATTCGTCATTGGGGTCGGAGAGGACGAGGGGCGTTACGTCGCCTGAGACTGTGCGTACGGTGCTGGCTCGTGGCCGGTTGAAAGAGGCCACGGAGGGCTTGGATGAAAGTGGGGGCGAGGGGAGAATTCCCATAAATCGTGGGTCTGAGGTCACATTGTAGTTATATTGTGATTCGTTCATGTCTGCCACTGTGGGGGACTGTAGGGGTGACTGAACGCGGGATGCTGCGACGCTCGTTGGGTCGTCTCCCATAAACGGTGGCAAGAGAGGGGTTGACGCTTTTTGTATATCATTGTCATCCTGGCTAAGGCTGTTCGCTCTGGTGATATCGATTGGGCGCGTGCCGGACTCGCTCGCGCGTTCTTCGAAGATCGTTCGCGCAGGAGATGGGGGAATCGAATCGACCCGGCTCATGGGCATGGAACCAACGATGGGACTGGCCAAGGCGGAGGAGGCTGCCGAGTTTGCGCGTGATCGTAGATCATCCGGGAAGATATCGCCTTCTCCACCACCAGAGGATCGCTTAGTCTTCCACCGAGCTGACATGGTCGAGATGTGCGAGTTGATGCGCGAGACACCCTTTATTGAGACACTGTCTGAGCGTCTCTTTTTCGGTGAGGGGGCAGTCTCCATGCCAGTAACGCTCAGATCGTAGCTATCTGAGTTATCGGCGGGGGTAAAGTATGACTCTTCGGCAGACACGCCATAATCAAAATGTTCTAATAGAAAGTCTAGGTTAGTAACTGTGGTATCGGGAGTGTTCTTTTTCGGGTGGCGATTAACACATACGGAAATAATGATCCTCCAACGAATCGCGTGTGCATTCCTCTTCCTTCACTCCAGTCAAATGACTCCGACTGGGACTTTCCATTGAATTTCCCAGGCCCGATGAAGAGACGAGGGAAGAGACAGAGCTGGAGACCCGGTTGTGGCCTGTCGCAGAGAACAACGAGGTGGCAGGTGAAGCCGGCGCAGAGGTATTAATAGTCAATGGGGAATGCGGCTGGCGTATAGTTGAGTCCGCGTCCAGACTTTCTCGTGTCGCGTCGATTATTTGAGACAGTTTATACATTCTTAGAGCGCCGCTGAACGGGGTGGCTGGTATATAGGGTGTGGTATTGCTTCAGCATTGGATGTGAGGGATGACCATAAGATAAAGAGAGACGTTCAATTTGAACAAGTCATTCCCTAACCTTTGGGCGGAAAACGGTAGCGGTGTGATGGGTAGAGTAATAGTCCGGGAAAGGCGGGAACTGAAGTCTAGGGCCAGTTAGCATCCGATGAGGAAATGCAAATGATTATCGTTCCAGGTAGAAAACAGTCCAAATTCAGAACAAAAAGAAAAAAAAAAAAGTAAAAAAAAAAGAAAATGAATTCCACCGAGCGACGTGGACCAAACAAGTTGACAAGACTAACTGGCTGGGCAGAAAGGGAGTTTGGCTTACAATCAGCAAACGGACTGGCGAACAGGGAGATCCTGGGTAGTACAGGAGTTTGCACTTTTAGTTTGAAGAGAGAGAAAGAGAGAATAGAAAGGTAGAAAGATAGAATAGAAAGAGTACGAGATGTTGGCTCTAGACTTCTAAGCCGTTAGTGGAGAATTCCATGAGATTCGCAAAGAAAATGAGACTAACACAACAAATGGACTAAACTCAGGCTAAAATATTTGTCCATGGTATGCTCCGCTGAGTTCCGGTGGTTGACATTACATGAACCATGGTATTAAAGAGTCTGGAAGGATTCTTATTCTTCTTTTTTTTATTTTATTTTATTTTATATTTTATCTTATTTTACACATATATTTTCATCTAATTACATCTTCATGTATATCCAATTCGATTGTTTTTCAAACCAACGGCTACACAGATATGTTGTGTAGCCCAATGTCCTACATCAGGACCCTTTCCTGAATTAGGTACAAAAACCTGTGTGTGTGTGCGATCGGCAATCTAGACTAAAGTGGATTTCCAGGGAACCATTATGATGCCATCCCGACCCAGTCACCCGGTGCTGATTCGTTCTATAGGGAAGACGCGTGTTAGATACATCTGCTTTATTATCCTTATTTATCTGTTTATACTCGGTTAGCATTCGGCCCAACTAGGTATACCCATCCCCATTCTACACACGGGCTGGTGCATCCACCCTGTTTGTGCTAGAAGACCTCCGACAACGCTGAGTAACCGCAAGGTCCCGTCCCGTAGAGGTCAGAACTTTGTCCGAGTATGACGAGTAGGGTTGTACAATGGAGGGTTATCGGTTCGAAATTCAGTATAGTGTACGATACTGGTGCGAACTCCGACAATATAGACGACTGTGGGAGATAGCACTGTTGTACTTACATGCAACAGTGGCAAGTGGTACTCGGAGAGGAGAGGATATCCAATCATAATAGCCATCGGAATGAATCCTGTCAGAGAGGGGAAAAAGACAAATCCTTTCATCTTTGGCAGACGTCAGGCCCACATGGTTCGAACCACTCTCGGGGAATTCGGGAATCATTCGAATTTTCCAGAGGGGAAAAGGTAAGCCCATGGTGTTGGTCTACCTTTGGGACTTTGGGGGCGGAAGGCGAGCCTTGGCGCAGCCACCGGGATGGCTTCGGGGTTAACGGGAGGTTGCTGGACGAGTCAACTTTTGAAGATTCCTTTAAGAATTCTTTAGGTGACTCGTCGATTATTATAATGATATAGATCCTTTGTCTCTTCAGTTATTCCCCTGGAGATCTCCCCGATCCCATCTCTCGCTAGAAGCATCCTTGCAGGTCGCTAGGACAGAACAGACCATGTCGCAGTCTAAAATGGCATAGGCTGAGTCTGTTAACTTGGGTGGCCAATCATCGCCACTCGGCAAAAACAAAGAAAAAAAGAAGCAAAACAAAATAAAAACCTAATCGTGGTTTGCTGAGGTAATCTCCGATCTCGGGCTATTATGTCATATTTAATAAAAACCTTCGAGGAATGGGTATATACCACATGGCGATATACAAAACTCTTGGACATTTAGATACATCTATACCGTATTCTCCGAGACAATATGTTGTATAATCTATTTAAAATTGCCATTGTCGTATCCAATTTCGCATGAGTGAGGGAGAAACCGGGCCGAGGGTTCTCATGCTGACACTTGCCTCTCTCGCCCGTCGGACATCCAGCGCCACAGACAGGGCACTGTCATCCCCTTGTAGCCCACGGTAGAACTCCAGCAGCTTGAGCGCGGGCTTCGAGGCGAAATCCGCACTACTGGGGCTCGTTATACTTTCCAGCTCGGCAACCCACACGGAAAACGGAACTGGTTCGACCACATACTGGCTCTGAATAGCTGGGATCAAAGACGACCATGATACCTGTTCAGAATTCGTAAGATGAAACACCGCACAGCGCTCTTCAGATGAACGGTGACGTGTGTTGACAATTTCCACTATAATATCGGATAGAGTGTCCTAAATAAAGAATGTCAGAAAGTGATCAGCAGTCTTGGCTTTTTTTTTTTTTTTCTTCGGCCGAGTTTTTCGAGCTCGTTAGGATATAGTGCTCGGATTTTCGGTGGCTTACCACTGGCACCCAGTCAACCGCGGTTGAGCCGAGTCGGTTAGGGATTTTACCCATCGCTTTCGACGTGGCGATGATCGTCGGGAGCCATTCCTGCGGATTCCATTGTCCGCGGGCACTGGTCGGTCCGGCAATCTGTCCGACGCGATACACCGACGTGGGGACATGGGAGCGTTGCGAGGCCTCGAGACAGATGCGCTCGGCAACGTGCTTGGACTCGCTGTAGCCTTGTGGGAGAACTACTGCAATGTCCTCCATCGGTACTTCTGGGATCGAAGCTCCCATTTCTGGGGTCCAAGCGCCTACTGTGCCGATTGAAGAGATGAAGTGAAGATGGGCGTTGCTGCGGCTGCTCAAGCTAAAGTCTATAAAGCGCCGTACGCCCTGGATGTGAGTGTGCTCGAAGGAATCGACGGAATGGTTGAAGTTGACTTTCCAGGCGTTGTGGATGATGGTGTCCACTGAGTCGAGAAGTTCTTCGTACTTGGATCCGTCTAGGCCGAATCGTGGTTCTCCAAATGAGGCCTGTAGGAATTCGACCTTGTCTTTCCAGTCATTCGCGTCAAGGTGCAATCCTTTCTCTTCGAAGCCCTTCTTCTGTCGTGATTCGGCATCTGAACGGTTGAGGCAGTAGACTTTATTGATGGAATCGCTGCTCAGCAGAGAATGCAGTAGATAAGTTCCCAGTGAGCCAGTTGAGCCAGTCAGTATCACGGTCGAAAGCGAATGCATTTCATTCCGAGGGTAGACTTCCCGCACTGGCAGGTCGGACGTATACTTTTCCACCAGTCTCTGGATTTTCTCTGCCCGCGGGATATCAGCTTGGGTTTTTCCATCTAGGATGGCCATTACGACTTGCGACAATCGGTCGACTGTTGGGTTGCCATAGATCGTTTGGGCGTTGATGGCTTCTGCTTTCACAGCCGGCCGACGTAGCTGGATGCCCTTCTGCAGCACCCGAGAGATATGAATGGTCGTCAGAGAATCAAGGCCGGCAGAGTAGAAGTCCTGGGTGTTTGCAATGTCGGGCTTCTCCAGAACACGGGTAATAATCTGGCGAATATACTCTGTAACACTCTCATGGTCCAAGACCTCTGGCAGGCCCTCGTCCAAATGATCCTCGGGGTCATCGGCATACATTGCATCAATCTCTTTCTCGTAGTCTCGAAGCACAGCCCGACGCTGCACGCTACCTTTAGGAGTCTTCTTAAATGGCTTCGTCTTCACCGCGAACCAGATCTTGTTCTTCATCACCCGACCATGAGCCGCAACAGCCTGGTTAGCCACCTGCACTGTCGGCCAGATCTCCTCAACAAAGGCCCTCTCATCCATTTCCAGTTCTCTCTGACTCGGCTCGATTAGCAGCCCAGCCTGGAACCGAGACTGGCCGACTACCACCGCCTTCCCAACCAGCGGGTGTCCTTCAATGATAGTCTCCATCCCGACAGGGTTAAATTTTTCCCCGTTGCTTAGGACAATCACATCATCCTTCCGCCCATTGAACTTCCACAGACGTGGGTTTGTCGGGTGTGGGGTATAGAGATCATTGGTTGGATAAACATTGATGTCGGGGTATGTGTGGAAAATGCCCTTGAAGTCGCGAGCATTCTCCTGTCGAGGAATCACCATCTCGAATATACCCTCGCCGACATCGTGTATTTCCACGTCGTAAGCTTCGTTCCATTCAAAGTAGTCCCAGTTGGTTGGGTCCTCCGGGACTAGCGCTGGGATCACGCCGGCCTCGCTGGTTCCTATTATCGATATGATTTGCGTATACTTGCGTAGTCGCTCTCCAGTCTCTAGGAACAGAGGAGCGCCGCCAAAGTAGACTGACTTCAGCTCTTCTAAACAAGCTAGCGCCTTGTCGGAGTGACTTAGGTCTTCCAACATCGAGGGTGTGCAGAGTGCCGCTGTGGGGTGGATAGTGCGCATCAGTTCTATCATATGATCGACGGAGAGTGGCTTATCTGGGCCAACGAGAGTGGGAATTTCGAACCACACTGAAAACAACAATGCTACCAGACCCATTAGATGGAAGAAGGGTGTCGTAGCCAGTACCAGATCGGTTTGATCCAGATTGTGGAACATAGATGGCTGACGACCTGCAGGCTTTGCGAGATGAGAAAGAGAATCGATGGTCATAAAGAAGCCGTTGGTGAGATGCACCGGCTTTGGCATGCCTGTAGCAGAGATTAGCGTGTGTTCACAATACCACGTTCATGGAATTTACCTGTTGTTCCAGAGCTATGGATGATGCACGTTGTGTCATTCTCCGCATCGGCATAAGATTTGGTGTATGGGTAGTGGTGCAGACCACTCTCGTCACTGAGAATTTGCTCCATATTCGGGATCTGGAAGATATCCAAGGCTGAAAGAAGGCCCTGGATCTCCTGGGTTCGTGCCTGGCGCTCCTCGCTGAAGAAGAACTTGGTGCAATTTGTCTCTTTCAGCAGATGAATGTGGGCCTCGTCCGAGTTCCTGGTGGAGGGAAAGAAGGCCTACGATATTCAGTCCGACTGTTCTATATTCAGCTTTAAGTGCTTCATTTTCTTACCTGGTATCCAGTCTTCTGACATGCAAGCATAAACATGAAATAGCGAACATCATTGCTCCCCATGTAGGCCAATGTCTCTGGGTGTTGTGCCGGTCCGATCATGCTTTCAATCCACCAACACATGAAGTTCACAGCGTGTGCCAGGTCCTTGATGGAAACATCTTGGAATTTATTGCTTATTTCCGGTCCCCGTGGAATAACGGCAAATCGCTGGCTGGGATTGATTTCAGCACGCTCGTCGACCGTTGTCGCAAGCAGTCTTTTCCGATGAGACTCCATGTTAGTTAGATCCAATGATTTGGATATGAAACAAGTTGGGCTGATGCAGTATGCTGGGAATTATTGAAGAGAATAACACGATGTCTTCGTAACCATCTATTCAAGGGGATACAAAATATATATTTATATCTAATATAGTTCTAAGCAAAACTTAATATCTAGACAAAATGATCTCAGTGTAACCTGAATCAACATTCATTATTGTTATTGTGTACTATATATGCTGTATAACACAGCCATATAGTTTATACATTATTGGGGCAACCGGTATGAACGTCAACGGGTGTAGATCATTGCTTATATTATGCTAGTTTCACTCCACTTGGAGCATATCCCCCCTGCCGAGCATTACTATGCTTCATTTTGGCTTCACAACGATGAGTCCCTCCACTTTATCGGGATATTAGTGCCGGACTAAGCTTGGAATGCGAGGAATGTCTGTGTATGAACGCAAGTGGGCCAGACATAACATATTAGGTTAAAATGGTTTCACAAAAAGTCACCACGCGATGCCAGGATGGTTCATATCGGTAATGATCGTCCTATACGCACCGATATATAACAGCCCTGGAGGATAATATCGGGGCCTTTCTGATCTGGTCTGTCGCCGTTTTACGAGAACGCCCACCTGTGCAAGCTCAGATTCAACAACTTGTTAGCTTATGGTCTTAATGAATGTTTTGGAATCTAGAGCAATTAATACGAATATATAGAGATTCAGAGTGAAACACTTTAGGAATTCGCCAATTCTGGAATCGTTGGGTCATCAAGTGTTGAAGGCTAGTTCGGTATTGTTATTCTTATGACTAGCTTCCATACCTCACAGTTTCTGACACCGATAGGGATCTATAGAAAGCATAAAACTCTTTGAATCGGCAGTGGAAGGTAGGAAAGTACAGGAATAAATACACATTTTGTGCCTTCATGTCTAATCTTGGTATCATGTAAGTCTCTCCGCGTGCGCAGGATTTAAGTAGTATTATCACCTGGTTATAGATCGGTGACTCTTTCTGCCAATAACTCTGTCATTGCTTATAAGACATGAATGTTGTTGGTGTTTTAAGGTTACAATCGAGCTAATTGTGGATAGAAATGAAGTAGTAGTAGTGAGCGGTCGGCAGAAGAAAGCGTCTATAATTATTAATATCATTGAAATTTTAGTGATGAACACAGAAGACAGTATCATTGAGGTATAATTTCAATAAGGTATCCATCTGGGTCTTCCAAAAACGGAATATCCACGGCAGCTTGCCACAAATAAGTATCAAGACCCTTGTCAGGTGATTCAGTACCCAAGAACGTGGCCACCACTTCTGAACCCAAACTTGATCCAACTTCTTTCACAACTTTAACTTGGTGGGTTTTGATATATTGCACGGCCTTTGCCATATCGGGAACACTGAATGCCAGCTTGACGAAACGGAAGTCCGGGTAATCACTGGAGTCGGTCATTGTTTTCTTGGAATTCTGGAGACAACATTAGCCATGTACCACCGAGTATTTTGACGAGCAGTCATTACCTTTGAGCATACAAGTTCTAATACACCTTCCCTGGCGAAAAGAGGGGTGTCTGGGCTTGCTGCGTCGGGATACCCGAGGAAAACAACTGTGGTTGTATCCAAGGGCATCCGGGCAAGCTCACTCATGCCAAACACACCCGTATAGAATGAAACAGATCTATCAATATCCGCAACGCGGAGACCGACATGCGTCAGTCTAAATCCCTTTGTAGGGGCATCTGATGACATTGTATTCAATTGAAAGCAGCCCAATGTGGTTGTATCTAAATCTTTCTTGGAGGTTCTAGTGTTCTATTTAAATCACAAGTCTGTCGGGTTACGGAAGGCTCATGGGCCGTTCTTTTCTTCCCTTCTGGTGTTTTCGGCTGCCGGAAAGTCCCTGAACCGAATTTATAGTGGGCATTGATTTCTGCACAGGGGCCCACCCAATCAACCGCCAATACATCCTTTTCCTAAATGGGAACTGAATTTGCTATTGATCACTAATGACATGCCCATTTATTATCCTCTCGAAAATGCTTACACGATATCTCAGACGCGCGGCCTTCCCGAACCCTTCCTTGATTATTGATGGGAATACTAAGCACATGAGGTCCAATATTGGTCAGCAATAGTTTTTTTTCCAAGGTTGGTACCTAAAGATACGTCTGATAGCGCGGTTGTTCCCCATACATAGCCTGTTATTCGCCTATCGGCCTATTCACATTTGTAACATTCCTTTAAACGCTCTGGACACTTGTTTTCGAATTTGGGAACGCTGCACCAGTGTGCTGGACATTGCCAGCGCGAGAACAGAGGGCACTCAGTGTTGTTGCGGCCAACATGGAAGAGACATCAGTACTACCATCCTTTGCTAGTAACTATACAGTTTTCTCCTAGATCACGAAGTGCCTTTTCAATATGCACCTATCACATGACTTCTGACTACTATACTATTATTACATGTAATGTTCTCCATTTCTCTCAAGTCCCCACTGCAATGACTGCAGGAAAATAATCGCTAGAGTGCTAGCGATGATGACATGAAGCCCGGAAAATATGTAGGCATTGATCGTTCAGCCAGCCTACAATTTCACCAAACTATTCCAAAATTAACTCTATTTTCGTGGCGGAAAAAGATGATGTAATTTGCTAATTTGTACTCCGTAGATACTACAGAGGTTCCAAGACATGGGGATTAAAAATCGTGAATTTCAGCCAACATGGGTATACGTGGAGTCCCACCTCGTATGTATCTGCATCTTACACATGCACGGATTCTCAATATGATCACACAAACTAGATTTGTCCCCACTACCCTTGGAGTTTTGCAAAGCTCCTGTGGGTTGCCATTGGACTGAAACTCCCCACCCCGTCACACTTGTAGATCACTCAGCTAGCCACTAGGTCACTAACAACGATGGACCCACAATGTGATGGAAATGGATTCTTTAAGCGATAGAGCTATGCAGCTACATTTTACAGAGTATAAGGAGTTGTATCTAAGCGATGACGTCAAGGCATTCCTTGGTCTATAAGTAGGCGAAGATTGACACCGTAAGGACTGATCAACAACCAATTTTTACTACATCATGACAATGAACCAGGGCCCTGGCTGCCCTGATATCTTCAAGCTCACACCAGACGAGTTTTCCAAACCATGGGCCATCTCAGTCGATGGACTATTTGTTTGTCTAAAGCCAGACAAATGGTCTGATAACTCGATCCATCTCCTCACAACCACGCAGGCCGACCACGTGAAGGCCCATGGTGGCAAACTTTATGAATGGCATGTGGTGCAACGGGTAGTACATAATACTGTTTGTTTCGGATTTCGCAATGCATACAGCGGAAAGTGGCTGGGCGTCAACGAAAACGGCGATGTTACATGTACTGCCAGCGAGTTGAGTGACTGGGAGACATGGCGTACTGCAGGATATATAAATAGAGATGGGATGAAATTTTTCTACCTTTCCGTGTTGTTCAAAGGAAATGACCGCTATCTCATACAAGCGCAGGCGGGTGATGAGCTTCCATTTCTCAAGCTTGCAGACAGCGATGAGCCGGATCCCGCCTATATGGTTCTCTTTCCGCCCTTGTTTGTTTGATAGCCAGGTAAGAGTTTCTATCTTTATATTACAATGCTATACTAATATGATCATAAGGCAACAACATCCCGGTGGACAATCATCATCAATTGAAAGCGGTTACCAATCGATCACTTATGGAACACATTTGTGTCTTAGCTAGAGGGAGAACCATTCAATCACCATTTCAACCGCTCCGTAAACCGATGAGGTATATCTATGTGCATATGTAGGTACACTGCTCAGGGCTTGGCGTAACTTATTCCCGCCGACTCACCCTTGTGTAAATGTAATTTCCAGTGTCATATCTGTTTGAGAATACATCATGACAGTTGGGTAGCAATCGATTGAATTGAACTCCTGATGCTAGATATACATACGTGTAAAGCCCATACCTGGATGACTCTCACGGCCATTTGCACTTTACTCGCACGAGATAACAAGGCAGGCAGGCAGACACACTCCAGTAAGTGGAGACCTAAATCGGCAAGGACAGGGACCGCTTGCTAATCGCTTCATCCACGATAACGCAGGTCTGAAATTATACGGCCTTCTAGGCAAGCACAGCCCACATACTAAGCACCCGTTCTGTGATGCAAGGTAGAAGGCAAAACGACTAGGTTCTATACCACATTTCCAGAGCCCTATCTTGTTGTAGTTGGAGATATGAAAGAGCTCTAGCCTTGGTTCAAGCATGAAACCTTAGGGTAGCGCATGACAGCGCTATACTCAAGGTCGCTTATACGGCCGACTATTCTTGTTTTTCCCCAATGAAATACCTCTTTCAAAGCTTCGTCGTTCTTGCCGCTAGATAGAAATATTAATATTAACTGTGATGTTTGTGTGACTCGGGTCGAATGCCGACCCTGTATTCATAGTTAACATGAAGATATATGTTCGGGATTACGGACGAATGACTACGAAAAACTGGCCGGATATGAACCATAGCAATCTAACCCTATCATGCAATGAAATGGAAAATATAGACCTTATATGCATAATAGGATAAAACCCGTTCTATATCTAACCCTAACTATTGACCTTGTGTTTTGTTGATATCCACGTGACCGTATACCGTCGGATTTGTTTCCGATCTCGGGCCTCGGACCTATTGGAAGCTCACAAAATATTCAACTCTCTAAGTGTCGAGGTCATTCAATTGCCCTAAATACAGGAACATAAAATCACTGGATTAAATTACTCCCAATTATTCAATGAAGTTCTCTTCATATCTCGCGGCCGCGGCCATCGTGTCCGGTGTCCAGGCTTCTCCGCACCCCGCACCTCAGCAACAACAGCTCTTGGGCGTGCCATCCTCAGCCTCCCAGTCCAGCTACAGCCAGGAAGGCCTAGACGATATAATCAGCCACTCACCTCTACTATCCCTCCACCGAGACCTAGTCAAGATCTCATCAATCTCCGGCAACGAGCACGATGTCGGCCTCTTCGTCGCGCAATACCTAGAAGCCCGGGACTTCACCGTGGTAAAGCAAGAAGTGCCCCCAGTGAAAGGCCAAGAGGACGCCAAAACCCGCTACAACATTTACGCCATTCCGAAATCATATACAGAACCCCCCTCAATCCTCCTCACAAGCCACATCGACACCGTCCCACCATTCATCCCATACTCCGTGCACCAGCCCGACTCCACCTCCACCTCCCCCGACAACCTCATCCTAGCAGGCCGAGGCTCCGTCGATGCAAAGGGCAGCGTCGCAGCCCAAATATTCGCAACCCTCGAAACACTATCCTCAAACCCCGACGCCAGCCTCGGCCTTCTCTTCGTCGTCGGCGAAGAAATCGGCGGCGACGGCATGAAACTCTTCTCAAACTCATCCCTCAACACGAACTTCAAAACAGTCATCTTCGGTGAACCAACAGAGGCTGCCCTCGTCGCAGGCCACAAAGGCATGCTCGGCTTCAAGGTTCTCGCTCACGGAAGCGCAGCGCACTCCGGATACCCATGGCTAGGCAAGAGCGCTGTCTCAGCGATTCTGCCTGCGCTCTCGCGCGTAGACGTGCTAGGTGATATCCCCGTCGAAGAGGGCGGTTTACCTTCCTCCCCGAAGTACGGACCGACGACGCTGAATATCGGCGTTATTGAGGCTGGAGTCGCGACGAATGTTGTTCCTTCTGAGGCGTGGGCGGATGTTGCTGTGAGACTTGCGGCTGGTACGCCTGATGAGGCGCGGGAGATTATTCAGCGGGCTGTTGATGAGGCGGTTAAGGATGCTGAGGCGGAGGTTGTTTTGGACTTTATCTCTCATGGCGAGTCTTATCCCCCGCAGGATTTGGATGTTGATGTTGATGGGTTTAATGTTACTACCGTTAATTATGGTACTGACGTGCCGAATCTGGTTGTCGGTGCTGATGTTAAGCGCTACTTGTATGGGCCTGGCAGTATCTTTGTTGCTCATGGTGATAATGAGGCGTTGACCATTGGTCAGATGAAGGAGGCTGTGGTTGGTTATAAAAAGTTGATTGAGGCTGCGCTGGCGAGAGAGAAGGGTGAGGTGGCCGTATGATCGGTTACTCGTTTATTGTCTTGATATAGGCATGATGTCTGGTGCTGTATATACAAAATTTCGGTTACTACGTCTTGCCTCTGGGTCATCTCAAGTCACCGCAGAACATCAAGGCGATGGCTTGACTTGACGTATGAATGCTATCATTATATGTCACTAATGGGCAAAGAGTATTGCTTACTGAAGAGAAATCGGTCATATACAGAAGGTTGGTATACAAATCTACTAGGCTTTCCTAGAAGGAGAAACAGAAAATGACAGGAAAAAAACGCTGTACAGAACACATAAGAGACATCAAAGCCATAAACAACCAAGGCTCAACCCATCATATCTACTGCCTAGGTGCTCTCTCCCACCCCGTCTTAAGATCCCCGCTAGGTCTAAACCGCGGGAATGGATGGGCTTCAGTATTGAAAACGTGATCCTCCAGCGAGATGAAATCACGATCCGAGAACAACAAGTAGAAATACTTGAGTGTCTCAGCCATCCAGTAGCTCTCCATATTATCGCGCTTGTACGAAGGAACTGCATCCGCGTTCCCAAGCGACGTAAAGCCCCTGATACGGAAAACGGGTGCTGTGTTGGTTGATGTAGGAATACGGGAGGTACTCTTCTTCTCGACCACGGCTGTGTGCTTGATGAAAGACTTGAATATCTCCCAGCCCCACTGCCGGTAAATGTCATCGCCAGTGATACGGTAGAGATAGAAGAGGGACTCGACTGTTTCGGGGCGTTGTAGATTGTGGCGGTCGTTGCGATGGATATCGATGTCCGCGCGCCAGGACTCGGATGCATCGCTTTGTGTCTCCACGGGCTTGGAGATGCCGCGCAGTGCCTCCGGCTTGGATGCACGGTTGGGGTTCGCCACTGGATCTGAGTACTTGTCTGCCATCATCACGGGTGGCGAGTCTAAGACGAAGTGGGAGATCTCGGCTGCGAGGCCGGTTGCAGTTGCCTGGTGCATTGCCCAGCAGGTTTTCATCAATTCTCTGGACATGAGGATCTCTTCCTCGCGTTGTTGAGTCCAATCTGCTGATTTTCGGGCTTTGGACAAGGGCTGACCACCGGTTGCGCCGAGGGCGATTGTTCCGGGCATGAAGCAGACCAGGTGGTCCATTCTGGGGGACAGGTCCTGGTCTAGGCCCTGGGGCCGCTCGCCGATAATCATCAGCTGAGAGTTTTTGGTGAAAGAGACTAGGTGCTTGCGGATGCCTCTCAATGCCTCATCCCACATCTCTTTGTAGATGGGCTCCTGTTCTGAGGTCTGCAGGTATTGCTTGATGAGATATTCTGGAGCGAGTCAGCTTAAAAGAACCACGGAGCACCGAGTATCATCAACACACCATAATACGAATCCGCCTTGTTGCCTAGACTTATGCTGTCGCCTTTGAATGCACCATTATCAGGATGAATGGCGGTTCGGACAAGGCCATCCTGCGGCTTTTGCAGGTCAACCAGCTTCATCGCTTTTTCAACCACCTTCCAATATTCTGCCTCGCCGGTCAGCTTGGCCAAGTACTTGAACTCAAGCTGTACCGAGCCAGCCTCAGAAGTAGATGTAGCTCCCTCGTCGAAATGCACGACAACACCTTCAGACGTGTTGAGATTGACATTCGACCATGGGATTCCGCTTGGAGACTCAAAAGCCCCGAGTAGCCGCTCAGCAAGGTCGGCAGCTTTCTCAATGTACAGGTCTTCACCGGCAGCCCCAACATCATCGTCGTTGAGGGGTGCCAAATCGGGGTATTGGGTTGACAGATAGTGTGCAGACAGCAAACCACCTAGCATGCGGATAGTGGTCTCGAAGGTACTAACATCGCGATCCTGGTTATAATTTAACGATGTTGAGATCCATTGCCGCGCACGGTGGACCTTGGAGGTCAGATTCATGATCATCAACGTGTCCAGTGAGTCTACTATCATCCAGCCTAACCCGCCGGTCGTGTCTTCCTGGTTAACGTTCGATACTGGGCGATACTGATCGTATCCTGAATAATGGTGTCAGCGCTGTCATAGTGCGCAAGGCTGCTGTATGCCTTACCCCATGCGTTCTTCTCATATCCTTCCCAACTGACGATGAAGGCGTCCCGCACTTTCTCTCGTCTCGCAGTCCAGTCAGACAAGTCCCCAGAGGTTTTCCCGTCTTCCAGTGTCTGCGCCCATTTCCATAATTCTACTCCTTTATCATTTGACTGTAGCCCTGACCAGGTGGGGAGGTAGAAGTTATAATACAGTACAAACAACACTGTGCACACGCCCAGCACGTTCAGGAATGGTCTCCACCTCCTTCGAGGACCTGTGCGCCGCGGTGCGAAGAACGGCTTATCTTTGTATAAAGGTAGTGTGCGGTCCCTTTCGAAGTAGCCGTTCACTTTATTGGATAGGGGGATGGGCTGGTTTGAGAGCCCGTATCCGCGGAGCCCGCTACGAGGGTTTCCGTAGAAGCCATCTTGTTGCGGCGCAAAGGGACTGCGCGGTGGCTTGTAGGCCATTGTATTCTTCGATCTTGTCTCTTGATCCGTAGGGGAATCTCTGCCGGTCTTGCGATTACCGAGTGCGCCACATGGGAGTGAGGAGGTTGAGGTGGCGTGGGAGGATTCGCCTTTCTTTGGTGTTGTTCAGTATTTCAATCCGAGGTTCATTCAAGCGCATCTACTATCAACATGCAACAATTAGTCAAGTTTGACACAGAGCGAGGATTTGCCTATTCGGGGCCCGGAGGACACCCGCACACTTACCGAAGGACAACCCTTTGATAGAGTGTTTGCGATGTACAGATCTTGATCGCAGACAATCTGATATTTCGGCTCTAAACAGCAAAAAAAGCGAATATGTACCGATACCGTTGTGTTTGGTGGGTTGGTGTTCCGTAAAGAATTTCGTTGCGGAGATGCGGAGCGCGGAGTGTTATCCCGCGTGTCAACAATCCGAAGGATAAAAGCCAAGTATTGCCTTCAATCTTCGAAATAAAATCCGAGCGAAAACCGAGGACGTGGCAAGGGCAAGTTAATGGGGAAGTGGAGAGGCAACACTAGTCTGCAAATCATTTCATTGTACGCGTAACCTCATAACTTATGTAGTTTAATATAAATGAACCCGGAGGGAGCTATCTACCAATCCAATATTGACTAATTGGAGCTACATTCTCCTACCAATTAAACAAGCTATTTCCAATCTTCAGACTCTGAGAATATAAGAATAGGTCGAATGCTTAGCATTAGCGCTTCAAGATAAAGATCTAAACCGTGCAGATGATGTGGACCCCCACAAGGTAGATACAATTACAGCTTCTGATACTCAAGCTTGCCCTCCAGCTTCTTCGCCTCTGCTACCTTCCGTACAGCCTTGTTGAAATCATCCTGGTTGATAGCGTCACGGTAATCCTTGATCGCGAACAAACCACTAATAAAGAGTTAGTCAAGTTACGGCTTATTAGATAGAAGATGTCACTCACGCTTCAGTAACCACATTTCGGAGATCGGCACCGTTGAGACCGTCGCTCATCTTGACCACACTCTCAAAGTCGATCTCGCCTTCCTGTTGGACTGTGCTTGTGTGGATCTTCAAGATCTCCAGACGACCAACCTCATTGGGAAGAGGAATCTCAATCTTGCGGTCCAGACGACCGGCACGCAACAGAGCAGGGTCTAGTGTATCAGGTCGATTGGTGGCCATGATGATCTTTGTCTTTCCTAGGTAGTCGAAACCATCCAGCTGGTTCAGCAACTCCATGAGCGTCCGCTGAATTTCTCGATCTGCCGATGTACCCTCTGAGAATCGTCGTCCACCAATAGCATCAATCTCGTCCATGAAAATAATGCAGGGCTCGTGTTCCTTGGCGTATCCGAACATCTCTCGGATCAGTCGGGCGGATTCACCGATATATTTGTCCACGATGGCCGAGGATACAACTAATGAGAGTAGGCTAGTCAGAATATTGCGAGTGCAAATGCTATCAGAAGTTGAACATACCCTTCAAGAAATTGGTCTCCATCGAGCTGGCCACTGCTCGTGCAAGCAATGTCTTACCAGTACCAGGAGGACCGTAGAGCAGAACACCCTTCGGAGGCTTAATTCCAACTCTGAGGAAGAGTTCTGGATTCTTCAGGGGCAGTTCGATGACCTCACGAAGCTCTCTGATCTGGTCGTTAAGACCACCGATACCCGCGAAGTTAACGGACCCTGGATCTTCCAGAGACATGTTGTACACCATGGGATCAACTTCACGAGGAAGCATCCGCATGATGGTGAGTGTTGTCATATCCAAAGCCACACGTGTGCCCTGCTTCATCTTGGACTTATCCACCTTTGAACGACAGCCGACTACATATCGAGGACCTGATGACGCCTTGACGATGACTGTAAAATCGGATTAGGTTCGTGATGCGATTATTGAAGCAAAAAGGCCGAGCCTTGGATACTTACATCGCTCTTCGTCAAGCTGCTTCAGCACCTCACCGATGATCTGACCAACACTTTGTAATGCCTTGATGTTATCCTCAGAGACATCAAACTCTCTTTGAAGATCCTTGATACCCAAACGAAGGGATTTCAACTTGGCTTCCCATTCTCGTAGCTCGAGCAAGCTCTTTTTATAGTCCTCGAGCGCCTGGCTGCGCTCCGGGTCGCTCATGATGAAGGACGGACGAACGATAAATTCACCGAGTGTGGATGAGTAGGGATGGTGGCCAAGGGGGAACTGTAATTCAGATATGAATTCAGGATTTCGTGTAAGGTCGTGGATGCGAAATGGATGGATATCGTGATTGAAAAGGGCGACAGCACCTTGCCTGGGGAGCTTCCAGCTTCCAGCGCGGCATCCATGGGAGAGATCACATGACCTAAGATCTGCCTTATGTCATTATCTTGGTCATCATTAGACACCTAAGGCACAAAGGCACAAAGGCATGAAGGCATCCACGCTGGAACAGTCTTGGAGTACGGAGTATAGGGCAATGAGTTGGGGAATTGAATTAATTCTGTGCTATCTTTGTGTAAAATAAGAGACAGTAATGTAGTGATAATAATATGTAGTCTACATTCCAAGACGGTTCCCTTTTTAGATTTAGTCTCTGACATCTATATTATGGGTACTGTTAATCTTTGCTTACTTTGTTCTCTATATATTTCCTATATCTTTATACTTTCCTTTCTCTAGCTGCCGTCCTTTCACAATTGAAATGCCTCTTCATCCAACTAAGCCGGCTATTGATGGTAACAGCTCGGATAGGACGATTATCCGAAACGGAGATAGTTTGGCCTCAGAAATATGGCATAAACAGCTGTCTTCGTCCAGGTTAGAACGGAAGAATGCTACGTAAGATGAACACTTTCTTTTTCTTTCACTTGAATAATGTCCTCAATGCACATAGGTAACATTAACCCATCCACTAAGGGGGTTTCTACATAAACTCAATGGGCAGAGGGGTAGAGGGGTATGCTGTACGATGCTGGTACGATGCTGTAACAGGGGCATGCAATCGGAGAACAGTCGTCATAGTCTAATATCTTCCGAGGGACGGGAGATCTCGTAGCTAATGACACCGCATATGGTCGGATCAGCCAGCAAGCGTTGGAGAATGACCGTGGAGCCCCACTGTTGCATTGGAAAGAATCGGAGCAGCAATGAGCTTTTCCCGGGGTTCTCTGGGGGAGAAAGTATTTAAATAGTCGGGTGTCTCCGTAACCTTTTGAAGGTTTCTATTTATTAACTTGGTTTCTTTTTTTTTTAATAAGGTAAGTTTGAATTGTATAACATCACCATCATAACATCATTGATATACCCCGCCAATATCTTCTACCCCTCCAACATACACCTCCTTTACCACACTACACTGGTCTTCTGGAAAGGAATAGAAACCCTACCAAAAGACATACCGGTGATCGTAGTAGGAACTTGCCCCCCGTTGAGCTCTACAAGCAAATCATATCCTTCTTACCCTCTCCCGCCCAATCTTTTTGGGTCATCGGTGAACCTCCCCCCGCCGTTAGTCACCTGCAGCTTTTGCCATATATCAGCCCAGATCCTCTTTTTCTCTTTCTTTCAACTGACTGAAACTATAATCAGCCTGTCCAATTCCAATATGCCTATCTCTAAGATCCACGCTCGCTCCGTCTACGACTCGCGCGGCAACCCCACCGTTGAGGTGGATGTTGTCACCGAGACCGGTCTTCACCGCGCCATTGTGCCCTCCGGTGCTTCCACTGGTTTGTCCTCCTTGACTTTCAGGTCAACACTACAATGAAAGATTAGATTGCTAACATTAACTAGGCCAGCACGAGGCCGTTGAGCTCCGTGATGGTGACAAGACCAAGTGGGGTGGCAAGGGTAAGTGAATGAATATCGTTACCATGTCAGTAATCAGAAACTGATAAATCCATTTCAAATAGGTGTCCTCAATGCCGTCAAGAACGTCAACGAGATCATTGGCCCCGCCTTGATCAAGGAGAACATCGATGTTAAGGACCAGGCCAAGGTTGACGAGTTCCTCAACAAGCTCGATGGAACCGCCAACAAGGGCAAGCTCGGTGCCAACGCCATCCTCGGTGTCTCTCTGGCCATTGCCAAGGCCGCCGCCGCTGAGAAGGGTGTTCCCCTCTACGCTCACATCTCCGACCTTGCCGGAACCAAGAAGCCCTTCGTCCTCCCCGTTCCCTTCCAGAACGTCCTGAACGGTGGCTCCCACGCCGGTGGTCGTCTCGCCTTCCAGGAGTTCATGATTGTACCTGAGTAGGTCTTCCAGCTTTGCAATGTGTTGCAACTATAAACTGACGAAAACACAGCACTGCTCCCACTTTCTCCGAGGCCCTCCGCCAGGGTTCCGAGGTTTACCAGAAGCTCAAGTCTCTCGCTAAGCAGAGATACGGTCAGTCCGCCGGTAACGTCGGTGACGAGGGTGGTGTCGCTCCTGATATTCAGACCGCTGAGGAGGCTCTTGACCTCATCACCGATGCCATTGAGCAGGCTGGCTACACTGGCCAGATCAAGATTGCCATGGATGTTGCCTCCAGCGAGTTCTACAAGGAGGATGCCAAGAAGTACGATCTTGACTTCAAGAACCCCGAGAGCGACCCCACCAAGTGGCTCACCTACGAGCAGCTTGCCGACCTCTACAAGTCCCTCGCTGCCAAGTACCCCATTGTCTCCATCGAGGACCCCTTCGCTGAGGACGACTGGGAGGCCTGGAGCTACTTCTACAAGACTTCCGACTTCCAGATTGTCGGTGATGACTTGACTGTCACCAACCCTCTGCGCATCAAGAAGGCCATTGAGCTCAAGTCCTGCAACTCCCTTCTCCTGAAGGTCAACCAGATCGGTACTTTGACCGAGTCTATCCAGGCCGCCAAGGACTCCTACGCCGATGGCTGGGGTGTCATGGTCTCTCACCGTTCCGGTGAGACCGAGGATGTCACCATTGCTGACATCGCCGTTGGCCTCCGCGCCGGTCAGATCAAGACCGGTGCCCCTGCCCGTTCCGAGCGTCTTGCCAAGCTTAACCAGATCCTCCGTATTGAGGAGGAGCTTGGTGCCAACGCTATCTACGCTGGCGAGAAGTTCCGCACTGCTGTCAGCCTGTAAATGCAGCCTTTTGGCAGCATAGATCGGGCCTGATGAGGGCCCATCAAAAACGATGGTTTGATGTTCTACGGAGCCATTGCCCATGATGATTATGAATTTAATAGGATCTTTTTCAATGAAACAAATTTCCACCACTTTGACAAGCTAAGAAAAATAAGTACAACATATGTTGTAAATAGTAAATGCAAGTAGAAAGATCATGCTCATCGGGCATCTAATGCCCGAGATCACGTGCACATCCCACCTGGGGACGATAAGTGTGTCCCACATAAAATTTGCCCTCGCCCCTCCAATCCTTTGCTGGGTCTCCGATTGTTGGCTTGTTCCTTTTGGCCTTGCGTATAGCGCATTACATTCTTTCACTTCTACCAACGAGCTTTTATATTTTCAAAAATGCCGCCTTCCAAGTGGGGTATGTTGTTATCCTTATATTATCGCCTTGTATAGTGATTGCTACAAATGCTTAGCTCATGTTCTAATTCCCATTGCTGATGCTAATCCTTTGATCCTAAACAGACGAAGAAGAGGAGGAGAGCCCCGTGCCTCCTGTTGTTGTTGCGCCTCGCCGCCGCTTCGACGATGAAGAGGACGAAGATGTAAGGCAACACTTTATCGAACCTGCCCAGCAAGGCCCCACCAAGTCCGACAAACTAACCCCCGAATAATAGGTCCTTGACTCATGGGATGCCGCCGAAGACTCCGAAGTAGAGCGCGAGAAGGCCAAGAAGGCCGCCGAAGCCGAGGCCAAGGCCAAGGCCGCCGCCGCCGCCAACAAGAAGACCAAAGCCCAGCGGATAGAGGAACTCCGACAGCAGCGCCTCCGCGAGCAGGGCAGCGATGAATCCGAGAGCGAGGACGAGACAACACGCCGCGCCCGTCTGCGCAAGACCGAACAGGAAGCCGATCTTGCCCACGCCGAGGATCTTTTCGGCTCTGTTGATGTCAAGCCCAACAAGGGTGCCCCCAAGGCCATTGTTGTCAGCGATTCATCCGACCCTACCAAGGCCGTCGATCTGTCCGCCATGCCCCTGTTCAAGCCCACCACCAAGGACCAGTTCACCCGTCTGACCGAGATCCTTGTGCCTCTCCTCACCCCGCACACCAAGAAGCCCCACTACTCTCTCTGGGCTCAGGACTTCACCCGTAAGCTTGTGAAGGACTTGCCCAGTGCTGAGATCAAGAAGATTGCTAGTGCCCTCACTACCGCCTCTAATGAGAAGATGCGCGAGGAGCGTGCGAATGACAAGGGCAACAAGAAGTCCAAGGCCGCAAAGACCAAGATCTCGTTGAATGCTAGCCGCGATATCCAGCGCGATAGCACCAACTACGATGCTGGTGATGATCTTGGAGATGATGACTTTATGTGAATGTGAATACGGATGACTAGTCTCCATTTGAATTACCCAGGTGTGTCGTTGCTTTCCCCTGGATTTAATCCTTGAAAATTACGCATCTTAAAAGAAGACCTACATCTTTTATCCCTGCCTCATCTACATGCAGGTTTCTACTCCAATGTTACCCCTTCTATTTTTTTCCCATACCTCGTTTTGTACATCCTCTTCTATCTCATATGCTTAGGTAGAAGTAACCCATAGAAAGACCCAATCCATTCCGATTATTTTTTGATATAGATCAGTCATCAGCTATCAACCATAACCCTCCAAATTACGTAGATACATATGGAAATGACGGATGGTGTTGTGTCAACCTTTAGCTCCTTTTCTAAATTAATTGCATACATGTATTCAACCCCAATATCCACAAGGTGACGATAGAGATCAAGCGAAGCAATACCCTGTCTCGTCCACAGTAACACACTTCGCCCCCCACCGACGCAGCAACCCTAAGATCCTCTCCTTCCACTCAGGATCCCTCCCCAACTCCCTCATCAGAAGGTCATACCGATACAACAACTCAAAGCACATCTTCAAATACTCCTTCAAATCCCTCCTATCATCATCACTCCCAAGACTCAACGGATCCCACGTCATCTCATCAGGAATCCCCTTCGAATTCCAAAACAACCGATGCGGTATATTCTGAGCAGGAAAATCAAAATCCTCCAATCCCCAATTAACAAAACCCCTAAACGCCTGCGTCTGCGTTAAACAAACCGTCTCATTCGCAGACCCAGGTTTCGCATTGGCTTTAACAGAAGCAGCGATATTCACCAACATGTAAATTTCCAAAGCCGTGTCCGCAACATGCGTCACGCCGAAACTGTGGCCCCAGCTTAGATTGTTTAGACCTTCTAGTGGGATTTGCTCGTGGTTTGCTAGACGTAATAGAGCGAGCATCTCGTTCGAGGCAATGAGCATTTTCACTGCGTCGGCTAGATGGGCTGTTCCGGTGTGGTACGGGGCTAGTTGGATCCAGTAGTCGACATTTTGGAACTCTTCACATAGTGGATTTGAGACTGCGGAGTTGGTGTCGTGTGGTCCGAGGTGGTACTTCTCTTCGATGGCGGGGAGGATAGATGAGTCATATAGAGGGCCTGATGTTGGTAGAGCGCTGGGTTGTGGGTATTTGGCTCGTTCGGTGGTTGAGAACTCTTCGATAGTGGAAATAAGAGACCGCGTGAAGTAGTTCAACTCGCCGGATTGACGATCAGATAACTTATCATGGACGCTGAAATCGTTTTCGCGAATGCCTGGCCTTTCCTTTATGAAGCCGAAGTGTGACGACGCTGTATTCCAAGGGATCTTGTGATCTAGATGCATCGTGATTTCAGCGTGAAGTTCAGATGTTTATCTTTACAACATGGCCTCTACGTTGAATATGCAAGTGGACCAGATGTCGCTGACTAAGTTTTTTGGTTCTCCAGGGCTTTAGGCTCCAGGATTGTCTGAGCTGTCTTGGAGGACCAGCCCAATGTAATCGACAAGCTGTGCATATAATCTACCGTTCTAGCTGGACCTGGAGCTCTTGTTAGCCTCGCGAGGCCCGAGGCAGTCTCCAAAGCTGGGACCAGCCAGGTAGACCTACGGGGCCTGGGTCAACGTTAAGGGTATCCATGCCATGAAGCATTGTACTGGTGCTCATCCCGCAAATGCTCTACGGGGCTATCGAGGTAGCAAGCTCTCTCGCCAGGCCATCGATAATATGAGTTTGAGTAGGATACAGAAAAACGGTCAATTTAATCTAGCCTTCCACTGTGTTAATGGTAGTTCCATCTTGATATCTGCATGGATGATCTTTGGTCAACAAATAATCCAGTCACGTCTTTGTGCATCATCCTCAGTGCCTGGAATCAGGTAACCATCCTTAGGCAATTTCGACATATTTAGAGTTATAGCCTGTATGAATCCTGGGCCAATATATCGCGCATACTGAAATCCATCTTCAGTTGCCTGCAATGACACTAATGCACAGTAGGCTACTGTATCAAGTTCGGATCTCTTCAAGATAATCCCATATGTCTCATCCAAGCTGAGATCCATCGGAGTGATCAGCTCAAACCGCAAGACTTTCGTATCTGTCGCAAGGTCCATATCAAATTTGGACTCATCGGCCCACTGCTCCAAATCCTTTCGTCTTTGGTCATGATCAGACTGGTTGAATTTGCCCAGATTAAATATTTCACGAGATGGACATATGAATGAAGAATACAGTGTGATCTGGAGCCCCCGAGGCGTGATCTTTCCAGTATCATGGATAAGTAGAGAAAATACACCCGTAAATCGGCATACTTTCAGCGCCCATCCCAGTCCATCTTCTTCAAACCGTGGCCCATCAAGGAAGAGCACGTCTTGGGGAAATTCATCTAGCATACTGTATAACACCCGCATGCGCCCCTCGGCTCCCTTTACCGCGAGGATCTTCTTGAGATCAAGGTTCAGGAGACCCGCTAGAACGGTGGGACGGTCACGGTCTTTGCTGGAGGCTCGTGTAGCCACACTGAACCAGGTTCGAGCAATTACATGACCTTGATTTATACCGAGGACAACGCGGTCAGATATGGATGCATAGTAGGTGGGTTGTTGAAAGTACGAGTACCAAACACTTGCAGCTATCGTGGCCATTCGCTCTTGGAAGATAGGGACTTCTTCTTGGTCGACTTTCTTTATGAGCGCGCCTGGCATGGTACCAATGTTGATAGCCTTGTCAGACAAAAGAACATATAGCTTGTCCTTTGCGGCTAATGCTTCCTGGAGCGTCCATAGCCGGCGAATCCAGTTTGAATAGTAGAGCACTCTTAGGCAAAGTGCTAATTTGCTAGATGAGGACGAGTCGAGTAGCATGAGGCCTGAATCAAGAACCAGAGTTCGATAAGCTGAGATCAGTCAGCTTTGTGTTAAATATGAAATTACTTGGTCACAGCTCACTGACCACTGTTATAAACATCACGGATACGCTGGATCGCTAGACTGCGAACGTCACTTTGATGTGGGATGCACAACGTATCGATCCACACTAGTACCGAGTCTCCACGCCGAGTCATATTCACTGCAAAATGGGCAAGTCGAAGAGCCCCAGTGTGTAGGGGTCCAGATGTCTTTTCATCGTAGTGAGGAATATATTCCTTGTCCTCGAGGAGGAGCTTTGCTTGTTTATAAAGAAATTCCAATTGGCAGTGTGGCAGAGAGTTACCCTTAGGGTTACCTCGTCCGTCTGCCCATATATGAGAGATAGCTACATATGGCTTTCCAGTGCGTTTCTTCACGATTTTGAGCTCATATCGCTGATTGCCGAGCTCGTCTTCACCTGAAGGTGTGATCATCACAAGAGGGATTCCTCCGCTCTGGAGAACCGTATGTAACTGTTCAATGTCTGCATCAAGTAGCGAACAGCTACAGTCTTCTTGCACATGGCGAGTAACATAGCTACTCTCATCTATATTGTCCGCCACGCATTCTGTCTTCGTACAAGACGTATGTGTTCTGTTGTTCCAGCTGGCTTTACTAGGAACCAGTTGCAGCAGATACGCCTGGCTATCTAGATGAATACCAGCAGAGCCACACTTCTGTACATCAAGGGGACACCATCCCTCCCTAACCATTTGTGCTTTCTCATCGTACGTGAGAAAACAGAGTGACGAATTGGGAGGGTCGGCCTGAGGGCCATCTCGTTTGTTCACAACATTCCAGAGACTAAGGCTAGCCAGTCGAATGGCTAAGGACATCTTTTCACGTATCCAAGGAATATATCTGGGAAGATACCCGAAGACTTTGTTAATAATCTCAACGGATCGCGCCCCGAGTTCGTTGTTTTTCCAGTTGTCAACGTCATCAACATATTTTTGCAAATGTCTTGTTGTGATGTACTGACAGCCCTTTTCATCCCCACCCTCTTCATCCTCACGGAGAAGAAAGTCAGACTGGTCCAACTGGTCACCGAAAATATAGTGCAACATGCCAAAATAGAGCTAGCACTCCATCATGGATTGATAATCCAAAGGAACGGCGCCTGGAGAGAAGTTTTCTGTCCCAGATTCGTCTAGCCAGCCACAGCGAGTGGGAAACGTATCCCAATCGCCCCCATCATAGAGCGGGCCGTAGTACTCAATCCGGAGGGGCCTCGGAGGGGTGCCAGGAAGGAACAGATGGTCTGCCATTGTAATTTTTTATCTCTTCTCGGAATGTACAAGAGATCATCTTCGAGAATGGAATTTGACCCCGCGTCAGCTCCAGTGGAGATTTGCTGCGCTAAGCAGAAGGAGCTGCCCAAGTGCCCAGAACTTTAGTACGACACCGTAATACCAGATGGTCTCTAGCTCGTGTCGCACCCTATAAACCCGGAGATTCGGCGTCTTCGTTAGGTAGTTCATGACTAGAGATCACCTCCAAGCTATGCCCTTCACATTTGATTCACTGGAAAGTGCGTCCAAGCAAACTCACTGCATGTGGTTGTTGAGGTATTCGTATACTCATAGTTTCATACCATCCCAATTTTAAAAGAGTTTTTTCCGATCTCTAAGCCTTGGCATGAGCGCTCAACAGAGTCCAAAGGGTTTTCGATTTCCAGACTGTAGTAATAAATTCGGTTAAGCCCTGGAGCTTGAAATATTCGAGCCCTCAAATCTTGAGATGAAAACATCAACAAAACTAAAAAAAGGTTGGTGTCAACAACTCTCTTTCGCAGTGCCAAGATACACTAAGCTATTTTAGTAAATGTTCGTACTGTACGGTACCGGATTCTGTATTTTTGCATCTCTTCAACTTGAATGTTTGTGTTTTTAGTTCCACACGTACCCGTGTTTTTACTATTGTACAGCTTTCACATTGACATATATGCTCTCCAATTTATATATTCTTCGAAGATGATTGAAATTGTTACCGTCGTTATGGTATTTTTAGACTTCAAAGTTCCCTCTCGATCGAAACACGCACTAGAGATCGACAACAGAAACTTGCATTCATCCCAGCCGCCAAGAACCGACAAACAAATCTGACCTGTCAAAACCCTGACATGAGGCTCTGGGAAGTCAAAATGATCGTCCGAAAGTCGGACGTCACCTGTCAAGTCGCTTGACGCGCGGCAATAGTCTCCCCAACTGATTCGACAACGGATGCATTATGCATCCGGTTTGCTTCTAGGCCACCACATCTCGTATGCATATGTTTGTCTCTATCTGTATCTCTAACCATAGTCGACAGCCTGCTGTCGGAATCCAAGAGTGGATCTAGTGCATGAGTCGGCTACTGTCAAGCGAATCGTCAAATATTATATTGTATTGAATAAGATTATGCGCCACATCTGAACGAAGTGGCTTGATACTTGTATACAATCCACGCTGAATAAAAGTATTAGTACAATCGTAAACACAACACTCAGACATACTCAACGCTTATCACGGCAAAGAGATAGGTATACACATGCACGGATCATCTAACCAATCGCTGCCCAAACTTGATCAACTCCGCCACTATTTGACAATATGCTTCGCCTCGTGGCGTCCACGATCCTATGACCATACCAAGATTGCATCATGCATTGCATGCACCGTACTCCGTATGCTCAGCTGCCATATTCTATTATACTAAGTGCCCGGACCCCTCCCGTGGCGCTGGATACGCGGTTTTGGTTGGTTTCTCGATGGTGGGAGGATGTGTGTTTAGGTTGAGTCCGCCTCGAATCGAGGATGGCAGATAGCGAGTTGGGCATTGTTGGAGCCTCGGCGTCTTCGGTGATTTTGTTATCCAGTTTTTGTCTCCGAAGAATCATGTGAGGGGGGCTGATCACCGACGGTATTGGTGTCGTATCTTCGATGCTTGATGGGAAGGCATCTTCTGTGGTTTTTTTTTTCGGGTTGGAGTTGTCGGACATGCTGGTGTCTTTGCTTTGGAGGGGGATAGAGTGGCGGATTTTTCCTAACGATGCGCGTAGATGTATCTGAGTTGATGTAGTAGCCAGCTTTAAGAAGGTATAGGACCACTGAAGAAGCCAATGGGAATTCGGTCAGTTTTGAAGGAAACATGCACATGCTCGTCTGAAGATATTTTTGCAATGTTATTCGGCTAGATGGGTCAAGGCTTGTGAGACTAATAAACAGGCGAGTCCCTGTAAAGGAACTAACTACATATTCTTGTATCGGCCCATACTTCAGTCATGAATACTGGTAAAAGGGGAATCATTGGCTACGCAGGCAACCCAACACAGGATGCATCTCGAGTAAAGAAGCTCAGAGTGGAATGGAAAATAAACACATTGAAACGTGCTGGAGTGGGAATAGAGACAATAAAAGAGAGAGAAATTTCCACTCAGCCCCTTTTCGTCAACCGAATATCAAACTCCGCCGGCCGACCCACACGGTACCGAAGACGTGCAAGATATCTGCCGGTCCAACCCAGCGCTGCAGTGAAAACAAAGAAGCGACTTGCATAACCACGTCCAGGAATAAATGCGAACGCCCACCCTACCAAACGGCATACGGCTCGTCGCGACTCCTAATGTTGATCCTTTAGGCTTCAGTCTCGGCGGGCTTAGCCTCCTCGTGCTTCTCCTCGGCGGGAGCAGCGGCCTCGGTGGCAGCGGCGGCAGGAGCAGCGGTCTCCTCCTCGGACTTCTCCTCCTTAGGGGCACCCTCGGCCTCGTTGCCCTCAGATGAGGTCCAGAGAGTCAGGTTGTCGCGCAGCAGCTGCATGATCAAGGTGCTGTCACGGTAGCTTTCCTCGGAGAGCGAGTCGAGCTCTGCAATGGCATCATCGAATGCCTGCTTGGCAAGGTGGCAAGCACGATCAGGAGAGTTGAGGATCTCGTAGTAGAAGACGGAGAAGTTCAGGGCAAGACCCAGGCGGATAGGGTGAGTGGGGGTGAGTTCGGTCTGGGCAACGTCGGTGGCGTTCTATGACATGATCAGCAGCTGTTTTGCAAAGAGAGATAGGACTTATGGGAATAAGCCGAAAGGAGGAAGTATTACCTTGTAGGCCTCGTGGGCAGCGGTGGCAGCACCCTTGCGCTTAGGGCCGGAAGCGAACTCGGCGAGGTAACGGTGGTAATCACCCTTCCTGTTTACAAAGTCAGCACATTGTCACAAATAGAGCAGCCTCTAGAGCGACAGTGGCTAGAGAGTAACCCACATCTTGTAGTAGAAGACCTTGGACTCTCCAGTCTCGGCCTTGGGGATGAGAGCCTCATCAAGAACATCAAGAACATCCTGGCACACCTGCTCCAGCTCGGTTTCGATCTTCTGGCGGTAGTCGCGAATGATGTTGACGTGCTCCTCGGAGCCCTTGTTCTCCTCCTTCTGCTCGATGGAGGAAATGATGCGCCAGGAGGCACGGCGGGTGCCGACCACGTTCTTGTAGGCGACGGAAAGCAGGTTACGCTCATCGACAGTGAGCTCGCCACCAATCTAGATACATGTCAATCGCAAATAAACACAAAATTAATCCCGAAGGTGATGGGGGAATGTTGTCTTACGTTGGCGACTTCCTGTTCGGCGATTAGCATGGATACACAGTAAACAACACGAGGGGGTGCGACTAACCTTCATGAAGGTGACCATTTCTAGAAAGCAGAGAATAACACGTCAATATACACGTCCAGCCATGCTATCGCGTGTCCACTTACCATCGTAGCGCTCGGCCTGCTCGCAGAGCCGCGCGAGGAACGTCTTGCTGGTGAGGGGGTCAGTTATGCCGGGCCATGAGGTTTCAAGGATAGGGGCGACAATGGACATACTTCTCACGCTGCATAGTTACGATATTTGTTAGCCCAGTTCTTATCAAAAAGAATTCCAGATGATGGTGAGCTCAGATGAGGATGGGGATGTGGGATTGCGATGGCGGTGACAACTCAAGAGAGCGCCCGATGGAAGGGGATAGCAACATACCTCAGAACCCATGGTGAAATTGAATCGAGATGGGTGGTTGGAACTTGAGACTTAAAATAAAGGGATAGGAAGCGCAAGATGCAGAAAGAGGAAGATGGGTAGAGACGACCAAGTGGGGGAGGGAGATGGAGTGAGGTGAGTTGGGGGGATTTGAATCATAACAATAATACGCTGTTGTCATGTACCTAGTACCTAGCTCCCCCTATTGTGGCACCGCTTTATGTAAGTACTCTGGTACTTGGGCCGCGGCCCCGTATTTGTTTTACCGTCGATCCCCTCTAGTAAGTAATTAATTTGGGCGGGGTGGTATATATTACAGTATCTGTGACCAACTTCCTTCCTTTAGGAGACAAACAACAGAATACTTAGCACAACATATGGCATTTGGTTGGATTTTAGAGATTATGTATACATCGACTTCCACTGTGTATCTATGGGGTCGTAGTATATGTACTTTCGAAGTCCTAGAGGCACCGACCGGTAACATCTCCGATGATCAGCTGAAAACCTTGGAACAGCCGCAATTTCTCAAGTAGCCATAAGGCACTGTGGCTAATAAACCTCTTGATTGTCTATATATTGTAGAGAAATCATAGCAAAATGATCAAAGTCTGGGGATGATGATGATGCAAATCTCTCTTTGGAACCTTCCAGACAACTAGACCGGTTATGATGTAGCTAATCAGCCACACAAACAAATTAGGTCGAAGTATCACAAGTGTTCAAACAATTCTAACAGGGTAAAATTCAGGCTAAAAGTATTTACTTCCAACCAATGGCCACTTTACTTCGCCTATACTTTCCCATATATAATATGAACTTGTAGTATGGGATCTAAAGGGTGGCCAAAATCAACCACGAATGTGATAGCCCCTAGGCATTTTGGCTGTCCACTATCGGCGGTATAAACATTCATCTAACTTAGTTAGAATCATCTTGAGAATTATGATATGAATGAAATTGACGTGCCAATCATTGAACATCTCTAAAGCTGATAGAAGGAAGTGATTTTATACGTGTTTAATGCATGGTTTCATAGATTTCACAAGTCACTATGAATGAATGCAACTAGCACATAACTATTAATGCGAAGATGCCTCAGGCATAATTTCTGACCATCAAGTATAAATTGACCAGTTTAACTCCTTTCGTGTATCTAAGATATTAAGACCATCTACCAAATGAAAGTACATCAGTGATATGATTCAAACTCGCTGGGTTATACCTCTCTCAGTTCTTCTCGATTTCGTCTTCTCAAGGATATAAGGAAAGATGACCATTGCTGAGGCAAATATCTTCTAGATCCCGTAGCTGATGCACTATGTAGTCGTCCTAGACTCGTTGTCGCCTCTAGCCGATTGGCCTAGAGAGATACGATTTGGGCTCATGCCTGCCGGCCAGGCCTTGTTGGATAGTGTGACTTAGTAAGAGGAAACTTTCGAGATGGCGACATTTCGACCTAGTAGGGTGCTGGAATAGGGCCTGGAGGTGGCTGAAGGGACTTGTGGGAGGATGTAAGCACGCAGATTTATCAACTCTTGAGTCCAGAATTTTCTGGCGGCATCATTGCGCTGTTCTAGATGTGCGATGAATGAAGACAAAGGCAGAGTCTGTAAGGGTAGACTCACTCAAGTTCTTGCATTGACATCGCTAAGGAACATCCGTCATAGATAAAGTACTGCAAGCTTATCACAAGCTGACATTGTCCGGATGATGGAACAGTGCATTGAAGCGATCCGTGACAATGGATTCCCGGCGCAACCTCGCCTGGGAACTCTGGCGGAGCAAATCCATCGCATTCTTCCTTCAAGTGCTTTCGATGTGCCTCAACTGTTCTCCGTCCGTAGTTATTCAGCAGTCCATGGAGCATCGTATCAAAGCAGAAGAGAAGGTCGAGAAAATACAAACTGCGTGGAACAGTAGACCTTGGTCTACTACACAAGGGCGAAAACGAGATCCCTCAGACATACCCGCAGTTGCGAACACGGATCATCCACGTTGATAATAAGACTTGTCTCCATCAGGCAGAGCTCTATCGCATAAACGATATTGAATACCGTGGTTCATCGGACAGCATATGTCAAACTGTCTCCCTAACCTGCCGATCGATGGTGCAAAGAGATTTGCGCGACGGTGATCTGAGAACTCATGCTGTTGCGCGGTCTCTACCAATATCAGGTCATCTGTGGCCGCTGGTCGCGATTGGCTTTACCGCTTCATGATCGATGGATACGAGCGAGTGATATGAAAATGTTGGGCTCGTGTAGATTAAAACTGGCAATGAGACCAATCCTTGCATCGGCCACTGCCTAGGAAGAAAGAACTCTTCGAGGAGGGATGCAGCAAACCGAGATCGAAGCCGTCACCTTCAGGGTTGAAAGACAGGCAAGAATACAGGACATCTTCCCAAAATCCCTGGCGGATAAATGTAGCGAAGGCTTTTGATTTGCCTGGGTTGTGCCCGGAGCTTAGGCCCATAGCCCAACCAGCAGTGGGCTATGTGCCCTACCTTCGAAGCCCAACCTAACACGGCCTATTGATGGGACCCTCAATAAAGCGCATTTCTATACCTAAATACAGTCTTGGCGCTCGTAACCCCGCTGATTATTCCCTGTTTCTTACCTATGTATGTACAATTATTACTTATGATCTCCCAAAAATTAGTATGTTTGTTGGGCCCCCATAAAAGTTCAGCGGGCTTCTACCCTGGGCCTAAGGATCGGACTCAAAGCCCAGCGCATTTAGGGGTTGGGGTGGGTTGGGCTTTGGGCTTTATGGGCTGGTGGGAGGTCTAGATGGATCCGTCAGTTAGATAAGCTGTGATGTGCGAGCATGGTCTGTGGAGGAAATAAAGTTGCTCAGAGGGCTTTTGAAGGAGGTAAAGGACATCTGGAGAGACCTGAGATAGCACGGTGGGAGCAGTTCTTATACCCTGGTATTATAATTTGGAAGTCGCGCGCCATGAGGTAGTGCCTCGAACCGAAACAAGTTGCTACGCCCACCGTCTAGATGGGGTGGTCACGCGTTAAGCGAACGGCCCCCAGGCGATATTGAATAGGAAGAAGTCATGCTAGCATTTGCTGGTTTTGTCAGGAATATAATTCCTACGCTAGTCTCAATCCGAACTAGATTAATCTAGTCTGTAGCGTTCTGAATCGTTTGGTTTTGACTGAAAATATATTCACAGCTTTCCATCAACTATGCCTGAATTTAGTTTAAAATATGTAAAGACCTTCAAAGATCATAAGGTATAGAATTACATAGTAAGCACTACGTGTAAATTCGCGGTCCATGATGGTTAACTTGTACATTTTCGTATGCGGGTGATCCCCGTAAAAAGGGTCTGTAATTTTTGTTAAAATATAGCCCCCCAAAACAAAAAAGGAAAGTGCTCAACTACATATGTAGATAAAAATGCACCTTGGATTCCGTGTGAAATAACAATAGCTCCTAACCACATACCCTATCGGGATTGTTATTTATTATATATAGAAGCAACACCGACATCTGACCATTCAACAGACAGGCCCAAGACAAGATCAGGGCTAAATGACTTGGATGGAAAGGAAAAGAACCACAGCGAGATTTCTAATATTTGCCTGTTGTAGTGCTACTTCCATGAATTTATAACTGCTTCTGGGACAGTTGGGTTGCATTAGGACTTATATTATTGAGTATAATCTTTCCCATCCATATGTCCACTTAAGTGATAGAGGTATAGGAAAAGGGAAGTGGTGACAATATAAACTGTGGGTCTAGCATGATGACTGTATCTATGGATATGTACATAGGTATCCATGGATGTTCTATCAAACCAGTTCTGGTAAATGGGTCTTCTGTGAACTCTTAGTAAACAGCTCTCTGTGATTTACCAAACCCTTAACTGCTATCCTGAAATTAACCAAGCTAGAAGACTTTCCTTAAGCGGCAATGGGTCAATTGATCGCCATATGGTAAACACCACATAAAAGGCTCGACATTCCCCAATTTTTCACAATATATCATTTCTCCATCATGAAGATGAAGGCCCATATGTCTGTGCCCACAGGGCACCCTGGGGGAACCCCCCGTAGGTTCACCATGAATACGCGAAACGTCTTTCTCTTGGTTTTACTCATAATAGCTCTGTTCTGTTTGCACAGTGGGTTTCTAGAACCAGCACAGCCGAAACTAAAAGGTATTTAAATGCCCATGGTGGTAACGGTTCTAGCCCTATACCACGAGAAACGAAACTAATCATAAGACCCATTGAACAGAGCCAAATACAAAAGTTTCACACATCCCAGAGCACCGGGAGAGCAAGGATGTCGCTCTTATCGCCGCGAAAACAATTAATGAAGATGTAGGATGGATCCTGGATTTCTGCAAGGAATTGTAAGCATCCCTTGGCCTTTTTCTCAATGTGACAGTCGAACTGATCTACCACTAGTAAATGTACACCGTACATCTATACGATGGACGAAGTGCCTGAAGATGGCTTCCTTGTTCCCTACACACTTAAAGGCAATGAAGCAGGTGCCTATCTCACCTACATCGTCGACCACTTCTATGACCTCCACCCATACAATATCTTTATCCACGGTGCGGAACACCACTGGCATAGTGATATAGCTGGGTCAAGAACCTCCGACGCACTTTCCAATCTTCGGGTCGAAGCCGTGAGTCAAAGGGGCTATGCAAACCTGCGCTGTATGGCTTTACCTGGCTGCCCAGATGGCTTTCACCCGAACAAAATAGAAATGTCCGATATCGAAAATCAAAGCCTAGTCGACAATTTCCCACAAATATGGTCAGAGATTTTCGGAGTTGATCCCAGCACCGCACCGCTCCAGGTCGGATATCATTGCTGTGCGCAGTTTGCAGTTACCAAGCAAAGAATCGGAGAAAGAAGATGGAATGAATATGACCGTATCCTCAAGTGGATAGAGCACAATCAGTGGTCTAACAGCTATGGGATAGGCTGGATGATGGAGAAGCTATGGCATATAATCTTTGGGATGCCTGCTGTCGAGTATGTTTCCCCCTTCTCTCCACTCCCTTCTAATTTAGTGGGACTCTAAAGACTCATCTATTTTCTTCTCTCTAGCTGTCAGGAGACTACTCAGTGCCGCTGCGATCTCTATGGGTGGTGTGGCCCGAACCCAGAAACCAACGGCACAATGCTGACACCTCTTTCATAATTCACGATCCAGGGCTCGCTGGCTGAGTCTCTATGTCTGTTCCTAAATTAGAAGGTATTTTATAGAATATTACCAATCAAATACATCCCAATTAATCATAATATCACGATACACGAGTATAATTTCCTTGTATTTGTAGTTCTACATGCCGAAGAGACTCAAAATGCACACTTGGATCACAATGCTAGAGGAACTACCCTACGGATACGGAGTAGGCAACTAGGATATCAAGTTACAAAAGATTAAATATGATCTAAGGGCGAGTTGGTGGGAAAAAGACCGGGTTGTAAGAAGAGGCAGGTTTACATAGTTAGGATGCCTCCTATATTGGAATTCGTTTTTAGTACTAATCGCAGTCCGACAAATGTCAGCGATAGCCTTTAACGCTGAAAAATTGTGGGATGTTACGCCAAGTAGGAATGACCTAGGCGTGGATGAAGCCCGGGGGTGCGTGGCGTGATATTTGGCAAATCAACGGCGTAAATTAGCCTCACTTATGGCAATTATAGTAACTAATTTACCGTATGCTACTTTTGAGTAGTAAAAGAAAATTAATGATAGCTTTGCTTGAGACATTTGCTAATTTTTATTTCGAATGGACACCTGACTTGCGGTCAAGTTATGGGTCGCAAAACAATGGATCGACTGAGTCGAATATGCAAAATCTAGTTAGGGATTGCCTACCATTATCGGATCAATCATATTACCCAGCAACTGGACTTTCGTACCTAGCGTCAGCCCTATGAGCAAGGATGTGTTAGCGTGCTTATGGAGAGGCCACACGTCATGCATTAGCAGGGACTGTGCTTTAGTTTTGAGGATCCCGGCCTTGGGAATAGAACAATTCTCAACTAGTAGACTAAGTTGACTGAATCGAACGCCTAGAAACATCCCAGAGAACACTCCGTGGAGATACATGAATGAAGACGTCAATGGCTGTGCCATGACACAAAGCCCAGACTACTCCGTAGTAGCAAAGGAGTCAATTAGGTCGATTTAGAAGATTGGAGATCCATTTTAGGTTAGTGTATGCAGAGGAACAAGTTGCCAAGACTATCTAATAGACAAAAAATGATGCAGCCTAGTCATGCCCCATAAGTGATCTGAAGGGCATGAATCAGTGTTGATGGCCTTCTAGCCCAACAAGAAGCTCTTTGAGAGGTCTCTAGTTCATTCCAAGAAAAGAGAAAGATATATAGTAAGAGGCTATGCCAAAGCTAGTCAAATATTGAGTACTTAAAGTATTCTGTACTCAATAGAAGACACAACAAAGTAAGAAAAAGAAAAACAAAGCGGAGAATTGCAAGACCCGCAGGTTCAGCCCTGTAGACATTTTGGGGGTCCACCAGGGTCTGTGCTTACTCAGCCCCTGGAATCAAATGGATGAGAACACGTTGACTTCCCCCACTGGAGGTTCCCCAATTCGGGCTTCGATCTTCATTTGTTCATCTTCTTTTTTTTAATACCTAGCCCCTCCTCAACTTGGGCTTTGGTTCTATTTGTGTCCCGGGAATGCGCCGTTCTTAAACAACAAATTCCTTCCTTGTTTACCCCAACTATTATTCCTCACCTCTGCGGCTATTGCAATTGATCCTGCCTATTGCCGTTGAGGGTGTTTGTGATCATGGAGAACGCCTTTCTCCGTACTCCAGCCGAGTCGCTGGAGCACTTCAAGGTGTCCGAGCAGACCGGTCTGTCGCAGAGCGCGGTTTCAAAATCCAGACAACAGTATGGACCAAACGGTTAGTACACATTCCACAGAATGATGACCTCAGAACTGACATGTACTGTTTGACTAGCTCTCGCGGAAGAACCCCCGACTCCCATGTGGGAGCTGATTCTGGAACAATTCAAGGACCAATTGGTTCTTATCCTCCTTGCCTCGGCCGCCCTCTCTTTTGTCCTAGCTCTCTTTGAAGAGAGTGACGATTGGACTCCATTCGTTGACCCCGCTGTTGTATGTGCCTGGATATCCCACATTTTATATGGATGTCTATGTGTTCTATTTTGCTTACCAAAGCGACTTTCTTAATAGATCCTTACTATCCTTATCCTCAATGCCGTGGTCGGAGTGACCCAAGAAAGTAGCGCAGAAAAGGCAATCGCAGCTCTCCAGGAATATTCGGCCAACGAGGCCAAGGTCATGCGTGATGGAATGACGCAAAAGGTCAAGGCCGAAGATTTGGTTCCCGGAGACGTGATCCACATTGCTGTCGGTGACCGTATTCCTGCTGATTGCCGACTGATCGCCATCCATAGCAACAGCTTCCGTGTCGATCAGGCTATTCTGACTGGTGAAAGTGAAAGTGTTGCCAAGGACATCAGGGCTATCAAGGATGAAGCCGCCGTCAAGCAGGACCAGGTCAACATGTTGTTCTCTGGTACCACCGTTGTCAACGGTCACGCTACAGCTCTTGTCGTGTTGACCGGTGGCTCAACTGCCATTGGAGATATTCACGAGAGCATCACTTCCCAGATCTCCCAGCCGACCCCTTTGAAGAAGAAGCTGAACGACTTCGGCGACACCCTCGCCAAGGTTATTACCGTCATCTGTGTCCTGGTTTGGGTTATCAACTATGAGAACTTCAACGATCCCGCGTTCGGTGGCTGGGCCAAGGGTGCTATCTACTATCTGAAAATTGCTGTCTCTCTCGGTGTGGCGGCTATTCCGGAGGGTCTGGCAGTGGTCATTACCTCCTGTCTCGCTCTGGGTACCCGCAAGATGGCTCAAAAGAACGCAGTTGTCCGGTCTCTTCCCTCCGTCGAGACCCTAGGCAGCTGCAGCGTGATTTGCTCTGACAAGACCGGAACCTTGACAACTAACCAGATGAGCGTTGAGAAGGTTGTCTACCTGACCAGCTCTGGCACTGGCTTCGAGGAAATCGAGGTCGAAGGCACTACTTTCGCTCCTGAGGGCAAGCTTACCCATAATGGCAAGGTTGTCGAGAACTTGGCTGTTTCGTCATCCACCATCGCACAGTTGGCCGAGGTCACTGCCATTTGCAACGCCGCTGCTCTTTCCCACGATGCCAAGAGCGGAGTCTTCTCCAGCATCGGTGAGCCCACCGAGGGAGCTCTGCGTACTCTGGTTGAGAAAATTGGAACCACCGACATCGCCGTGAACCAGAAGCTTTACAGTCTCCCTGCATCCGAAAGATTGCATACCGCTAGCGCTCACTATGAGTCCCGTCTTCCCCTCCAGGCCACCTATGAGTTCTCCCGTGATCGCAAGAGTATGTCTGTTCTCGTTGGCGAGGGCAAAGAACAGAAGTTACTGGTCAAGGGTGCCCCTGAAAGCATCCTAGACCGCTGCTCGCACGTTCTTCAAGGCGCCAATGGGGCTCGCTTTGCCATGACCGCAAACCACTTGAAGCTTCTCTCTGAGGAAGTTGTTGAGTATGGTAACCGTGGTCTCCGTGTCATGGCCATCGCAAGTGTTGACGGTATCTCTGGGAACCCTCTCTTGAAGAACGCTACCACCACCGAGGACTACACCAGATTGGAACAGAACATGACTCTCATTGGTCTTGTTGCCATGTTGGACCCCCCTCGTCCTGAGGTTGCCGATGCTATCAAGAAGTGCCACGCTGCCGGTATCCGTGTTATTGTCATCACCGGTGATAACCGCAATACCGCCGAGTCTATCTGTCGCTCAATTGGTGTGTTTGGCGCCGACGAGGATCTTACTGGCAAGAGCTACACGGGCCGTGAATTCGACGCTCTTAGTGAACGTGAACAGATGAAGGCCGTTGAAACCGCTTCCCTTTTCTCGCGTACCGAGCCTACCCATAAGTCTAAGCTTGTTGATCTCCTCCAGTCCTTGAATCACGTCGTCGCTATGACTGGTGACGGTGTCAATGACGCTCCCGCTCTCAAGAAGTCTGATATCGGTGTGGCCATGGGTACCGGAACTGACGTGGCTAAGATGGCCGCTGATATGGTTTTGGCCGATGACAACTTCGCTACCATTGCCGTCGCTGTCGAGGAAGGTCGTTCTATTTACAGCAACACTCAACAGTTCATCCGCTACCTGATCTCTTCCAACATCGGAGAGGTTGTCTCTATCTTCCTGACCGCTGCCCTTGGCATGCCCGAGGCTCTCGTTCCCGTTCAGCTGTTGTGGGTTAACCTTGTCACCGACGGCCTGCCTGCTACTGCTCTGTCCTTCAACCCCCCTGACCACGATGTGATGAAGCGTCCTCCCCGTCGTCGCGATGAGGCCCTTGTTGGCGGATGGTTGTTCTTCCGCTACATGGTTGTCGGTATCTACGTTGGTGCTGCTACCGTCTTTGGTTACGTCTGGTGGTTTGTGTACAACCCCGATGGACCCGGCATTTCTTTCTGGCAATTGGTAAGTCCACCATGTTTCCCACTTTTAATTCTGTCTTGCTAACATAGCCCATTTAGTCCCACTACCACAAGTGTGCTGCTCAGTTCCCCGAGGTTGGATGCGAAATGTTCAGCAACGATATGAGCAAGTCCGCCTCCACTGTGTCTCTTTCCATCCTTGTGGTGATTGAGATGTTCAATGCCATGAATGCGCTATCCTCTAGCGAGTCCCTCGTGACTTTCTTCCTGGGCAACAACCCCATGCTTATCTACGCCATCACTCTGTCCATGCTGCTTCACTTTGCCATCCTCTACGTTCCTTTCCTCCAGAATCTGTTCTCGATTCTGCCTTTGGATTGGAATGAATGGCAGGCGGTGTTGGTGATCAGTGCACCTGTGATGTAAGTGCCTCGTTTCTGGTTTTGAAAAGAATATCCTACTAACCCACCTTCCCAGTTTGATCGACGAGGTCCTTAAGTTTATCGAGCGTGCTCTCTACAACACGAAAGCTATCAACCCGGTCGCTCAGAAGGGCATCGGTAAGCCTAAGCAGGCTTAAAGGATGGGGCTATATTGGCGAAAGCCTGAATACGACCCTGTCTTCCCGGATATCTGCCTGAGTAGGAGCTAACCGGTGTGTAATAGATAGATTGTAATTGATTGGCTGGATATTTTTTCGCACATTGAATACGAGAATGTGCGAACTACTTATGCTACCATGGATGCCTATAGATCCCTGAATGAACGATTTCTGTTGCACTTGTGTACAGTAGAATATGTCCATGTGTTTTGTACTCTGTACCCCCGTATTCCATACCCCGTACGTAGAGAACCCAGCTTCGACGATCAAGTCTTGGCGGGTGTCCCCTGAATTCCATGTTTAGCTAGGCCAACCCTGGAATGATGTGATCTACAACATATGTTGTAGGTGTAAGTGGCCTGTAATGGAGCTACGGCTAATATAGTGTATAGCCGGGGAACCAAGATTAGGCGTTTAAGGTAGTATGAGATGTCAGACCTCAATCTCGGAGTAACATTCCACCAGACACGGGAGGGATTAACCCGTAAGATCATCGGAATGATATCCCGCCATGGACTAAGTTAAGTCCAAGTAGAAAGTGTCAAACCATCCATGCAACCCTGACGCCACCTTCCAGGGAAATAAAGCGGGGGTTTTTTGATCAAAAGAGGAAATTAAAAAATAAAAATCAATAAAATAAAAATAAATGAAAGTTACCTTCGAGCCTCGGTGCAACTCCGTGTGGATTTTCATTGGCTACTTGTCTCTCCCCCAGGGATCGTCTGGGGCCTTTCCCCGGACTGGAGAAAGTGTGGAGGTTGCGGAGAAAAGGGTGTCACCTTAGTTTTTTTTGTTGACATGCTAGTTTTTTTTAGTTAAATACTACCTTTGTTCCCTTGAATTCCTTCTCGTTTCTTGTCCTTTTTATAATTCAAAATGGGCGTCAAAGAATTCCTTAAAAGTCGTTCAGGCTTGCGTGTTGATAATCGCAAGACTACTTCCGCTGCTACTTTAACTCTACGACAGAGTCTATGGCCTTTGACTCTAGTCACGATCTTGTTCTTCTTATGGGTATGTCATACTATATATCTTTCCCAATTCTTCTAACACTTCAATTAGGGTTTCGCATATGGTTTACTGGATACCCTCAACTCGCATTTCCAGAAAACCCTCCACATCGACCGAGGCCGCTCAGCTGGTCTACAAGCAGCCTATTTCGGGTATGACATCCAATGACCCACATATATACCCCTCTAACAAAACCAGCGCATACCCCCTAGCCTCCCTCGGCTACGCAAACTGGATCCTCCGCAACTACGGCTATAAAACCGTCTTCATCTTCGGCCTATGTCTCTATGGCATCGGAGCCCTCTGCATGTGGCCCGCAGGCCTAAACCAATCCTTCGGCGGCTTCTGCGGCGCAACATTCGTCATCGGATCGGGTCTAGGATCCCTCGAGACAGCAGCTAACCCCTACTTAACCGGTACCACCCATCACATTCCACACACACACATAGTAATACTAACCCTTACATCTAGTCTGCGGTCCACCCCGCTACTCCGAAATCCGAATCAACTTCGCCCAGGCCTTCAACGCAATCGGCACAGTCGTCGGGCCAGTCCTGGGCTCCTATGTCTTCTTCACGGAAACAGAAGATGATGTATCAGCCCTGCAGCGCGTACAATGGGTCTATCTCGCAATCGGTGTCTTCGTCTTCCTCCTCGCAGCTGTATTCTTCTTATCAAATATCCCAGAAGTAACAGACGAAGATATGGCTTTCCAGGTCGCGCAGACACATGTTAATGAGCAGGATAAGCCGTTCTGGAAACAGTATAAGCTATTCCATGCGACACTGGCTCAATTCACATACACAGGCGCGCAGGGTATGGCTCTATCCACCATATCAACCTTCCAAGCTAATTGTTAATCCTTCCAGTCGCTATCGCCGGTTACTTCATTAATTACGTCAAAGATACATGGCCTGGCACGACAAATGCCACAGCAGCGAAGTATCTCGCCGGCGCACAGGGCGCGTTCGCCGTAGGACGATTCCTCGGATCGGGTATTATGAAGTTCGTACGCGCGCGCTGGGTTTTCCTCGTTTATTTGTCGTGCACGGTTGCGTTCCTTGCTGCGTCTGTGACGCAGACTAAGCAGGCCGGTCTGGCGATGTTGTTCTTGACCCTTTTCTTTGAGTCGGTTTGTTTCCCCACTATCATGGCGCTGGGTATTCGGGGTCTTGGAAGACATTATAAGCGTGGCTCTGGCTATATTGTGGGTGCTGTTTGTGGGGGTGCGGTTGTGCCGCCGATTCTGGGACATGTCGCTGATATGCGGGATAATACTGGGTTTGCGTTTATTGTTCCGGCTATGGTATGTTCGATGCGCTCTTGGATTGGGATTTGTTTGTGGGTCGAGGCTAATGATTGCAGTTCATGGTTGTCGCTTGGACCTATGCCGTTGCTGTCAACTTCGTGCCGTCGTATACTGATACCGTGGATAAGATCGGTGAAAGTGATCTCGGTCTTGAGGCTCCGACTAAAGATGAGGAGGCGATGGGGTCTCACGCTGTTGAGAGTATTGATGAGAAGAATCGGGCTGTTCATGTGGAGCGGTAGATGAGTTGATCTTTCAGTTTCTCTTTGGGTAATGGCTAATGGTTAATTGCGGTGGTATTTTTATTATTGTTATTCTCTTTATAGAGTTATGATGACCAGATGATACAACGATGCTTACCAGAATGACTTTTCACAACTTGACATTCTTTGACTGAGTAGATAATATACAGCGTCATTCTTTATTTGACTTGTAGCCGAACAACATTGAAAGAAAGAACAAAGAAGCAAACGCGCAAACAGGAAGGTGATGATTGTGACAACAGATCAGATCGTCATAGCAACATACAAGTAAACAACTAGCTACAATGAGAGCAGGCGGGGTTAAAAACCCCTCCTATTCATGTATTCCGTGGGATCTGCCAGTGACTATTAAACTCCAAGAGTCCAGTCACCAACTTATCAGGACTTGCACGAGAACTGGGAGTTTGATTTGTATTTGGACCATCGAAGGCCTCAACAACTTGGTGTTGATGTCTTTCGAGGACCACCCTCTGCGCTGGCTCGGTGGGCTACGGTGAGACAGGGAGGATTGAAGAGAGGAAGAAGAGAAGAGGAAGAAAGGTGGGAGGAATCCTTTTATAGTCTCACATACCTTCCTAAAATGGATGGGTCCTTTGCTCTTGCCATTTTTATTTTTCAGGGTCATATGTTCCTGACAACCTTGGAAGTCAATACTACACGGTCACTTCTAGCGAAGTACACCATTGAACTATTACACCAGGAAATGGTCGTAGGAGGTTATTGTATTTGGAATTAATGATATATGCTTCCTATCAAAGATAATCAAATGTTGGCATCCAACCTACAAATAGTTAAATGCAGGCTCTTGACTCTCGAATGAGGATGGGATATTGTGTACACGCCCGGCAAATCTAAGAGCTCTACTTATTCTTCATATACCTAGATTCTAGTCATGTAGACAATACGTGGTGTGGTGTTTATTCACTCAACAGGTTCCAGATATTTTGCATGGACGCATAATCTTTGGTTGGAAGGGGTAGACCTTTGAAGCCGCAAGTATTTGATTCCGTCAGTCAGTTCAAAAGAAGCGAACGGAAATGGCGAGGTTATAGGTTGGGGTCTGAGCATTGAAATCGTATAAGATTTTTAGAGGAACAGTACCATGTTGTAGTTAAGTTACCTTAACTAGCTGTGGGCGACGAACGCACTACGAGAGGAACAGGGTGTCCAGAACGGTGACCGTGGATGGGCCGGCCGGTACCGGTTTTTCGTCATGGTGGACCAGGAGGCCTTGGAATCGGTGTTAAGCGCACCGGATGATGACACGGACACGGGATGTGCTCGTCTGGTTCAAGCGGAATGGAAGCCGGAGGAACTAGATGAGGATGAGTTGAGGGAACGCAATGGACCTGACCCAGAGGAGGAGCCACTGGAGGGGTGTACCGAACATGATGTGGGTTGGATGAATGTGCGATACATTGATGTAGAGGTGTCATTCGTCAATATGCCTGATTCTAACCACTGGGATCTGTATTGTTCCCGTCTCCTGGAGATTCAGAAACTGCGGTAGATCTAGCGCAAGAGGCCCGTGGAGATTTGAAGTCCTTGTTCCTTCAGATATTCCTCCTGTATATAATTAGCCAATTGAATATGTATGGGTTACGTGGTCACGGTATGATAACTAATATACTCTGAATACTCTATCTGAAAAGCCAATTTCTTTCACAGTATTAAAGAGGGTAGGGGTAAGGACGGTCTTGAGAGTCCGACTAAAGATGGGGCTATGGCTTCTTATGCTGTTGAGAGCATTAATGAGAAATATCGGACTAACACTGTGCATTGTGCCTGTTCCAAGTTAAAATTAAAGAAGACAGCGGGGACCGATGTCTCTAGGGTACATAGATTCAGAGATGCTCAGTGTAGATCTGCATTTGTTAGGTTGAATAACTCTAGCTAATCACATTGCTGATTCCTCAGTTCAGGCCTATTTGCGCCAGAACAATCCGCCAACCTCCATAACATGGATATAAAAACAGATGGGTCCCAAATGATATTTGATCCTCCATCAGTGGACCGTTGACGCAGCACAAGAAGCATTTGATATTGCCGCTGGGGCTGATTCTGATCTCTCATTAGCAAATGTACAAATACCACTATATTACTCTCACATACCTTGATATCTCGTTCTGTCACCCAAAGTCTCATGCCTAGACGCATGGGTTTTCGGCCACCCGGAAGCTTTTCAAAGGAGCGGTGTCACCGACGTTGGCTCGGAGACAGTCACTGTTTTGCAGGGACCATTCTTCCCCCTTGCAATTATAGTCCTCATAGGCAAAGATAGTGAATCCACATCTGGCGCCTAGCTTGTCCGCGTGCGCTTTGATAGACAAGATCTTGGGCAACCCATCAAAGCTCTTGCACTCCCTGGAGACTCTGTCGGAGTATATCCCGGTGGCACGCTCGCAAAGATCATCCTTATATATCTTGACGCTCCAGGCCCCTCTGTCCTCTGCGGCGGCAGTGCTAAGCTGCAAAGCCCAGACAGCAAATATAGATACAGAGAGATCGGTAAAGCGCATATTGATAAATAAGCCGGTAGTCGTATTGGTGAATTGTGTGTGAATTGGATGATTTACACCACAAACATCTGGGTATATCCTCATTACTTATAGTTCTTTTCGTCAATCTTTCAGCAATCAGAATACTAATATATTCATTCCCGTATAGCGTCAGCACTAACGCAGTATCGCCCCAAAATTGTATAACTCGTACCACTAAGTGCTCCTGAATTTGCTAAAGTGGGACCGCTAAATAATAGCTTGTATATCGTTACCATCAATAGCTAGTAGGAACCTTGAAAATGTATACCCATTTTACGCCTAATTAATCAAACACAGAAAAGCGGCAGTGCTAACAAGGGGTTACGGCTGCGGAATATTGATCGAAAGATAGGGGTATACAACATATAATAACCTTAGTACCAGGAGTACAGAAACCATGAGGCAGTAGTAATGACAGATGTGCCTACAGTATTTATTCATCTATTCAGCATATATATGTAAAAATCCTATCTCAAAGACTAACATACCTTTTCCTAGACTCCGTACGGAGTACTGGGAATCAATTTTCTATTCATATACTGTTCCCGCACTCTGAATTCTTTTGACTGGGGTGGCTTGCAGGGCCGGATGGGGGTCATCCGACATAAACATACCTAGTTAGCCCCAAACCTGTATATAATATCGTATTCGGTGGCTTAGGATCTGCAAAAGTTTTCTGTCTACGGAATAACGTCCAGAGGGACAAACTCAATTCGTGGCTCAGATCAGGGTCTGAAACGACCTTCAAGCCAGCGTGGACAGGGTCGATTCAAGGCAGACAGGCCCCAATCTATACAGGATTCAATCCAGGGGTAGACGGAATCGATCCAAGGCAGACAGCCCCCAATTTATACTGCATTTGGGACAGAAGGAGGGGCGAAAACAATATTCAATTCAACCAAGGCTGACATGCTGTCTATCAAGAGCATAAGAGAAGTTCCGTCGGTTGACTGCCAAGTAGATGCGATTTAGGGGGCGACTGGTGTGTCCCTGATAGATTGAATATTTCCACATCAGATCCAAGAAGCGAACCTCGACGGTGGAAATAGCGAGGTCATTGTTTAGGGTTGAGAATATCAAAGTTGGTGTTGGTCTATGCAATTTCATTATGCAAGTATTCTGTTGCTGAAATTCAGCGAGATATGAGACAGGTCTATATGAGATAGGGAAATGGTAGAAAGAAGCACAAATCAAGCGAGGGTCGAATCGTCACGAGGAAGGAAATGAACAGGGAAGAAGCGCTTCGTGAAGCTAGGAAAATGTGAAGGAAAAGGGTAGAAGCGAGAGAGAGGCATCGATCCAATGATGGATCCAATTATGCCGAAAAAAACAATCGAAAGGAGATGAAAAACGAGAACGCGCTGTGTAAGGGGGTATAAAAGATCTATCGTCTAACTAAACATAGGAATAGGGGATCGTGGGAGGGACAAGGGGGGTCCGGATGTAATGCACATGTGGGAATAGCAGAGAAGCTGTTGGGTTGATATCGGTATCATTCAGCGATGCCGGCCTTGTCAGTGGCTTCGGAGGGCGAGCGCAAAGAGGAGGAGCGAGGAGGCCGAAGGGGACTGGTTTCAAGGTTTGCCATAGGAGTGAATGGTGTTCTGCCGCTTGTGGGAGATTCGGGATCTTCTCCTACGCGACCATCAGAGTTGACAATATCAGCTGGTGTACCAGGTTCGTTGAACTCATCGACTTCTTCAATTTCTTCCTCAATCCCTTCAATATCTTCCTCCTCCTCGATAATTTGGCTCTTGCGTGCAGCAGGCCGTTCTGCCACAACGTCGAGACCGCTGGCATTCACTGGCTGACCGGGAACGGGGGAGTTGGCTACCCCAGCAGACATCGCCAAGTTAGTGGTATGGATCATAGGACCCTTGAAGAGGGATCTCTTTCGCCTAGCAAACACCAGGCTTGAAGAAGGCGAATAGAGTAGTGGCCCTGGCACCGCTTCATTGAACGACGACGGCATCAGACCTGGTTGGTCGGCAATCTCTCGAGGTGCTCCACCTGTCCCTCTTACCAACCGAATATTGCTCGGAAAGCGGGATGAGGCACCCGGAGTCGTGGGTAGGACTTTAATGGATGAATGAGGCGATTTAGAGGCTCTGGCAGTGGGTGTTGAGATAGTATCTACACTGTTCGAGGAAATCGAAGAGGCCTTGGAGTGAGCACGAACGTGATGAATGCTGCGGATCGATGATACCGAGGAAGATGTAGATTTGCGTCCTCGTAATCCGGCAGATGAACGCCGATAGGATCCGCGTGGTGTGATAGGCGAGGGTGAGAGAGAGTTCCGGTGACTGTTATGACTGGTGTTCAATGGCCGCGGTTGCCGAGGATAAGAATGGCGGTTTTGGCGGTATGAGGCACTGCTAGGAGCGAGACTGCTAGCGGTAGAGATTCGCTTGACCTGGGTGGGTGTCACAACCTCCTCCCCTGCAACCTCGTTTGCTGGGAGCGACAAGGCCGCCGGTTTCTTTCCAGTATCTTGACTCTTGCCCGGGCTCAGTTTGTCGGAAAGAAACTTACGCGATCCCGTCGATTTAGCATGGGGGGATCGCGCTCTCTTCGCCGACTCTACAAACCAGTGCTTGAGAGACGCCAACTGGCTGAGTATCGGATACTGGTGACGACGGCTAGTGCGACGCCGGAAGATACCGTGATGCTGTGTCAACTCTGGCTGTGATGCACTGACATGCAGCACGCTGGGCCGTGATCTCCGTCTGTCTTTCGGCGGAGGGACCGGGCGGCGCCGTGTCGAATTGTGGGACCGGATAGAATCTTTGTCGAGCGGCAATGGGGGCGTGACGACGTCAACAGGGAATACCGGAAGCGGTTCAGGAAGCGCAGGAAGATCCGGCACTGCCAACTGGGACGGCAAGCTTCTTCTATCCCGTCTCCCACGATCTCGCAACCCTGTGCCTTCTTCCTCCACCTCGATTAAAGCCGATGATCGCTTCTCTAGACGGCTGCTCGCAGCGCTTAGACGACGAAGTGTTTTTGCTTCAGCCTCCCGCTCGCGACGCTTGCGCTCTCTCTTTCTTTCCTTCCGTTGCTCTTTTTCGATCAGCAGGGCCCACCAGCCAGCCAGTGGGTCGCACCGTTGAGCCAGAACATTTTCAATGACCTCGTCAATATTGACGCCAGCGCTTTTCATCCGCTGCAAGGTAGTCTTCTCCAGTGGCGTAGTAAATGGCGACGGCCGTGGGATTTTTAGGATCGCAAGCTGCTCGGGAGCATGTTCCGCAAGGAAAGGATGAGCCAGGATCTCGTCAAGACTGGGTCGAATTAAAGGCCGTTTGGACAGCATGAGATTGACCAAAGCCTTAGCATCGTCTGTGAACTTTTCGTTAAAGGTCGGCTCATCTGACAATATCCGCTTTTTGGTGATTTGGTCGTCATCGTCGTCATATGGCAGCTCGCCTGCCAAAAGCGCATAGAGAATAATTCCCAAGCTCCATACATCCACTTTTTCACCGGCGTATTTCTCTCCTTTTAGCATTTCGGGTGCACTATAGCATATCGTCCCGCAGAATGTCTGAAGGTAGCTAGCCTTTCCTTCATATTCACGCGTAAACCCAAAGTCGCATAGCTTGACATTTTCTTGTTTATCCAGCAATATGTTTTCCAGTTTCAAGTCGCGATGCACACAGGATTTACTGTGGACGTAGGCGACTGCTCCAACCAATTGTGTAAATATCCGCTTTACCTTATCTACCGGTAGTGGGCCGTGTCGAAGGAGGTAGTTGTAGAGTTCATCGCCTAGAACAAACTATTTGTCAGTATGATTCCCCGAGTCTCTTCTGATGCGCAAGCTGACGTACCGGGACAATACTCCAACACCAGCCAAACGAGGCTTTCGGTCACTACCACTTCGTATAGCCGCGCGATATGAGGATGTAGGAATTGGCGATGGTGATGGATCTCGCGCACAAGATTGGTGTCTTCCTTGCTGGACGATTTGAGGACCACCTACCGGCTGATCAGTATTGCCTCGGATTCGTTCGCATGACATGACCTACCTTGGAGCCATTGGTGAGCTTGTGCGAGGCGAGATAGACCTTGCCAAAGGAACCCTTTCCAATCAACCTCCCCAATGTGTAATTCCCAACTGTCCTCAGATCCTTGGAGGAGAACTCCCTGCGTACCACATTAGCGCCACTGGCAATCTAGTCTAGACCGAAAGGAGGTCACTTACTCAAGGAGTTCATTGTAGGAGTTGGCAAGCTGTTAAGAATTTTAAGTTAGCCATATTTCCACGGCTGCGCAAGGGAATAAAGAGCTCCACGCACCTTCTCCTTCTGCTTCTGGCTTTGAACCCCCGCTCTTGTTCGGGGCGGCATATGTTATGATTGCCAGGTTTCGCTACCGAGAGAGTCTCTGCGCGTCAAGGGGTTGAAATGAGTTGTGCTGGGGTGCCATTCAACGGGATCCGAGATACGCGGATAAGCGGTATCCGGAGCGGGAGAGAGTAATTTCAGAAAGGGGGGGGAAAGATGACCGGATAAATGGATGAAAGATGAAAGAAGGGAAATTGCATACAAAGGCCTTAGATTCCTAGACGTCAACGGGAACGTGGACCGTGTGGAGAACTCGGGACTTGGATTCTCCTTTTTTTTTTGAGGGGGAAATTCTTCTACTATTATTCTGTACAATATAAAATCATACTATTCGTCATATATTTTAATTGCCGGACTCCGTTCCTGTCTAGGAATATGGACCCTAACTCAATTGGCCTTTTGACTATCTAAATAGATTATGACATTGGAGAATAGTTAACTATGAAGTTAACTGCGGAGTTATATTATTGCCTTACTGCCTAATTTACTCCCTTGCTTGTATATGATACTTGTACAACGTACGACACCGACGCCCGATTAATTTACTCGACTGCACCTATTGGCTGATGGATGCTGACATGAGCCAATTAAAGAACCTTGGAACCTTGGAAATGGCTGAACATCGTCATATTATATGCACTGGTATTATATACTTCATCGCCACCAAGGCAGCGATTCAAGATGTCGGACTGTGCGTTCACTAGAACCCATTCTGGGATCGACGGGGCTGAGTCCCGCCTCACCTTGGAAAGCCAGGGACACCATGCCAAAGTATGAGTGAAGAAGGTCTATATGTTTGGTCAGCTACAGTCTCGGGATCAGTATGCTATCACCTTACCAGGAGGATCTCCGGGAGCCTTCCCAAATCCACCGACAAGGTGTTGGGTCTTTTCAAGCAGGTATCGACGATTGCGAACTTCATCGACCACGGAATACCGATCCAGCATCTGACATATGCGTTAGTGGACAAGCATAGACGACCACTACCACCTAGACGTTCACATACCACCAATGTCGCTCCGTTCCAGAATGAATAGCATGTGTCTGCATATTTATTGCATCGGCCGTTGAAGCCGGCGCATGATATTGTGTCAGCCTCGATGGGTTGAACATTGGGTAACCTGTGGACTCTATCATCGAGAGATCCCGTCTCTGCCACCAAGGTCTGTTTATGATCTTCATCCTCCTGGGGTTCCTCCAGCTGGGCTGTTTGCCGTGAAGCTAGCCATGTAATCAAAGACTCGAATTGATTGGAGCCCGCCGATAGTAGGGGCACTGGTATTAGATCATTAGAGGTCCGGCGCAAGAAGTCAAGAGACCCAACCGCGCAATAAGTGTGTCCACCTATCAGTTGTCAGATAAATTCAGGTGGCGTACAGGGAGACACGAACTATGCGATTCACAAAAAGGAGACTCAGCCATGCCACCGTCATACGTCTATTTAGTCAGACTGTCAGAATTTCACTCGCGGACGGAATATCAGGTCTCCACATACCTGGCATGCCTGAATAAAAGAAATAAAGCCCGGCACATCAATATCCGGTACACCCTCAAGCCCAGTCTCATTCCGTCCGCGCAGAACATACCGTATGCCGGCAGCACAACAACAGTATCGCAAATCACGAGCTCCCCCTACACTCCCCTCAGGACCGACAAGCTCACCGAAGCTTCCATCAGCGCGTTGGACTTTAGGAAGCCACTCCAGACACTCCCGTCGCTTGACACGCGATAGGTCATCTCCGAGGATGAGCAAGTTGACTAGCGCAAAGAATGTCGCGGGAACATTAGCTGGATCCCAAGCTTCATTATCCTTATTTCGCTTTTCCGGCCCAAAGTCTGTGCCTGGGAAGCCACGGAATCCGCCGGAGGGTACCTGGCAGTGATAGAGCCAGTCGATGTACCCTTGTCTTTCTTCCGGTGTGGTTTTGCTTTGCAGAACGCCGAGCACGTCTAATCCTGAGAGGGTCAGGTAGGCGAGGAGCATGCGATTAGAGTCATTGGAAGTGTAGGCGGACGGGAGGAAGGTCTTCAGGCATCGGAGGTAGTATTTGACATGGCGCTCGGTGTTGAAGGTTGGGTTTGGCTCGGCCATTGTAAAGGGCTGGGTTGGACCACTTATATGACAAGAGCTGGGCAATATTTCAGTACTATTCCACTCAGTTTAATCAGTATGCATCAAGTCGTAAATCAAATCCAAGCGCAATGTTGTGTTGGTGGGGGAATCTCGACCGGTGCTGCTTTTTCCCCACATGAGTCGCGGCCAAAAAAACACTCGGACCAACTCTCCAAGTTATTTCGGTGCCTGTTGGAACTTCCTTCTTGTCCACAGACTTGTGCCATTGTGACTCGCTCATCATGGTTTTCATTTCATCCAAGACCCTTATCCAGGCACATGCCGTGTTTCTGGTTGTCATCGCCGGTTACCTGATCAAAAGCCCGGAGGTGATCACCGATTGCGATCTGGTGTTTATGATGGGAGAAGCCTTGAAGATTGTACGACATCACACCATCATCCCCAATATACAAGTCCATTCCGATAATATCATGAATCTGTCTGAATTAAACTGACCCTAACACCTTTGATACAGGACTTCCCATCCCTGTCAAGCCCACAACAATCGCCCTTCACCTTCTGTGCCATATTCATCTTCGTCGAGGCCCTTATCGACCTCGTCCTGCTATCCAACATCCCCTTCCACGAAGCTCTGGATGAAGCTCTTCCCTACATCCGGCCCCTACGAAATGGCAACCTCCCCGCCGAGGACCTGCAGGTTCTACAGCGTTTGCCCGAATATATCACCAAGTCCTTGACGATTTACTGGGCCGTCTGGATTGCAGTTGCCGCGTGTCGTTTTGCTGTATATGCTGGAATTGCGTTCTTTATCTACCAGGGCAGAGCGGACCACCTGGCCTCGTCATACACAAGCGCTGCTGGTATTGGAGGCTTGGACCGCCTGAAGAACCGGGTGGTCTTTAGCTTTGCTTTCTTCGAAATGATGTTCTGGTTTTGGGTAAGTGAATAAGCTTAATTGCGAAGGTTTGAGTCGGCTGTTTTTCGTGCTAACGTCCTACCCTACAGACTTTCGCCACCCTCCGCGAGGAGCGCCAGGAACGCCTGACCAAGCTGCTGGAGGATACCCGGGAAATGTAAATGCTTCCACTGGTTCCTCAGTACTTCTTTCTATGAGTGTATTACTACTACGAACATCCCATCGCAATTGAAAAACGATGGCGCTTAGACACCATGTATCCGATCAATTAAAACTATATCGTGGATAAAATAAGATACAGGTGCATCCTCAGCCAGTTCTCGTGTTTCCATTCATTCCATCGTCATGACGACATTTCACCGCTGCTAACTATATTATACCCCCTTCTGAAATCATCCAGCGCGTTGCATTCTAGATTAGAATGGCGAACGCAGCCGCAGCACCAGCAGCAGCGACGAGCGAAGAATCTTTGTGGGTAAGCGCGGCGAGGCCACTGCTAGTCGCTGCGGCAGCGGCAGACGAAGTAGTGGAAGCACTGTCCGAGGTCGTGGTAGCAGTATTGGTGCCCGTCAGACTAGTCTTGGACGCAGTCGTGGTCTCAGTGCTAGACTTGGTTCCAGTCTCGGTCGAGTCGGAGCTAGCGCTGGTACTGGTGCTAGAAGCGGAGCTCGACTTGCTGTTCGAGCAGACAACCTCGCTGGGCAGATCGGTCACATCACCCCGGGCACAGATTGACTTGGCGACCTTGATGGTTACTGTGGTGAAGAGTTATGTCAGCCCACTGTACATGTACCTGTATCTATCATGCGTAATTCTTTGGAACAATCCTGCTTGGGTACTCGTTTTGGGAGGGAGTGGAGGTAGAACTTACGTTCCTGGTCCGCCTTGGCGCACTTATCAGCGACGCAGCAGGCCATGTCGTTCAGGAAGGACTTGGACTCGCAGATACACTTGAAATCAATGCCGCAGTTCTCGGGGATTGCACCTGTAGCACATGATTTCTATAGAATGGGTTGTTTAGCAGGCGGCACATTTGGCGCTGTTGTATGTTGTTTGTAAACACATACCGAGCAGTCGGGCAGATCGCCCAGACCTTGAGCAGTAGCAGTGGTCAGCAGAGCTGCCAGGGCAAAGGTAATGGTGAACTTCATCTTTGTAGATAGTATGAGGCTGTTGGATGAAGTGGGTTATTGGTAAGAGAGGGAATGTGAGAGGTTTTGTTTTCCAGCCACATGCAGGTCGTGGTAATACACCAATAGATATGTCAAAAATACACTAATACGCAGATCAACCGGCGGTACACCATGTATTTCCCCGCAAAATTTCCACATTTGGGCTTGGATTTCTCCACAAAATTCAGTATCGAGGTATTTTTCAATGATTGGATATTAAATATCAGAACTCCTGGGTATTTTACATAGGGGGTATTTAACTGCTCCACCCCACGTCTATCTCTCCCTCTTTCTATGTCAAGTAGCCGAACCTACCAGTGCAGATGAACATTATAGAAAGCAAAGATGTCCCCACTTCTCAGACTTCCGTTGAAATCGATAGTCTCGGTGATCTCCAGAACCTGCAGCCGGATATTGAAACCGGCTGCAGTATCCCTCACCGACTCCTTCACATCGCCCACTAGTATGATTCGCCGCCTGCACCGTTGTGAGACTGGCCAACTATGGGTGGATAGCCGTAGGCAGAAGCTTCTTGCTCGGACTGGTCGAGGTTGAGGTTCGACATAGCGTTTGCGCCTTCGGCATTTGGGAACCCCGTCGGACGAGCTACTGCAGGTCCGGCTGCACCCGGCCCACTAACCGGTCCTCCACCTCCATATCCAGCGCTTGGTGGTCTCTGATTGTCGCCGCGGGCCGACTGGGTCTCGCGGTACTTGGATAGGTAGATCTTGAGTGCTTCAGCGTAATTCTCAAATCCAAGCGAGGTCATGGCGAATAGAATGTCTTCGCCGTTGACTGTTTTGCGCTTCTCCTGCTGGCATTTCTCCGAGGCTTCGCTTGTGATAAATGAGATGTACTCGCTCACACATTCCTGCATGCATTCCTTGGCTTCTTTTGCGATCTTCGCGTTGTCAGGAAGCGCGAGCTTCATAATACGAGCAACATTGGCAATTGGAAGCCATCGATCCTGTTCCTTCACCTCAAACTCGCCTTGGTGTCCATGCGCGTCGTGGTGATCTTTGTCTATGTTGTCATGCTCTTCTCCCGATTGCGCCTCCGGGTCAAGATCGGGTTCCTTTGAAGGGGAGTTTGACGACATGATTTAAATTGAGCTGGATTGGTGTAGTGGATGTTTTGTTTTTGCGTCAATGCTTGTGCTTCGCGTGCTCGCTCCACGGTAGTCTTAGGTGAGGAGAGCGTTGGCTCTATGGTAGGGTTTTGGCAATGGTGCGGGGTATAACTCTTCAAGGTCGAGGATTCGGCTTCAATATGGAACGCGATCACGTCGTAGTTGCCGTGGAAACAATGCGCCTCTTAAGTTGGAGTGTAGCTCTGGATGCCATTGATGGTGATGTGACACCGATGATCAGGTGATACGTCACATGATATATCAACAGTCACGTGTTGACAGAAATGGGAAGTGCGGAGTAGATCTCAGCTCCTTCTCTTTAGATTCTTATGCATATTGTACCTGAACGGCGGTGTCCGCTTTTGAAACCGAGTCTATGGTATTGGGACCTAGACCAGGGGCTGCTGCTTTAGATCCAATCGATACAACAATGTACTCTGTACTAGATCTCAAATAGTCCAAGGCTCGGACCATCTTGTATTGGTATTTACGAGAATTACCTGAACCGCCCGGGGTGCTGTGGATATTGTTGTTTTGTGCTGTGGCATTTATTTACCAACTATATCTGACCTCCCATCACCTTGTTTCCTACAATATTTCACTTCCACACCGTCTGTTTTTTAATTCTATGACGAGTATTCGGGTTGTACGGCTTACACTCCATACCAGTCACAAGGTTAAAAACGGGAAATCTGCAAGCCACCGGTTAACATTGCTAGGTCTGTTCCCTCCACCGTGGGCCATAGTCCCTGATCTCAACACCAAAGTTGTTCTGGTTCTATGTACAAAAGCAAAACTACTTGGAGCTATTTGATTCATGCAGTGATCTCCCTGCATCTCGGTCATAGATTCAACGGCTAACGAATGTGATGCCTCGGTCCCTTGGAAGCGCCGATCCAAGCTCGTCCCCCAACGAACTTTCGTCAGCGGTCCAGCTTCCCCCGCGTTCTGAGCGTATCGTATATACTGCACCTTTGGTCCATTATTTAGGATGTCCTGGTTGGCTAAAAGGGTCTTAAATGGAGAAATGGAGTACACATTGAAAACAAGGATTTGGAATTTGCCTAAATCACATTCAAAACAATCCTGCAAGGCGGGTTACGACACTCGGCCCTTAACTTATCGACCGAGCTGCTTATCTTTTCCAAGATCATATTTTAGGACTATATTATAGTCCTAAAAGTTCAACTCATCTTTGTTCATATTTACTATTTATTCCTATTGGTGAGCTATCTAACGTAGCTTCCTTCGGATGGTCGAGACTTAATCTGAGTTGGTATACTCCGTACCCCCTCCTGACTTTGTTTTACTTTTCTATTTAAACCCCTACATCACCAAGCGCATAGTCAAAAGCGCATCACCTACAAGCGCTAGGTCGCTTCCTGCAGTCATGGGTCTTGGAGTACTGGAAGATACAAAGCTCGTGCATGTCCCAGGTAATATACCCCTTTGCCCGCCCATGCGCAGTCAGATGCAGCGCGGCTTATCACAACTTCACAACTCCAGGCAGCTCCGATATCTACGAACAAAATAGCGATGGCGACCAGATCCAAGGAGCCTCAGGCCTCAAATGCGACTGCTCGGGCAACCAGCCGATTATCCTTGTCCCGCAACCAAGCGATGACCCAAATGACCCATTAGTATGTCCCAGAGAGCACCATACCCCATCATTTGGTTCCACAAGCACTTGAAACCTGACAAAACCTGCCCCATTAGAACTGGCCATTATGGCGACGCGATATGATCCTTGCGATTCTCTCCTTCGTAACCATCCTCTGCACAACCCTAAGCTCCATCCTAGCCGCCAATACGGTCACCATCGCAGATTACGAGGAAATATCGTTCACAGCGGCCGCCTTGTTGACTGGATATCACCTATGCGGTGTTGGTGTCGCGGGTATTCTTATTGTGCCAACGGCTCGAGTCTGGGGTAAACGTCATCTGTTCTTGATCGGACATGTCTTGATGATTATCAGCTGTATTTGGGCTGGAGTTAGTGGCAAAAACCACAATAGTCTCATTTGGGCCCGGGTATTCCAGGGTGTTGCATTGGCACCATTTGAGGCGCTGGTCAATGCATGTGTTGGAGATCTTTATTTCGTTCATGTGAGTTACGCACTCTTTTCTCTACAGATTTGAGATATGATGGGATTAATGGAGAAAATATAGGAGCGAGGAAAGCGAATGGCTGTATCTAATGTCGCACTTTTTGGCGCGGCCTTTCTGACGCCTGTTGTGGTGGGCAAAATCACCAAGTCCATGGGTTGGCAGTGGTCTTTCTACTTTGTGGCAATTTTTCTCGGCGCTTCATTGCCGTTGATGTTCTTTTTCGTGCCTGAAACTGCTTTCCGCCGTCCTGATTACTTGAACACCGACTTCAAGCTAAGCGGCAGGCAGGGCGAGAATATGGAGTCTCATGTTTCCCTAAGTGGAATTTCCAATGATGACACCAAGGAACTTCGACCAGCCTCCGCCGACCTGAACGGAGTTTTGAGGACCGAAGCTGTGACAACAGTCCCCGAGAAAGATTCCTTCGCTCAATCACTCAGGCTTTTCAACGGGCGAAAGACAGATGAGAGTTTCTTCAAGCTACTCCTTCGTCCATTCCCATTGTTCTTTCATCCGGGCGTCCTCTGGGTAAGCAACCCACTTGGTATCTAGTCTCACATACTGATTAAAGTCTAGGCTTGTCTGATCCAAGGTGTTGTCATCGGATGGGCTGTATTTGTCGGTGTGGTTCTAGCAATTGTCTTTCTCGGGCCTCCAATGTGGTTTGAAGAAGACAAGACCGGATACCTTTACACAGGTGCCTTTATTGGCTCCATTGTGGGTCTGGTTCTTTCTGGTCTACTTTCTGATTCTATTAACAAGTTGATGATCCGGCTCAACAAGGGCAAATACGAACCTGAGTTCCGGATCCTTTTGGTCATTCCCCAGCTTATTTTCTGCGGCATTGGACTCTATGGATTTGGATGGACTGCAAATAACGTGATGCACTATGGCTGGCTACTGCCAGACGTCTTTTTCGCGTTCTTGATCGTTGGAATGGTGATGGGGGCCGTTGCTGCGTCACTCTATATCGTCGATGCTCATCGTATGTGAATCTGCGGGCCTTGCATGGGAATGATTGCTGACAACACTAGGCGAGATGGCGATTGAGGCTTTTACCTGCATGCTGGTTTTCAAAAACATGTTCAGCTTTATCCTGACCTTCTTCGCCTACAAATGGTTCGCACATGGGGGCATCAAGCATACCATGATTATCATTGGTAGCATTCAAGTTGGCATCTGTCTATTGAGCATTCCCATGTGTAAGTTTTACTATGTGTGCAGGTATTTATCCGTTTCCTCCATTTGGCTGACAAGTTTCGTGGTATAGATGTGTTTGGGAAACGGAATCGGTCTTTCTTCGCCCGCCATGACATCCTCGAAATGCTTCACCTCCGGTAATATGCTGGCACAACCGGAAGTCTTTAACGGTGCAGGGAGCGTGGGCACCTACGATTTTACACTATACAAGTGATAGAACAAGCATATGCTACGAACCTTTATATGTTTTATAATTAATTAGCTGATGATAATAGCCACTTTTACAATAAGGCTTATTGACACCATAGGCAGATGCCCATACAATCCAAATGTTTGGATGAGTCTCCCTCCCATTGTACATCTTTTTACTACTCTCAAGAGTGAAGAAATTCACCCCAAAGACCTTCGAAGTATATGTATAATTCAAGTCTAGCCGACAAGAGATTTCAGCCGATAGTCACCACCGAACCGCTCCATGGCCTCTACCTTCCAAGTCTCCCAATTCGAGTGTGAATCCTCAATGCGCAGAGCCCTAACAAGTCCCATAAATATCCCGACATATCCATCCCAGTCACGACTGTCATAACCACAGCAAAAGTGTAATCGATGAAGAAGCCGCCCCTTCTGAACTATGCCCCCAAGATCAGGATGTCCTTTTCCCTCCAGCAACTGACTAAAAATCATTTCATCTTCACTCAAGTGATTATCCCCATCGTAAAACAGAGCAACTGGAAGAAGAGCAATAGGTGAATTAAATGCCATGGATCTGGGACCAGTGTGCGCCCACTCCCAGTCAACAATTCCTGTGATGTTAAATTCATCGTCCACGAGAATATGGTCTCCCTTCTCATCCGCATGCTTCAAATAGAACTTTCCATCATCTAGATCGTTGTTGAGAATTGCTGAAAGGTTTTCCAGAAGATAGAGGTGTATCAAAAAGGCGTCCACTGGTCGAAGTGCATATAACTCTTGTCGGATAATCAAGTCCAATATCAATTCAATGTGCGCAGTGTAATACCCTTCCAGAGAAGAGAAGGGTCCAAGTATTTTCAGAGAATCTGTGTAGTCGCTCATGGATTCGCTAGCAAATGGTCCAGCGTGTTGAGAACCAAATTCATCCATAACCAAAGAGCCCATTGTATCGAAAGGATGGGTCTGAAGCTCGATATAAATATCGACAAGTTGGTCTATCACCTTTCTCTTTTGCTTGTCCGTAGCAAGAGACCAGTCCAAGGATTTGCCAGGCATCTTTTCCATGAGTATATACGCAACACCGACAGGGTTCGTCTCATCCACGTTAAATTCATAAACCTTTGGAGCAGGAACTGTGGTATTACTCAAGAACTTGAGTGTCGCAACCTCAGAGTGCATAATATAATTCCGCAGCTCCAGTGGCGGCGAGGTGGCATTGAATCTTCGAATGCGCGCTAGCCAGCTGACTCCATCATTGAATGAGATCTCAATATGATAGTTCATGCCACCCATAACTGAATCCAGGGTTGATGGATTGTATTGTAGGTGCGATATAGAGCACCCCATGCCATTGCGTAGGTCGCTGGCTCGAGATGTGAGCGCGTGAACATTGATCTTGACGAGAAGACTGATTACTTCATTTTTTTCCGCTTGCCCGGTTGCAAGATAATGAGCTGTTCCATTCTCCTAAAAGAGGGGGATGTTAATGTAGTTCATGAAAAGTTTCTGGTTTTCCTCACCTCCCACTGTGGACATGTATGATACTCTGGCTTAAGGTGTTGGATGCACAGGTGACGATTACAAAGTAGGCAGTCTCCATCTGTGCGAACGGATGCCCTGTTGCATTTTTCGAAGTCACAGATCCATAAACCCATAGCAATCTGATTTTGTCGTGATGAAGAACGGGAATGATGGGTTATAAACTTACCCATGAGTCGCATGTCTTGTGACTTGGATATTCCAATTGGCTAGTTACCACTGAGCTTGAATCGCTGCGCTAGTGACAGGTTAACAGGATTAGATGGTACATGGTTCCTTTCCGATTCGTCGTTTACTCATTTCAAACGTCAGGTTCAATTTTCATTTGCGGTGAGACCCAATGGACAACCCGCCGAGGTGGTGCATGAGACAAAAACAATCAAGATGCAGGGGATCCAGGTTCGTGATCCTCATTACGAGCGCCTTTTAAAAGTTGTGGATGTGGGTCTGATAGACGTCCACGATTATATATAGCAGCAAGCTGCGATTCAAAGAAACTTACTTGAACACAGAAATCGTGGCTAGAAGGGTAGTGTCTCCCTAGCACGCCAAATGTAGGGTATTGACTGAATGAAACTGCGCAAAGATAGCAATTAGGCATTTATAAGACTAGGGATAGTTACTAGATGTATCGTGGGCTGGGAGGCGGCTAGAAGTTGTCAATCTATATCTAGAGAAGAAGAAAGCAGTGAAAACCATGGAGTCAGTCAAACAACATAGCGAGACACAAAAAGAAACCTAAAGAGTGTAAAAGTAAGAGAGATAAGTCCAGGAAGAGCCTCAACGATTAAACAGCTCTAGTGACCTCGGGATATCCAAGTGCGATTCATCAAGGAATATGAAATAGACAAGGCAAATCCCCCAGCGGATATTTGTGGTCAAGTCAAAGATATTGCTTCAATAAACCGAAAATAAAACATAAGGCGAGTGCGATGGAAGCTTCTGATATCTGCCGAGAAGACTAGGTTATTAGCACCTACAGATGATGATTTGACTGTTATGAATTTGCACCCCGGTTCTCTAACCAGGGGCCTACTATGTACGAATGAAACTAATGCACCAGTGCATCACTCATTATATTCCCGACTGACGTGTTGGCTATCAACTGGGTCTCACTACCGTAGGGCTGTTTTATGTCTTCAACCATGGACTCAACCAAACATATTGGTTCACCAACTGGACCCGGTCCATCACTGATATCGCTCCCTGTTGATCTATTCATTCAGCGGTGATTTTTCATTCCAGTGAGTTCAGCCCCTCGCCATAGATGGGCAAATTGCATTTGCAGCTTACAAATCGATGGCGTCACCCGTGGACTGAGCGTTTCAGATAGGAGCAAGGCTATCGTGGCCGCTACCACGGGATCTCTGTGCCCTCAATCACGTCGAAGAACTTGCCCGAGGTCGCCTCCCGAGATGCCTTATCAATCTGTAGGAGTCAGTCTACAGCCTTCATCCTTCAGTATAGGGAAGAGCATCACGTACTAGGCTTATAATGGCATCGATACTCTGCCGTAGGGTGTTGGGGGCCTCGGGAAGGCCCATCGCGCGGGCACCTCTGTTGCCATCCTCCGTTTGCACAAGCCTGTCAGATGGTCAGCTGCAGTCCGAAATCCCCCATCCGGCTTGTGTCTCTGGTGGCTTACCCGGGATGCACAGCAAAGGCAATGAAGTCCTTGTTAGCGCTGTGGATGGCACTACATGTCCGTAGGAGTTAGCTGATTCTTCCGCAGCCAGAGTAGGCTAACACTAGAATCATCTTACGTGGTGAGCCAATTCAAGCCCGCCTTGGCGATTCCGTACGCCGGAACAATATGAGCCTGGTGAACCTCAAGTCGGCCAATCGAACCAGCAGCACTACTGATTGATACCCACTTGGGGGCCTGGGACTTCTCCAGCAAAGGCTTGACGGCCTGATATAGGGCCAGTGGCCCGAGCGTATTCACGGTAAATATATCTTTCGCGATCTCGGAGCTCACTAGCTCTAAGGGGATCATGCCATTCCCGCCAGCTCCGCCGGCATTAGCAACCACTATATCGATGTGGTCGACGTCTGTGAGAGTTTTGATAGCCGCCGCTGGGTCGGCTGAGTTGCTGCTTTCAATTTTTACCACCTGTAGACGTGAGCCATCAGCCTTGGGCAAGGACTCTAGCTCCTTGACGTAGTCTGCGGCTGTGTCACGGACACTGGCAATTATTGTGTGCTTATGTCGGAGCAGGAAGGTTTCCACCAACGTTCTCCCGATTCCTATCCTCCGTCAGCGCAATATCAATACAGTTCAAGGGAGGAGTTACCTCGACTAGTGCCGGTAACGAGAACTACAGTATTGTCGGAAATAGTCATGGCGAGAGGATGGATGACAAAGAAATTGTAGTGGGAGTCGTATCTGGTAGCGTTGTGGTTGGGTTAATGACCTTGATGAATGAGATGGAGGGAGAAACTAGCCTCATGATTGCAGCCTCGTTTAAATAATCAGCCATGGGAGGTGTTGAGAGATATTCTGTAGATGATTATTAATGCTGATGTGCTCCACGAATGCTTTGAAATCGAGGCCTTAGGATTACCGATCATTAATATAGTCATCGAATGGGGCCGTATGCACTCCATGGGGGTATGAGGGACTATCAGCCACCAGCTGAAAGCTCGTGGCCGATAGGCGTTAAGGCCAAGCATTTTCATGCATATCAGATTCTCAATCTCGGCGTATTCTCACGACAAGCTCAGGAGCGGCCTAGTGCGAATCCTTCGGCACTCTAGTCTCTTGGTATTCGAAGTACTCCGTACTTCGGTATGGTCTGTTTAATAGAAACGCTATGTTAGTCTTCTGTGCCTGGTTTACATGATGTAACTGTTAGGGCCGACGGTTTGTAGGCATTAAGAATTAAGTGGGATAGCGGAGCGAGCTTCCAATGGGTTAACTACATATCCAACTCCATAGAACACAGGCCTACCTAAGGCAATAAGACATAAAAAGGCAACACCAGATATACCAGGTAACGATACCCTTGTTCTAGTCTTAGCCATCCCTCCCACTACTGGAGACTGAGTTTCCCAGGGAGGAACTCGACATCTGCGAAAACAGGCGAGATGTGTGACGCAAGTTGATATGTCAGCTGGCCTTGAAGCCAATGCCAGTTTGCATTCGTTGAAGGTGGAACACCAACAAAAAGGGCTGGCCGCGCGGAACGGGCATCGTTGCCAATATTGAACGGAGAAAGCAATTGCCATTTTGTCCCAAAAGTCTCGTCAAGGACCCGGATGATCTCATCTTTACGATATTGAAATGCAATAGCAAGCTCAGCCGTTGAATGAATAGGGAATAATGTAGGGATATAGAAGTGGTCGACATCAATCACTTTTATCTGAAACCGTGAAAGGGAGTAGTAATTGAGAAGGGTGATAAGGTCGTCTTTTAAGGGATCCTAGGGGCACTAATGCCGAATTATCACCCGCAACCATAGCACAAAGCAGAGCAAAGCCATCACCGGGGATAGTTGCATTTACCACTTAGAGATGTGATTGTGCTGGGAGACCACGCCGGTCGAGGGTGTTGTAGATCTCATGGTGTAGATGATATGTAGGATCTTCCTCCGTCGTGATAGTAGTGACCTGGAGGGCCATAGGATCAGGGTTTGCGAAGCCAATGCTTCGGAATGGATCGGTGCGATGTAGGTATTGTTCTATATCGATATCGCCTTCGTTCTCCTCCCAATCTTGGAGGCGGCGTCGCTTCCGTGGACTTGGGAACGCGTAAGCCATTTTTCTTGCAGACTGGGGAGCGAAAGAAGGAAAAGATGGGAAAATAGGTGTAATTCAGAGGCTCTGACGAAAAGTACCAGTTGTGGTAAGTGTGGAGGAAAAAAAGGAAAAAGAGGGAGTTATAGATGTATCAGAACGTTATCTGGGTCATATCCGTCGACATTGATGGATCGGGCTACCCAAAAAAAAAAAAAAAAAAAAAGAAATTCCAAGTTGGTACAGCTATATTCACGTATAGGTATGTATCTGTTCGATCAAATTATTCATGGTAGGCATACTTATCAATCAAGTATAGCATATCCTCCAATGCACTACCGTTCACATAGGTATCGGGCACATGTGCGGAGTACATAATTTTTTCCTTGAGGTTGTATAGACGATTCCGGTCATCGAACTCCTCGACTGGCTCATCTAGCTTAAAAAGCTTGCAATACTCATCACTGTATTGTGGCTTGTTCATAGAGTGATAGTCAACCCGCCACATTCCGATCGCCATCTCATGATAGACATAATATGCGCACGAGTCGAAAAGGTAGATGCTCCCTGTATCTTTCTCTGTGTCGATGTTCCGTTCCTAGAGGTTGTCATGGATCAAGTACGGCTTAACAGTTCGATTTTCATAAAAAAGGACCAAGAAGGCCGGGGACGACTTTATCTAGTATTATCTTCATGGCATCATCCACTGTCATGTCATGAATTATACATATGATATCTGGGCATTATGCTGAGATATAGTGGTCTTTTGGCCTAGTTTGTAACTCACCAGTCCAAGGACAGGTTGTAATACTCGTCCAATGTCTCGTTGATCGGATTTATCTTGAGGGGCTGGGTGAGGGGGAGAAAGACAGGGGGAAGACACTAGAGCGCCATACAGCAGTCAGATCCAATCGATAGCCGACACGTCAGTTTAGAAGACAGTTATTCATTGATGTAGTGTCTCTGAAGTTGTGTAGGCGCCCGACTAAGTCAACAAACGGTTTGATATTAGTTGAAGTGTGTGATCGGAGTGTGCCCGCACCTGCAGGTATCCAGTCTCGTCACTAACCTCAGCGGCTACGGGACCCCACAGCAATGCAATGCACCGAATCCTGAGACCGTATCGCCGAATGAATGCACTAAACGCGTCTGAGCCAAGAGAGACGGGTTCGGACATTATTACATACTATCATGGAGCCAAGTTTTCCAGACATTGCAAATCTGCCTTTTCGGGGATCAACCCAACGCCCATGAAGTTTGCGCACTTACCTCGAATGGCCCCGGTGGTATTAAAAAAATGGTGCGTTGAAATGCTATGATGCCCCTCTTTCTACGCCATCCCTGCTAGAGGAGACACAGGTGCTTCACCCGCTCCGCCCTAGCCGTGTTTTCACAGAGCAGTGCCGTCAAAGGGCATTATACGCGTAGTTCCTTCTACGTATAGAGCCTCTTTTTAAACGAACCTATCTGAGACGAAGCTTGCTGACACTCATCAATTTGGCCTGGTCAGTGGAGACGATTTAAATCGAAACGATCAGCCCGGAATAAATATTTGGATGGCCAAAATAATCAGACCAATTCAGCGTTCCAGAGCCAAAAACAAGGTTCGCAGTCATTTACTTCCCCGGAGGTCTCTGGCCTTGATCGAAAATGGAGTTCGGGTGGAAGCGAGTTATTCAAGGATCGCGAGCGCCACGAGCCGTCGGTCGCATCCGGACAAACATTACAATCTAGTGAGATTTCTTGCGCGCGAGACCAAGTATTTCACCTAGAGCCCAAGGAGAATCAAGGACACCACACGCAAGATCGCCGAGACGACCCAATAGGCCTCACGGTCCTTCACGCTCCAGAGGCAAAGCCTCGGACCGTGGACATCTTATTCATTCACGGACTTGGAGGTACTAGTCTCCAGACATGGTGCAAGAATAGGGACTTGGGGCTTTTATGGCCCAAGATGTGGCTTTCCGAGGAACCAGACCTGTCTACAGCACGGATCTTGACGTTTGGCTACAACGCAAACTTTGCCGCGAGGAAGGAGCAAGCATCGCTGACAATCGGCGACTTCGCCAGTGACCTACTGTACCACATGAAATACAACGATGAGGGTAACGATAAGATGGGTGAGGTGCCCATCATTATCGTCGCACACTCGATGGGAGGTCTCGTCTTCAAGAAAGCCTGTACGTCCTCAAGTCGAAAAAAACCATTGCCGACGATTATTTTCGGTATCAGGACCTGCCGGATATAGTCGCTAACACGGCTGTAGTTATCTATGGGCATCTTGACGAGAAGTATCGCAGTATCACCTCTAGCATCAAGGCTGTCCTCTTCCTAGCAACTCCACATCGGGGCACTGATCTCGCGAAGACTCTAAACAGAATTCTTACCAACTCCATGTTTGGGCACTCTTCGAAAGAATACGTCAAAGAACTCGTAAGGGGTAGCACTACCATCGATGAGCTGAATGATACGTTTCGCCACCATGCGGCGAAACTCCAGATATTTTCATTCTACGAAACCTTTGCTACTGCCGTCGGACCGATGAATGTGATGATCTTGGAAAAGCATTCGTCCTTGTTGGGCTACCAGGACGAGACTACAAAGCCTCTTATGGCGAATCATCATGATGTGGTCAAATTCTCTAGTCCGGATGACCCGAATTATAAGGCAGTGCGGAATGCTCTGCGCAGCATCGTTAAAGCATTCAGAGGTCCGAAATCAGATGAGAATGAAACCGGGAAAGGTATTGAAATGATTCAAAAATGGCTGGGCGTGACTGGGCCACCTGAAGAAGACTTGATTTCCCTTCGATCTGTGCGGAAGGCAGGAACATGTGAGCATCTACTACAAAAGCCCAAATTCGAAGAATGGGTTGATGGAAGTTCTCCTCATATCCTGTGGGCACATGCTCCCCCGGGGAGTGGGAAGTCAGTTCAGTGCTCCTTTGTAATCGAATCTTTGCAGCTGCACCAAAAGAGCTGTGCTTACTGGTTCTTTAAGGATGGCGATGTTCAAAAGCGTTCCCTGAGCAATATGCTTCGGTCAGTGGCGTACCAAATTGCTGTTAAAGACCAGTCTTTTTTTCAGGCTCTTAATGAAGTTGCGAAGTCTGGTATACATGTCGATAGAGCGGATGCGATGACGGTTTGGAGAACCATCTTCGCCTCCAAGCTTTCAGCCATCAGCTCAGTGCTGTATCTGGTCATTGATGGGTTGGATGAATCAGAGTCGAGCAGAACATTCATTGATCTCGTCTCGAACAGTAGCATGCCACAGAGCAGTATTCGAGTCATTTTCTTCAGTCGGCCGTTGTCAAGCATCAACCAAGCGATCCAAAGAGCAAGGAAGCGAGTTACCATCACAGACATTGGCTTGACGGATAATTTGAAAGACATCCGTCTTATGGCTGCAGATGAGATGGAATATTTTCTATCTAACGAGGAGCTTGAAGATTTCAAACACGACATTATTGAAGAAATCACGTCCCGCTCGCAAGGCAACTTTCTGTGGGCTAGTCTCATCCTCCAAATGGTCGTCGATTGTCATCGCCAAGAAGAAGTCAAACAAGTTCTGCGAGCTACACCAGATGGTATGGTCAAGCTCTATCATGGAATGTCTAACGCCATTGCAAAAATCGATCGAAAAGAAAACATAATGCTTTGTAGGATACTCCTTTCTTGGGCCATGTACTCCATCAGACCTATTAAGATCGAAGAGCTCATGGAACTCTATCCCTCAGAGTTCCACAACGTTATAGATCTGAAACACACAATCAGCGAAGTCTGTGGTCAGTTTGTGGTCATCAACACCAACAATCAGGTCGTGTTGGTCCACCAGACGGCACGAGAATACCTCCAAGATTGCACTAGACTTCCCTTCTCCCTCGATGCGTGCGACGTGAATGAAGAGCTCCTCTTTCAATGTACAAATTTCCTTTGCGATCTGTCTCTGAAAATAAAAGTCCGACAGCGCAAGACCCCCATGTTCCTCTCATATGCGTCTGTCTCCTGGGCCCATCACCTGAATCTCTCTTCTGTTCAATCTGACCGGGTACTTGAGATCCTCGTGCGATTCTTCAACGGTAGTTTTCCGTTGCCATGGATCCAATCGCTCGCTATGAATGAGCACCTTTCACATTTGGTAGCGGTGTCTTCCCATCTCATGAGTTTCGTCCGGCAACGGAGGAAAATCGACGCGATCAAGCCGCCAGCCCTTCTTCGCTCACCGGAGTTATCACTGCTCGAAACTTGGGCAAACGATCTCATGAAAATGACAGCAAAATTCGGGTCTTATCTGATTGATGATCCCGATGCCATTTACAAGTACATTCCTTCGCTCAGTCCAGAGAACTCGATGCTTTACCAAAAGTATGCGAAGATATCATCGGCGACTATCTCCATCTCCGGTATATCCATAACCAATATGAACTGGGATGACTGTCTTGCCCGGGTGTCAAATGGTCCCGATTCTGCATTGCATATTGCAGTGTCGGCGGAGTATCTTGCCGTTGCGAATGGTCGACCGAAGGGCAGGATTCAGCTGTGGAGTAACGTTACTTTCCAAGAGCACTCCTCATTCAATCCTGGGGAGCCGATATGTTCCATCTCCTTTAGTCAATCTGGCTCGCTACTGGCCTGCTATTGCCTGGATAACACATATGTGTGGAGAGTGAAAGACCGGACTGTCATCGCCAAAATCGAAAGCCCTCGCCAAGAACGACCGAAATGTTTGAAATTTGGAATAGACGAATCGTTCCTCATCATTGTCACCGACACCCGTCGTGTCTACCGACTGAATTTCTATGAGGATAGCTCAGCATGGCTCCGATTTGATCGTTCTCTTCTAGAGGAAACTTCAATACCAGAAGGGGCGTTTGTTAATTCACCATCGTCGGTCGACTTCAACCCAGATAGCACACAGATTGCCGTTGCGTATCTGAACTTTCCTCTCGCTATCTGGAATCTTGACCCGCCAGAGATGATTGCCAGGTGTAGACAAAATGGGAATCAGGGGCAGACAGCGAAGACTATTTCTTGGACCGGCGTTAACCGTGTGGTTTGGCATCCATTCAATGGCCAAGTTCTCGGGATCAACCGCCTCGGCGATATCTTCAAGTGGGGTCCGATAGATGACACCTATGAAGAGGTCAAACGGGAGCTAGATAACTGGCCATCGGAGATCCAGTGTTGCCGCAACGGGCTCTCGTTCGCTACTAGTGACAGCAAAGGCTCCGTCAGGATCTACAACTACTCACAGATGGTTCAGATATATAAACTGACTTCAGATGATATTATGACGGCTATTGCATTAAGCCCGGACAGTCGTAGGCTCTATGATCTGCGAGTGTCCTGTTGCAATGTATGGCAGCCGGACTGCCTGATTGGACTAGCCGATACCAGCATAGATTCATTTGATAACAGCGATAGTGTGACGAGTTCCGAACAAACCAGAATAGACTGCACTGCGTCAGATCTAGACGAGAAAAGCGGCTCTATGTTATCGTCGCCCACGTCCGAATTCCATGCCGATACGAAGCCAATGATCACCGCAGTGGCCACCTGCGCCAGAAATAAAGGTATATTCGCGCATGCCACAGATGATGGAACGATTGAGATCTGTGATATAGAAAGCAAACGCAAACACTTCATCACGGAGTGCACTTTCGGCATGGACATCATCCACTTCACCCTGGCCCAGGGTGGGGAGTACCTCGCATACTGCTTGCTTGATGGGCATGTCACGATCAAGAGCATCGACTCGTTTTCAAACCCGGAGAAAATTTCCACGCAAACTGTCTTTGCTGAGACAAAGTCTATCAGCCGCGGCCATATCAGACAGATTCTTTTCGATAGCAAATCTGAACGACTGTTGGTCTGCGGCACAGAAAGACTTCAGGTCCTTCGTGTCGCAGACGGCAGCATAGCTGCTGAGATAGAAATCGACCAAGCAGATCCGCCTGCACGATGGGACAATCACCCAACAAATCCAAGCATCCTACTGGGATTCACAGTCGGCAGAGTTAACGCAATATCTTGGGGTGCCCTCCAATTCAAGTCTACCGTCTCGCACAAACTCGTTTGTGAGAGCTCCGATAGTCAGCCGGAATCATCTCTGAAATTGGAAGCTTTGGCACAATCATACCACCCGAAAATGCAGCTCGCTACTATCTCCGAGGACACCTCGAATGGCAGGCTTGTTCGCTTTCTGCTGCTTGATACCTCTGTGCTATACGAAGATCATACAGAGTCCTCCTCTTCTGATGAGATCAGGGGTGTCGGTATCCCGATTCCTATTGCCGAGTGCATAGAGCAGCCGGTCGGGATTCTTGCGGATGGCCGACTCGTCTTCCTCGACAAGGCCCTATGGGTATGCACGGCGCAACTACGGTTACCATCTGCGCACAGGTCGGAAACTACGGTGACAAGACACTTTTTTATCCCTCGCGACTGGCTGAATAGCGCGGGGCTGGTGTTATGTAAGGTGCAGGCGGATGGGAAGTTCTTGTCTCCCAGTAAGGGTAAGATGGCTGTGATTAGAAGCAACATTGGGATGGATTGGTGAACGCGTTAGATAGAGTCATGATATGTTGGACTACATGTCAAACCCCTAGGATCGGATCGACACCTGGAATAAATCAAAAATACTACATAGATGAAATCTGAAGTCATCTAGAGCATTCCAAACAATACTGTATAGTGGAATGCTTGGCAATGAGTTCTTTATTATTAGGGCTTGGTCGTACTGAGCCTAAAGTGCTATCGTCACTATTATATGAGAACGTGGAGGATCGACATGAATATATTAGATGTAGATCAGGGTTCATAAAATCGAAGTCCTCACGTCACCACCCGAAAATTAGCCTCCACTCGATCGAATCCGGTATCTTCAACTCCACATAGATCGTGCACTAGCGCCTATGGAGATCAATAGCTCTGGGGAGCATATCGATCTTCCCCAAAAAACGATGATGCAATGGCTTTCCGATCGACGTCACGGGGATGAAAGAAGCTTTCCGGACTTCCATTCCACTCTTATAGTTTTGTCCCTGCTATTCTTTTTTTTTTTTTCTTTTTTCATGTCTTCAGTTCCATATTGCTGAACTATGGCAACTGCACAAGTGCCTCGCCAGTCTCGGCTGGCAGATGATGGTAAGATGCGCAATGATCTGCAACACGCAGATCGCTCGAATCGCTCAGATCGCTAACCTCACGTGAGATATAGCCGCGACAGCTGCCCTGTATGCGACGCATCCTGAGCGCAGGGCATCTTACTCTACCCCGACCGTAACTAAAACCCAGTACATCAGTGAGTTTCATCCCTTGATACGATAGGCGAATATACCCATACTGACAATGCGCCTTGCGGTAGACCGCGCGGTTGGTGGTACCCAAAATCTCAGCCACGCCTCCGCTGCCTCGGCTCTCGCTCACGCGAATCGCAAACCTGTCAAAGTATGGCAGCCCCCGGCTAGGCAGCCTACCGCCGAAAAGGCGGCACTATGCGTGAAGGACTACACTCCACCCCAGGAACCCAAGCCCACCACTCAGCACAGTTCGGAGGGGGTGGGAGCTGCAGCGCTCGCTGTTCGTGAACAGAGAGCTTCGGTGAGCCGGGAATCTGCATCTGCTGCCAACAGACGTGGCAGCTCAATCGACCAGCATACAGCCGTCGGGGGTGACCCGAACGAAAAAGCGCTCAAGGCTGCATCGGGCGCCTTCACGGTCTCGCGTAAGAGAGCCGACTCGGTACCTAGTGACGGGGGTGCTACCTCCGAAATTCCATATGACCCTTCAACAGGCGCATTGCGATATTCCCGTGTGGAAGAGGAGGACCCCCTCGACCACTTAGACCCTGCCATGGAGGCAAGCCGACTCCGACACATGTCTAATGCTAACCCGAAGATGTATACTTCATCGCCACCTGTCGAAAGCGAAATCAAGGAGCAAAATTACAAGAACTCGCAGCGTGCTGCTGCTATCGTAATGGCAAAGGACATGTACAAAGTCACCGGTACCAAGCAACAATCCGGCCAATCTGCTGCCGTCCAAGCAGCCCAAAAGGGACAGAGTCAAATGGGCTACCGCAAGACCGTATCTACCGCAGACGGAGATGCCCTCCGGCGTGCGATTGCTCTACAAGAGGCAGCACAAAGGCGAGCCGCCGAGAAGTTGGCCCTTATGCACGATGAAAATGCAGAATACCAGTTATATTATGGCACCGCACCTCAGCCGCAACGATCGCTCTTGACATCCCGCCGCAAGAGAACTTCGAGCGATACGGAGGTCTTACAGACTGACGCAGAGCAGTCACGGCAAATCCGAAGCCAGATGACTAACCTACAGGCCAGGTTAGGCCAGGTAGATGATCGTAAAACACAGGATCGTGAATTACTTATGCAGGCTGCCCGCCGCAATGTGGACCGAACCCTCCAGGACATGGAAGCGCGAGTTTGTGCGGACACCGGCCGCGCCCCGCCTGCCTTGCAGAAGGAGTGGGACGAAGCTGCCCAGGCACGCGTGCGTCGGGAGGCAAAAGATCTCAAAGGAGAAACTGTTCGCACCCAAGGTGATAGAGTGAACATCGGTGGCCAAACGTACATGGACATGGCCGATGTCGATGCGGTCGCTCGGACTCGCCTCCAGCCTGCTCTCGATGAGATCGCTGAGAATGCCGAACAACGGAGGGCCAGGGAGATCGAAGCCCGTCTGGACGCTGAAGAAGAGGAGAGACATGCTGCTGTGGAGCGTGAACGCGAAGCTGAAACAAGAGAAATAGAGAAGCAACAAAGAAGTTGGTTACCCTGTCGTCCTCCCTTCGAACAAACTCTGACCAATATAGGTGCAAACAAGCGCGAGAGCAAGATTCCCAAATTCTTCCTGTGGAGGAAGAAGGGTAAACGAGCTCGAGTTGAAGAATCCGAGACCGAAGAGGCTCAAGCTGTCTCGCCCGTTAGCCAGGGAGCTGTATTACAACAGCCTGTATCAGAGCAGCCTGTATCAGAGCAGCCTCCGAGTCTCGCCGCGGACAACAATGCCTCAACGAAAACCATCCCTGATGAACCTTCTATTCGGACAGAGCCAAGGGACACCACCACTGAGCCGGTTTCTGTTGTTGAGACAGAGCCACGGGAAAACGTCCCCGAGAACGCTTCTGTCGAGACAGAGATTGCCGCTCCTGCCATCGTTGTTGCACCTGCCTCTTCGGTCGCAGAGGCTGAATCTTCCAAGCCCGACGAGAACGATGTGCCCGCGGCTATCCCACGGCGACCGACGCGAAGCCAGACCGAGCCCCTCGAGCTTGAGCAGCGAGATGCAGCTGCCTCTGGTCCAACAGTTGTGCACTACTTCACACCACCAGTCACAAGCCCGCGTGCCGACGCCAAGCTTAAGAATTGGTTCCGTGACCGTCTGGTCCGCCGCACCAGCGGTCCAGTCGCCGTTTATCCCCGCCAGCCAGCTCCGGAGTTCAACACAGATCATGAACCCGCCTTTCAAGGTGGCGCTACTCTAACCGGCCGCGACGAGACTCGCGGGGCAGCACTTGGCTCACATCCTCTTGGCGAGACTATTCCGACCCATAACAGGTCCTCGAGCTACTACAGCAACGACTTCGATGTGACCAAGATGAACAGTGCCGACTCAGCCACGGAGTCTACCAAGCAAAATGGTAACGGCAAGAAGAGGGGCCGACTAAGCAGGGCCTTCCTAAAGACTGTCTCCAGTAACCATGATGAAGCTGGTTCGAACGATGTTGACTCCCGTCGTGACTCGGGGGTTCAATCGTCCCAGGATGTCAACGGCACTGATACCCAGAGTCCGCGGGATGGTGCTACTGATCAAGGTCTGGCTGTGCCACCTACTATTGGTGAGAATGTGAATGGAAGAAGAGAATCGAGGTTCGCCGAGATCCTGTGATTCTCAACCGAATTTTGATGTGTATGTGTATGTCCATTTGAACGTTGACCCGATGTACGATTTTGTTATTTTCGGATCTTATGGGTGATTTATTGGCGCTTTGGAACTTGAACTCGGTAGTCTGGGAGGATACTAGGATGGGGTTGTTTACTGCTATAATTTTCAATGCTTCGTATATAATCAATCTAATCCACAATGTCTCTATTAACATCATTGAAAATGTCTTTCAAGATGCGCAATAACCCGTCTAAGCGGTTCAATCACAGCCTTATCCGCCGTCTCATCTCCATCCAAATCAATAACATCCTGTACCTCAAACCCATGTCCCTGTCCCTCCGCACGCTCAAGCGAAACATCCACCCCAACCGCCTTCAACCCTTCAACCACAGCAACACTCTGCTCAAACCTAACCACATCATCCGCATCTCCATGCAAAAGAACCGTAGCCGGGAACCCCTCCTTCAACCCAAACCTAACAGGGAAAAGCACCCGATCCTCCTCCACAATAGCCCCAAGCCCCTCACCCACAATCCTCGCCCCCAACCCAGGCTTCCTAGTAAGAACATCGGGAAACTGCGCCGCCTGATGCAAAGCCATAATCCACCTAAACCGGCTATCAGCAGGTGGATCCATCGGAAACGCGTATGCATCAATAGCATCAGCCCGCATCGCATCATCAACCTCCTTCAACACCTCTGCTTCATTCTCAATAGTAGCGCCAAGAGGCTGTCCAGGATGAATATACCGCTCACCAGCACAATCCATCATCCCGTAAATGGATAGCACAGCGAGCGGTCTCGGTGTAGCAGGGTGTGCGCCAGCAGCGAGGGCTAGATACCCCCCAGCACTAGACCCGGCGATGACAACCCGCTTGCTGAGATTCTCATATACCCAGCTTACGGCATCAATTGCATCTTGCAGAATTTCTAACCCTGGTGTTTCCGGGAGTAAGCGGTAGGAGGCTGTTGCGTATATCCAGCCTCGTTTTTGGCAGGCGTTTATTAGCCAGTGTGGTGTGAAGGATGTTTTCTCGCCTAGGAACTGTGGGATGTGAGATTGGGTTTCAATTTGGTATGGTGTTTGCGCTTACTAGGAAGCCGCCGTGGAAGTGGAGGATCACGGGGGTGTTTTCGTCTTTTGTTGGAGGGGAGACGACATCGATCTCCAGTGAAAGGCCGTCTACGACTTTGAAGGTATGTGTGACTAACATGATCGGGGTTTTTCTATGGAGTATGGAATGGAGGATGGTCTTATGGATCTATTTAACTATCGTGAGTAGGATCCCACCGGGGGCCCGCCGGGGAAACCCCGGTGGGATATTCCTCATAGCGCCGGCAGTTGAGGGTAGATACGGGATACTTCATATCCAGTACGCTAAGCCTAATTGGCTTCTAGCGGTATATCATCTTGTATTGTACAATTCTGAGTGGGATATATAAATGTATAACAGACTCCATAGGTGATAAATGTGCAATGTAATTGGAATAGTCGAACTACACTGGCAGTAAGGCCCCAACCTCTCTGCCGGTGTGAAAATGTACAGGAAGCTACCTAAATATATCTGACACTTTAGCGGCAGCTTTAGCCCTTGTAATGGTTGACCTAGAGGTCATGTTCCACGGAAGAACCCTTTGGAGTTGCCTATGGAAGCCCTAATCAACATGCACATGTCTTGAAGCGCTTAAAAAAAGGCTCTGACAGGGCCAGGGAAAGCACTTGGGATTAATAATGAAGAGATCCGCAATGCTCATATTCAACTTAGCAGAGTTCTTAAGTCAATAAATTGACCAATTAATCATCCTGAAGAAGGCCATCTGTTGAAGGCCATCTGTTGAAAGGCCCCCCCCCCCCCCCCAGTGACCTCACCATCTCTGTAATAAGACGAGACTTAGTGTCTCTCTCTGTCCCTCCCTCTCTCTCTCTCTCTCTTTCTCTTTCTCTCTCTCTTCCTCTCCTCTTCCTCCCTTCTCTACTCACTGTCTTCACTGCCCACAATAGAACCTAGTGTATATCTCTCCACGATCTCCTCTAGTCTGTTGGCTCTGACACCATCCACAGCGCTATCCAGGTAAGTGTCTTTCCATTTGAGGACCCTAACGAAGTCTGGTATTAGGCAATCAGGGTCACTGTTATCCCTAGCGCCATGCTCACGAAGCAAATTCTCAACATCTCCCTGGCCAAAGAACTGGGAAAGACGCAAAGGTGAAATCCGCCCCATATTGACATCAGCGCCATGATTTATGAATGTCCTCACAATGTGAGCAGTTTCAGGAATATTGTTGATGATGGCAAGTAGCAACGGGGTCCTGAACGTTCGAGATTCTGCTTGACCCATAGGCTCCAGGTCGACTAGTGGGAGCCCGTTCGGATCTGCCCCGTGGTGCAAAAGTGCTTTGATGATGGCATGTGTGACCGTAGGACAACGGCCGCTTGTTGATATTGCATCCCGCACAAGGATTGTCGTGAGGGGAGTATAGCGGAGACCCGGACTATCGGAATTTGCACCTAGTTGGAGTATAAAGCTCACATCATCGACGTCTTCGAAGTCACAAGCTACTTCATTAAGGATTGTGGTCATCTTGAGATCGCACCAAGGGAACGGATAGACGCGATTGATATCAAGAGAGAATTCCTCTATCAGAATTCGTAGGAACAAGGCCCGGCTCTGTTTGCGCTTTGAAGTTGCCATTATGGCTCGGACAAGATTTTGAGAGTCAAGCAGGAGACCATAAACATTGACCAGTTCCTGGAAAAATTCCAAATTTTCCTCTTTCATTGCATTCTCCGTCAGACCACCAATAGTAGCCGGATGGTCATGGAAGTTGAAATCGGCTTCGATAAAGATGCGATAAAGTTCTTCTGTCTTGATGGCAGACGCATCTGTCATTTTGGTTCCACGCTGCAGCAAACGTTTGACAGAAGCCAAGTTACTTGCTTGACAGGCTTTCACCAACAAAAGTTCAGCATCACTCTCAGACGCACCCGAGCCAACAAGGTATGCACAGACTTCATGAATATCCGCTTCTGACCCAGATAGAGAATGTCGTTCTAGAGCAGCTTCGATGGCAGTCTGATTGTACGTTCCACAATAATTGCCAAGGTTTGCTTTGGCACGTACATTAGCCCCTTGGCTCACGAGATACTCCGCAACAGCCATCTGGCCTCCGATGGCAGCAACATGAAGAGCTGATTCGAGCGTCATGTGTTGTCGACGGATACTACTCGACCGAGCAGTTGGACTGACTCCTTTCTCCAAGAGCCTTTTCACATGCACGAGTGCACCCTGACGACAAGCAACATAGAAGAATTTAACCAAACATGGGTATGCCAAATCAATCTCCAGCCCCACATCAAGGAGATGGCAGATAATAGGTCCATATGATACTTCAATAGGCCTTTCCCATAGGGTATTTCCCCAAGGATACCATTCGAATGTGTCTTCCGATGCTTGGTATGCATCCAAAGCAATCTGCAACAGATTTGCCTTGCCACTTTTGTCTGCCAGTATTCGCCTTCCCTTTTCGTCCACAAGTTCCACTGGGAATTGGTCGTATAGGCCGCGCGTGTCTGCTCCGAGATCCAAAAAGGAGAAAAAGATATCCGGGTGTCCGTTAGTACATGCGTAGTACAGTAAAGTCTTCCCATCTGCATCTGTTTCATTGATCCAGGTTGCAATATTCCTTGTTGGCATAGCACATGTCAAACGGTGCAAGTCTAGCATACGCCTTATGAGAACCAGGTTATTTTTCTTAGTGGCCTCACGAAGAGCATCTGGTAATGCTAGGATGAAAACTGACGAACGTCCAAACAGACGTTCAAACCCTTCCTCGTACGCGGCGAGATCTTTAGAATTATTGCCCTTGGGTAAAGGCACCTTCATTGAAGCGAATGAAACAAGTGCTTTTTCTGCGAGGTTGTCATAAAATGATGGATTGAAGATGTGCTTGGCATTTTCAACAACCGTATACCAGTTGGCATTTGAAATACCAACCCGAACAAAGAATTCAAGGAGTTGTTCTTGGATGGTCTCTGAAGAGACATGGCATAGGAGAAGCTGCATCATCCGTGTACTCTTTCTCCTGGCTGCAATTTTTGACACCATGACAAAGGTAGCATACTGCTGACGAGCCAAGGAAGTCCCGTCACCCGATTCTTCCAACTGGAAGTCACCGAGAATTGACTGCATATGGCTCATGTCTCCCTTTCGCGCTGCGAACACCAAACTGTACCCAATTATAGCATGACAGTGTTGCTTGGCATGAGCGAGTAGCATTTCAAGAGAGCGGGCTCGCTTCCAAGCGACTGCCACGACCATCGGGGTGACAGTGCGCAAATAGTTTCCCCGTGAATCGAGAAGCAGAGGCCATTCAAGGGGAGTCTCAGGATGCGCATTAAGAATTAGCTGAATCATCTGCGTGTCGTCGTTGCGTACGGCAAATGATAATGCCTGTCCGACTTCAGCGCCCCTTTTCAAGAGAATAGCCACGACTTCGCACTGTCCTGCGGCCGCTGCCACTTCAATCGGGGTTGATTGGCCAGAGTAAGGACCTGAATAATTCCCCGTGGTGTTGAGATTAAAGCCTTGATCAATGAGGGCATTGATGATATGCACAAGGCCTTTCCGAGCTGCAATCCTGAGGAACCTGCCATTGCCGTAACCGATATCATGGTCTTTTGTAACCTTCATCCCTAGCCCATCCTCTTCCTCGATTGTGAGCCAGGGCGAGCTCATGTTTGGCTTTGGTGAACGACCACGACCCTGTTCCCACTAGACTCCACAGTGAACCTGTACGTCGACGACGTTATGATACGGAGGAGGGAGGTTTACCTCTCGTGCTACCATTTGCACTACGACCTGGTTTCTTCCGGGATGAGGACGGCGCTAGGATGAGTGATGGGAGACTAGTTCCCTCGGGCTCATTCACGGCACTCTTTCAACATGTTTATTTCCATCCGTTTGGGGGTGGGCATCGACCACAAAGATTGGAGAGATTGTTTGAACGGTGGATAGTGATGGAGCCACCACGCGTATCCATAACTAGCGACTTTTTAAAAGCAGCGCCTAAAAACAGCCAAATATACTACCTATGGAGATGTGAGATGACTGAGGCGGATTCACGATTTTTAGCGGGATACAGCAAATCAATATTAACTATTTCTACCTTGCATTTCATTCTAAGCATACATCTTGCTCAATGAAGGCCTTACTGGCTCCAAAGATGTAAAACTACAATGACCTTTGTCATCCTCAATTGCGCCAAAATCCCCCCACGATGAGGACGCCACAGTTTCACCCCACATCACCGGCCCTCTAGTGTTGTGACTCAAATCCTCGTCTTTAGGCGGATGGCATGCAGCACTAATTGCAGCACTACAAGCCCCTGCCAGCGGCATTTCGGACTTGAACCTTCTGAATGATACCCCAATCAATAAACAGACCATAAAAGCACCCACAAGAATAGAAATGAATATAGCCAGGCGGTTATGGCCCATGGAGCTGATTGAATAGTGTTGGATCTGTCGGCCCACCCAGTCATACGCGTTGACACGAACATAAAAGATACTCTGGGAAATCAACCAGTGGAGAACCATGTAGATCACAATCAGAGGGACTCCGTATCGATACGGCATGGATAGCCAGTACGTTGACTGCTGCGTGCTGCCGCTGATGGGCCACGTCACTCGAAGGGGCTTGGAACTTATCCCGTAAGAGCTGTATTCGGCAGTCGCAAGCATGCTAGTCAGCACGCTGTTGTAGAAGAAATAGCTGATTGTGATGAGCAGTTGTGGTATATTAGCTATCACCACATTGCTCAAAGCAGGCAATCCCTTTCCTAAGTCAACGAGTGTGGTTGATGCCCCAGCGCCAGAAAATCCTTCTGTCCATAGCTCACTGAGTAAAGAGAGCGTCACCAAACGACTTCCTGTTGAGTCGATGGCTTGTTCGAACAAAAATACTCCGACAGCAATCAGTGCGAAACATCTAGATTATTTGTTAAAATAGACAAAGTGCATATAGATGTTTGGGCGCTTACAATGTAAGGGTCGTTATCCAGCGCTTGAGGCTTGGTGCTTGCATCCAGCGCTTGCGTCGCGATAATCGCTTGTATACCATCGGCTTTTGCTGACTGACTCCCCCCAAAGGCTCCTCGGCTGGATCCTCTGTCTTTTGAGAGACTTTCCACACCCCTTTGCGGACATCAGCATTGGTTAACCAACACATCCCCTCCGTCGTAGAATCCGGCTTCTCCATGAAGGACGCCACTGCATCGCCCACGGTGAGCAAAGGCGGCGATCGATGGCGACCTATTCTTGCTGACAGAAACATTGCCACGACTTTAACAAAGGTCGCAAGAGCAATGATAATGCAAATCGGCGGACTATAGAGCAGCTGGCATCGATTTTCAATTCTGAGAACAAGACATCCATTGACGTGATAAGTGTGTGATTCAGGCGCGGCTGTGTCACCCCCACGGCAAATCTCATCATAGCCAATGGCCGTAACGACAGATGAATTATACGACTGGACATATTGATTCGCGCTCTCAAGCGTCGGCTGCTCCTCTTGCTGGGTAGCCCAGTCAAGCAGAAGGAGAGCATCTGAGCAGATATTTTGATCCAAAGTGTCCATACAGGCTTGATACGTGAAGTTTTCGTTTGTGTAGTAATGGTCCCGACCAGACTCAAGGAGATTGACCACCAAACTCTTGCTAGCGAAATTGAACCCTGTCATTTCGTGATCGGGTAAACCCAAAAGCCTCGTCCAGAAGATCGCATCAGTTCCACCTTGGCTCACAGACAACTCGTTCGTGAGCATGACGACCACCTTTGCCCCTCCGTTCTCTCTGAAACTGTCCAGCTTGTTGCATTCCTGAGCATCTAGGCGCTCGTAGTTGCCCGCGGCAATGTCAGAGGAAAAGTCATGCCAATTCAACTTACCCTCGGGAAACCCATCATTCGACTGATAAGCTAACTCGGTAGCATTATAAGTAGACCATTCTTCTGGAGTATCTCCACCCTCGAATCTCGGGGCTATGGTAAAACACCGTTCAAGGGTAGGAGTCTTCAAGCTTGCGACATTGGAAGAATTCAGATCCCCAGGCGCAACAAGTCCGCGCAACTCGTTTACGGCCACGGATTCAAAAACTATCGAGTTGTACCTGTCAACTTGTGTCAATTCCCTGTCTTCAGTCTCGTAGACATCTTCTGATAACTTACAACAAATGAAAGGGGGTACCTGTGACAAGAAGCACCAACCACAGACTGAGCCGAGGTCGTCCAATGACAAAGAGATTCCTCACGCTGGAGGACCCGATGTCAAGCCACCGGCCTTGCGCGTGATATTTGTCAACCTCTTCCCGACTCGGGGCAACTAGTGACTGCATGCAGTAGTTGCTAGCACCCAGGATTCCAGTACTGAGTACGTTGATTATTAAATGCAGGGCGATGTTCCATCGTTTGGACAAGGCACAGCTGCCCTGGTACATTACTTGGATGCTGGAGAATCCGCTGTTCTTTGGGTTTTGGTTCGATAGTCCAGCAGCGACAGCAATGAAGATGAGATTCAGCAGAAGCATAACGGCAGTTGCCTTGGCACAGAGAAGGACGCCATTAATCCAGTGTGGTTTTGGGGGGTTGGATGACTCGTGTTCAATGACCTGTGTCTCGGTATTTTCCTCGATGTTTTCCTGTCCTTCTATCCGGTGCGAAAACTTGAGACTTGATTTCTCGGTTTGAGTGCTGGGAACTCCATGATAGCGTTGGCCAGTGAACAGAGATTTGGCACGAGGCCATATGTCCTCACTACCCATACTTGGGATGGAGTTGTGCTCCGCTGTGTACGGTAGATATCCACAGGCTTGGAATAAAGACAAGTGTGCAGAGAAGTAAAAGCAATATGGGTTGGAGCACAGGGTAACTGGATCACTCCTCCCTAAATTAAATGAGGCTGAGTTTAATAATGTCCCCGTGTATGTGGAAATGATTTTCGCGGCCTGATTTAGCCCCCAAAGCCCCTTTTGGTGCCAATTTCCACACGGCATACCTAGTACGCTTGGCATATGTACTTCAACCCGGTTCTCACTTTCAATCAATGCAGATATCGGATTCATCGAGCGCGATCATCAAAGCGCCCAACAATTACGATCACCGGACCTTTACGCACCAGGATGCTATTGGAATGATTCAAGCTTGGATTGCTACTATGAGATGTGGAGGCTCTCGCTGAAATGAGGGTGGAAATCCCAACTCCCAGAGACAATCTATTGAAGACACTAGATTGTGCTGCTGAAGGTGGCTATTCTGTCATAACAAAAGTGCTATACGGTGTTTCCAACACCATACTTCACTGAGAGATTACGACAATGCTTCGCATGATACATTGACGGGGGAATATTGGAATTATGATAAAGATCACGGTCACTGCACGTGCTTGAAGTAGAATATCTACCCAAGACGGGGTAAGAAATCAGCACCGGACTATGATGCTACCGTTGAAGCTTCTGCTCCTCGGGCGCCAAATCTAACTCGCCTAAGAGCCCCTATTGTGATATTTGCTTTTCATACATTCGCAAAGCAGCAAAGCTTATCCTGGGCCATGGGGTAGATGTATATATCCGATGAGTGGACTCCTCATGGAGCGAAGGGAAATGTGTTGGACTCTTATTGTACAATGCTACTGTATACGAAAAGATTCGGAGCATCAAAGACGATGGTTGGAATGATTGAATTTCTATTGAATCATGAGCAGACTGTTGTGCAAAGAACACGGATGGCAATATATTTTTCATCTGGTCCCACTGTCATCATGGAGTGGAACATAAAATGGAGAGGAACAACTAGATCTTTCGACGCAATTTCCATTTAATAGGGATAAAAGGGCGATTGATCATTCACAGACTACAGTCCGACCCCCCGTAGATGTAGTACTAAAGAGGTTGAGACTTCTAGGGTCACCGATAATATATATAATAGAACAGTACTTAGAGCTTTGTGCATCTTCACTTTGCTTCTACATATTTCTATCCAATCCAGTCCAGAATAGATTCAGATTTGAATGTAAAAACGAAAATGTCCCCCGCTTCATGGAAAATTGCCTAATCCGACATTTAATGCATCTCCAAAACATCCACCAATCCGAGTAGACTACGGGGTATCTCTATAGCGAGGACCGAAGCATACATATATTATAACAGTTTATATTCCAGGATGAAGTGTATCTACACAGCACCCAATAATGCGTCTTCTCGCACTTCTCCCCGTCCTACTTGGACTCATATCCAATTTCGTTTCTGCAATAGATAATGGCAAAACTACCGATGTGACATGGGATAATCACAGCCTCTCCGTTAAAGGAGAGAGAGTATATATATTTTCCGGTGAATTTCATTACCAGCGACTCCCTGTCCCGGAGCTATGGCTCGATGTGTTTCAGAAGCTACGCGCAAACGGATTTAATGCGATTTCCAGTGAGTGACTTGAAAATAGCTCTCAGGCTTCATTTATACTAATTGAATTAGTCTACTTCTTCTGGAGTTTCCACTCCGCTTCCGAAGATAGCTTCGACTTCGAGAACGGCGCCCATGACGTCCAGCGCGTCTTTGATTATGCCAAGCAAGCAGGTCTGTATGTGATCGCGCGCGCGGGACCTTACTGCAATGCCGAGACCTCTGCTGGCGGTTTCGCACTGTGGGCATCCAATGGTCAAATGGGCAGCACACGCACCAGCGCAAGCTCCTACTATGACCGATGGAATCCGTGGATCCAGAAGATCGGAAAGATCATCGCCTCAAACCAAATCACAAATGGTGGTCCGGTCATTCTCAATCAACACGAGAATGAGTTGCAGGAGACAACGCACAGTCCCGATAACACTGTTGTCAAGTACATGGAACAAGTCAAAGCCGCCTTTGCTGAGGCTGGTATCGTTGTCCCGAGCACGCATAATGAGAAGGGAATGCGCTCTATGAGCTGGTCAACGGACTACCAGGATGTAGGTGGTGCGGTCAATATCTATGGTCTGGACTCCTATCCTGGTGGTTTGTCCTGCACTAACCCGAATACGGGGTTCAATCTCGTCCGCACTTATTACCAGTGGTTCCAAAACTACTCCAGTTCTCAGCCCGAGTATCTGCCGGAGTTTGAGGGTGGGTGGTTCTCCGCCTGGGGAGGGACTTTCTACGATCAATGTTCAACGGAGCTTTCGCCTGAATTCCCTGATGTTTATTATAAGAACAACATCGGACAGAGAGTCACGCTGCAGAATATCTATATGGTGATGGGCGCAACTTCTTGGGGACAGAGTCCTGCTCCGGTTGTATACACTTCATATGACTACTCTGCGCCCATGCGAGAGACCCGTGAAATTCGGGACAAACTCAAACAGACCAAGTTGATTGGCCTGTTTACTCGTGTCTCGTCTGGTCTTTTACACACGCAGATGGAAGGGAATGGAACGGGATACACTAGCGATGCTAGTATCTATACTTGGGCTTTGCGGAACACAGAAACACATGACGGTTTCTATGTTCTCGCGCACTCTACTAGCTCGTCTCGTGCTGTGACCACTACTTCGCTTAATGTCAATACCTCGGCTGGTATGTACTGGAATATTCAGTGGAAGAATTACGCTGACTTGGAGTCTACACAATAGGGGCCCTCACAATCCCTAATATTGAACTGGCAGGTCGCCAGAGCAAAATTATAGTCACTGACTACCAAATCGGCGACGGCTCGAGCTTGCTATATTCATCTGCAGAGGTTTTGACCTACGCTACCCTCGATGTAGATGTCATTGTTTTCTACCTGAATATCGGACAGAAAGGAGAGTTTGTCTTCAAAGATGCACCGACCCATGTGACTTTCCAGGCATATGGTAATTCAAAAGTGAGCTCCGCCGCATCAGATCATGGCACCAAATACACCTACACTCAAGAGGATGGCACGACAGTATTGAAATTCTCGCACGGCGTACTAGTCTATCTTCTTGCTAAGGAGACTGCGTGGAACTTCTTTGCAGTGCCGACTACGTCCAATCCACTTGTGACCCCCAGTGACCAGATCATTGCCCTTGGTCCATATCTCGTTCGCACCGCAACTGTCAGCGGGCACACTGTCAGTCTTGTCGGTGATAACGCAAACGCAACATCTCTTGAGTAAGTATGAAGTCAACTCTCGAATCAGCCGTTAGCTAATATGTAATTCTAGGGTCTACACGGGTAACTCAAAGGTCACCAAAATCAAATGGAATGGCAAGGAGATCTCCACCAAGAAGACACCCTACGGCAGCTTAATCGGATCAGTCCCAGGAGCCGAACATGCCAAGATATCACTGCCAACCCTGAAATCATGGAAAGCACAAGATACACTTCCAGAGATAAATCCAGACTATGATGATTCTCGCTGGACCATCTGCAACAAAACGAAATCAGTCAACTCCGTAGCGCCACTGACACTTCCCGTGTTGTTCTCTGGTGACTACGGCTACCACGCCGGAACGAAAATCTACCGTGGACGGTTTGACGGCACGACCGCGACGGGCGCAAATCTCACAGTCCAGAACGGCATAGCGGCTGGCTGGGCGGCCTGGCTAAACGGAGTCTACGTTGGCGGAGATATTGGCGATCCCGCCTTAGCAACGACCTCAGCCGAGCTACCATTCAACCGCACGACCCTCCGTAAGCAAGACAATGTTCTAACCGTCGTCATGGATTACACGGGCCACGACCAAGAAAACGTGAAACCGCACGGGGCCCAAAACCCGCGCGGGATACTGGGCGCTACGCTTCTTGGCGGGGAGTTCACGTCCTGGCGCATTCAAGGCAATGCCGGCGGCGAAGCCAATATCGACCCTGTCCGGGGACCCATGAACGAAGGTGGTCTCTATGGAGAGCGTCTTGGGTGGCATCTCCCCGGATACAAAGCGAAGAGTGCAACATCGGAAAGTCCTTTGGACGGTGTATCTGGCGCCGAAGGCCGATTCTACACAACAACGTTCAAGCTGGATCTGGACTCGGACCTAGATGTTCCGATTGGCCTGCAGCTTTCATCGGATTCCCCCGCAGTAGTGCAGATCTTCATGAATGGGTATCAATTCGGTCATTACCTGCCACACATCGGACCGCAGACTAGGTTTCCCTTCCCGCCGGGGGTGATCAATAACCGCGGGAAGAATACGTTGGCGATTAGTTTGTGGGCACTAACGGAGCAAGGAGCGAAACTGAGTCAGGTGGATCTGATTGCATATGGGGCTTATCGTACTGGTTTCAACTTCAATCACGATTGGTCCTACTTGCAGCCACAGTGGAAGAACAACCGGGGTCAATATGTTTAGTGTACAGGTCTTATGACACATTTTGACTTGGGTCTAGATCTCTTTGTTTTGATCCGGTACCTGTTTCATCATTTATATCCCTGTTTCTATGAGTTACATCAGAGCTTTGAGAACAGGCACTAAAGCATACCCCCGTCAAGTATTTATTCTAGAATTATTTACCCCCTACAGTGACAATAGATAAAAAACTATATATAATTCTTCCATAAATACCCAATAAAAAACAGAATGCAAGTTCATTGTCCAGGCGACTATCGGCCACAAAAATATGTCTGCCCAACTTCCGTGTCCACCGCCATTTGTACTTCTCCACACGTTTAAACACGTTCCTCCTTCTCACTTCTAGACATATTCTTGTTATAATTGTTCTTATGATTCCTAATCATGTCGCGCCATAACAGCGTGGATCTAGACTCACCCGATCGACCATTCGACAACATCATCAATTTCCGCGATGTCGGCCGGTCGGTTAATCAATTTTGTCGCAAAGAGTAAGACGCGTCTTGACACTGATTCAAGAATATAACTAACAATTCATATAGAATCTTGAAAGAAGGTGTATTCTTTCGAAGTGCGAGGGTAATTAACCCCGCTAAATGATGATGCGTTGTCAGACACGAAAAACTAATTTGTTCTAGCTCGACGATGCTTCAGAACGAGATAAACGTCGTTTAGAAGAAGAACTACAAATTCACACCGTCATCGATCTACGTTCCCAGTATGTGGAAACATCAAAAACCAGAAATCAACCAAAACCCCAAACTAACACCAAACAGAACAGAACACCAAATGGGCACACGAAAACGTCGAGCCCAAAACGCCAAATCAAAAGAAAAATCAGAACCAATCCCAACAAACCCAGACGAACATCTCCTCCAAATCCCCGGCTCGAAAAGAGCCCTAATAAGCCTAACAGGCAAAGGCTTCGAACGCGCCTTATTATCAAAATTGGATTGGTTGACATATCTGTAATAACCCCCTTCCCCGCTCAACATATACATAAATTTTGTTCAAAACCTAATAAAAAACAGCAAAATAATCGCCCTCGTATCAACAGGCTACCGCAGCGACGCCGTGCGACTAGTATGCGGGACTGTAATGCAACCGCGCGGACTAACAGGTCTAGCGCAAGATACATTGGATTCGAGCATGAGCGAGATGCGCTCCGTATTCGAGATCTTGGCGTGCGAGGAGTCATATCCGACATTAGTGCATTGCACGCAGGGCAAAGACCGGACGGGGCTGGTCATATTGCTTATTTTACTTCTTGTTGGGGGTGTTCCTGTTGAGGCGATTGTGGATGATTACAGTCGGTCTGAACTGGAGCTTGTGTCGGAGCTTGAGGAGAGAATGGAGGAGATTAGGGCTATTGGGCTTGGGGAGGATTATACGCGTTGTCCGCCTGGGTTTGTGGCTGATACGACTAAATACCTGGAGACGAGGTATGGGGGTGTTAGGGGGTATTTGGAGCGGGTTGGGATTGGGTTTGATATGCAGGAGAGGATTAGGGGGAAGTTTTTGGTTTAGGATTTGGATATATGGGATTGTATGGGATATGTAGATACGATAATGAGCTTGGCATACTTGGGATCTAGCGTTATATGCATGGCATTGAGATAATAAATGGTGGAGGATTGGATGTTATTATTCTGGAAATAAAATAAATATTGAGAGTTGAATTGTATAAAGAGGACTGAATCCAAGGCCAATTGGCTCTAATAGTGTATGCCCATCCGAAAACACCATATGTAAGTAGAATATCCACAGGTATCAAAAAAGTATTAACAAAAGCAGAGTATCGGATGACATCGTGCACATCATATAAATAAATACAGGAAGAATTAAACCCGCTGGCCACGGTAATAGCCAGTGCTCGGGCCCATCGAGTCATGGGTCAGCGGCTCTTCAATGGAGACAGCCTCTTCTCGGGTTCCACGGAATCCTGCTTGGCTCATGAGGTACTTCTCACCCTGGGGCACGTGGTTGCGGGTGCGAACGGAAGGCAATAGATCGACGACGAAGGAGAGAACGTAGCCGGTGAAGACGAAAGCAATGCACCACTCAAGAACTGCGCCGGGATTTTGCTTAGATGCCTTGTTGCTACCGATGCAGACACCGAAGCCGATAGCGAGTGCGAGCTCGACAATGACGAAGACAAGCTTGATAAAGAAACTGACTAGCAAAACACGGTGCTCGCGACGGTAGAAGATTCCAATACGGAGGTACTCGATGCAAACCAAAATAGCACTAATCACGTATCCAGCACTGCAGAAAAAATTGATTGGTCAGCTGTTATTCGCGCAGAGTTGGGTTTGTAAGCACTCACATGAACAGGGCGATGAACCCATCATGCTTTTTCGGGTGGCGCAGTGTATCAAAGACCGAGAGAAGAATTAGACCGGCTGCACCGGCAATGGCGAAAAAGATTGAAAGAATAGCGCATGTCTTGTCCAATCTACCCTTGTTCGAGGCTAACTGGCCGGAGTGTCGAAGCCACCGCTCGGAAAGGAATGCTAAATCGAGAAAGACGACAGTAACCGCGCTGCCTGCGACGAATAAAGGCTTCAAGTGTTGTGCTCCGACATCTGAAATGTACCTATAACAGTCTTGTTAACGCGTGGATTGGTCAACAGCGAGGTGAAAACATACGCAATAGTCTGTCCGTCATCCATACTGGCATAGTGCGGTTTCCCCTCATTGACCCAGATGACCAGCATGGAAATCAACATTGCTAAGACCGTGTTAGCTGCAGCCCAGAATGAGATGTCCAGTTCAGTACAGGGATGCCTTACAAAGCCACATGCAGGCTGATATGAGCGGAAACATCCAAAATGATATAATCCACATGATTGCTTTTGTGCTTCGAGACTGATGCAATGGAAGTTTATATGCGATTGTATGCTTAAATCCAATTCAAAGAGACTGGACAAAGAGAGTGGATAGCACAATGCGAAAGCGAACGAGTCTATAGGGTGCTGTCAGTCGCAGTTTCTCCACGCGATATCCATAGAGGAAAGATGGAAGGAGTGAGTTCCAGATCTTCCCCAGTGCAACTCACTTAAATCCCTGTATTTATGTACAATGTTTCACTCAACATTCCAGGTTCAAACAAGTCTAAAGGGGGCGACAGTGGCGCTTAGATGACAAAGGGATGCTTTCAAATTGGAACCGGGACAACGATGATGCGCAAGGGGATATATTGATATATCTTATACCCAGTGTGTTATTAGACACCCAGAAAAGGAGAAGAAAGAAGAAAAAAACCGATTCAAAAAAGATACAGAGAGATCGATTTCAAATTAAAGAGACGTCATCTTCGGGGGCACTGCCAAGGCAGAAAAATTGTGTTGTCGATCCACGGTGAAGTGATCAGCCTCAATATTTACTCCAATAGATTTTGCTTACTCCAGTTATATTACTCTAGCCGTGGTACTCCGTCCTCCGTACTATTAATATTCAGGCGTAAACATTGAAAAACGATGATTTCCAAGGTTGAATCGGGATCTGCGGGTACACCGGGTGGCTGAATACTTGGCATTGAACTTAGGCCTTTGCTTTTAAGACGCTTTCAGCAACTTTGCACACGATGCTATACGGAGTATAAGTATCAAATAGTTCCACTTATGTAGACTATTAAACTTCATACTCCAAGACCTTATGGAGATAAATGTGGAAATAATATGTGGATGCTTGTAGCCAAAGACCGATCTACCTAAAACGCCATCGCGTGACACAAAAGACCATTGTGGAAAGAAAAAAACAATCACAAAAAGGAAAAACCAAACCGAAAGAAATTTTTAGGGAGAGTCTGACACTTCAGCTTCATCGGCTGGTCCGTTTACGGGTGGTTCCAGCAACCGGACGCCGCGCAATAGCAGGGGCCTTGCGCTCAGCCACCTTGGTCACCTTGACGATCTGCACTTCATCCTCACTCTCCGAGTCATCTTCACTAGACTGCTCCGATTCTAACTTGACTGGATCTGGAGCTATCTCTCCCCGGGCCTGCGTTGTGCCTTGCGGCGAGCGCTTGGCCGGGGTTGGGTAACCTTGGTGTGAAGACCCTGACGCGTAACTCATTCGATTTTGCTGCCCGACCCGGGGATCGGTGGGAGCCTGCGGTGGGTATGGCGCAGGTTCCCCATATGGACTCATTTGCATGTTGTAGTAGGATGGAGCCCACTGCGGATCGTCTGGTAGTGGCCGTGGGAACACAGGCGGTTGTTGCATCGACTGTGGTCGGGTATTGGGGACAAAGCGCTCGGGGGCATATGGTGGGTAGGTAGGTCGAAGGGGTGAATTGGACTGTTGGGGACGAAGAGATTGTGTCGTTGGAGTCCGGGGACGAGCAGAAGACGAGCTGGATGGCCGGCTCGTGCCCGTCCCACGGGCCCAGATGCTGTGTGCATCAGCAAAGGACGGATACGCGCCGGGGTCTGGCGCAACACTCCGACGCGACGATGGGCGCGACGTCACTTTGACAGAATTGACAGATGGGCGCCGGCTTCCGCTTAAACTGTCCGTCTCCTGGCGCTTGCGCTCCAAGGCACCCAGTTCCTGTTTCGACAGCCGAACGTTTTTCTTCCCCAGAACTTGCGCGCGGCGAATTCGTTCGAGCGCTGTGTCCACCAATTGATCTTCCTTGTCCCGCATGGCCAGTTGAATCGCGTAGGCTACCGTGCTATCCTCATGGTCGTATAGATCGAACTCTCCCCCATCAAATGATTCAGATTCATCAGTCAGATCCTCATAATCCACAGGTCGCCTCCGCGACCCTCGCCCTCCATACTCCTTGTATCGACCGCTCCTCACCAACTCCCGCCCGTATGTCTCCTCCTCACTATCCACCTCCTCCAGTCGTGTCTCCTCCCACCCACGTCCCCTAGTATTTCTCCTCATTCGTGCCCCTGGTGGTCTTCCCCAAGAGGGCATGTCAAAAGGAGCTCGCGGCCGACCACCTAGACCGCCTCCTCTGAAAAAGCATTCTCGATCGGTTTATCCAAAAACGCGGCGTGGCCGAAAACGGTCACACCGGTTGCGCCAATCAACCACAGGGCGGTGGTGAAAGGGGAGGCAAAGATCCCGACGGGGATACCGATGACAAGCAGTCCGGTGTAGAGCTGCGAAGTGGTGAAACGAGAGAAGCCGAGATCCAGATCCCGACCCTGTAGCATGTTGATTCCGTAAAGACCAGCACCCACGAAGATCATGTCGAACAACAGCACCATGTTGGTCAGCAAGCTGTAGATGCTGAGCATCACAAACACGACGGCATAGTTGCTGGAGAAGTAGGACAGGTTGTAATTGACTCGGCTCTGGGCTTCAGCGAAGTTGGCAGGCTTGGATATGCGCTTGATGTCGAGGAACTCGGAGATTGGGCGCAGGTTCGAGAAGCGTGTACTCAAAGACGTGCTGCGGAAGTTGTTGAAGCGATCGCCGAAACGCGAAGTGAGCGCATCAATTGGAATAGAGACCATTTTGAAGGTGATAAAAAGGGGAGAAAGATAGAAGGTTGGAAAAATAAGACAGGTAAAGTAATATGTGAGTGGAGTGGAGAGGAAAGAGAGCCGGAAACAACAGAGTCACTTTCGTGTTGGCCTTTTCCCCTTTCGATTTTAGTCAGAGCACGGTCGTTTCACCAAATTGAAGATTTTCGGTAGAAACGAATCTTCTACTAATAATAGTAACTTCCAAGCCTAGAGGTCTAGTTCCTAGGTAACTAGGTAACTAGGTGACTCCAAGGCCCTAGGAAGTGTAGAAAAACAGAAGAGTAAATACATTCTAGATCTCTCACTATATATAGTCTATCTCAGATGCAATTATTCATGCAGAGCCCAACTTACCCCTCTAAAGTAAACTAAAAAAAAAACAGGTAAAATCGCATTTGAAACAGCAAAAAAAAGACAATTCAATTGGGGCCACGTTTGGCTCTTCGCTGTGGATAGACGCCCGACCGCTTTTTTCCTACTCCGTATGTCCTCCACTAACACACAGCCTATTCGTTCAACCCTATACTTCTCCTGGCTTCTGCGGCATTGACCGCTCTATAATAATGAAGCTGTCTGCCATTTTATCGGTCTTCGTCTTCTTCGGCCTCGTTGCTGCTTGGTCCAAAGAAGGTGGGTACTGTTTATCCGGACCTGAACCCCATACTGACATTGAACAGACTATGAGATCTTTGGCCTACAGAATGATGTGGCCACACATGAGGGTGCCAATGTGACGTTCTACGGTACGTGATATCTGGCATTGCTGGTGTCTTTTCTTTTTTCTTTCCTTTATTCCCATTTTCAGGGATACATATCTGACTTCTATACCTGGTCAACTGCAGACCTCCTCGAGATCCGTCCCAATGCCAATCAGGAGCAAATCACCAAGGCATACCGCAAGAAGTCCAGAACCATCCACCCGGATAAGGTCAAGCGCGCCTTCATCGCCAACTACGCAAAGGACAAGAGCAAGGCCAAGTCCAACCAGGGGGTCCATGTCAACAAGGGTCCTACTAAGCGCGAGATTGACGCCGCAGTCAAGGATGCCGATGCCCGCTCTGCCCGTCTGAACCTCGTCGCGAACGTCCTGCGCGGCCCGAACCGTGAGCGCTACGACCACTTCCTCAAGAATGGCTTCCCCCTGTGGAAGGGTACCGGATACTACTACTCTCGTTTCCGTCCTGGTCTGGGCTCCGTGCTGACAGGTCTGTTCCTTGTTTTCGGTGGTGGTGCTCACTACGCTGCGCTGGTCCTTAGCTGGAAGCGCCAGCGCGAGTTTGTGGATCGCTACATTCGCCAGGCCCGCAGAGCCGCCTGGGGCGATGAAATGGGTGTTCGTGGTGTCCCTGGCATCGACTCGGTCGCAGCTGCGCCTGCTCCTGCTCCCGAAGCCGAAGCCGGTGCCGTGGCTGTCAACCGTCGTCAGAAGCGCATGATGGATAAGGAGAACAAGAAGGATAAGAAGGGAGGAGCCCGTGTGAGCGCCCGTGCCTCCTCTGGTACCTCAACCCCCACCGAACAAGTTTCTAGCACTGGCGAGCGGAAGCGCGTCGTTGCTGAGAATGGAAAGACCCTGATTGTCGATTCTATTGGCAATGTGTTCTTGGAGGAGCAGAACGAGGCTGGCGAGCGCCAGGAGTTCCTGCTCGACATTGATCAGATTGAACGCCCTAGCATCCGTCAGACAATGGTCTTCAGACTTCCCATCTGGTGCTTCAATAAGTCCGTTGGTCGGGTGTTGGGAACTGGCGCCACCGAGGAGGAAGTGGATTCTGATGAATCTGAAGAGCCCTTGGTTCAGGAAGCCGAGACCACAGCCACCTCAAACTCCCGCTCCCGGAAGCGTAACAAGCGCTCCCAGCGATCATAGACTTGGGCGGCTGCATTGCTGTAACTCGGGCGTTAGTTGCTTTCTCTCCCTGTGGGATAATCTCAAAAGTTCCCTCGGGTTGCTTTCTATAGAATTCGTGCTCGGACGTTGGCTATACCCAAGTAGAAACCAAAATGTACACATAAATTTTTTTTTCCAAGTTCAAAACTCCAGGGCAATATGATGCAGGTCACCTACTGGCCATTGATACGTGCACGGCCGACAGTTTCAGCGCCATGCCTGTTTGTACAACATATACTCCTTACTTGCAGATCCAGGTCATACGTGTGGCGCTACGGAGTATCCCCGCAAATATCGGTCTGCCACGAAAGTACTCCGTACTGTACTGCAAAGTCTGTGGGTTTATAGGCGGGTCTCTCGTACAAGAGGGACAGTGCGCTTCCGGCTGCAGACACAACTAGTGCGGTGTACAGCTGTCCGACAGTCATATCCACCAGCTTGGGCACCAACTTTTAACTAGTTTAGTATAAATAGAAGACTTCAATGTATCTCGGGACTTGTTTCGAATTTTTCGAGTTTTCAGGCGTTGCACAGCACAAAACAGCAGGTTTTCCAAAGAAATCAATTCTACCGAATTCAAACGGGCCTCCCAGTTCATGACGAAATTGAAAAATGAAAAGCCCCGAGAAAAAAACAGAAATGGGAGTATAAAAGCAAAGAAAAAGAGCAAAAGAAACGTAAGTATATCATCGTGATCGTCATGTGTTGAATTTCAACAAAGCATCGCAAATCGTGGAAAGGACCTCTCAATCAAATCAGCCAGTCCGGGATATCGATGTCTACGCAAACATCTTGGCAATGCTCATGAGACTGCCAATGTTCTCCGAGATACCTCTACCACCGCCGCCGCCCATCATATCACCCATACCACCAGAAGACTTGGAAGCACCACCAAGGGCACTGGTAATAGCATGCGGCAAGCGAATCCCAATCATAGCCAGCAGTTTCGGCAGAACACCGCTAGTCAAGAGCGGCACGATAACCATCATGAAAACCTTCATAGGGTTTCGACGGGCCCAGCGATAAATATCGCGGAACAGACGCTTGATGTCGCGGAGCATGCGCTGCACGAATCCCTCGCGGGGACGGGCCCGTCGCGACGACGATGAGAACGATGAGAAAACAGATGGGCTTGATCGACCTCCTGTTCGGCTTCCGCCTAGTCCGCCGAAGAAAGATGGCGTCGAGCGCGATTGGTGCGTGGAGTAGCCGGATTTGCTGCGTCTGCTGTGTGTGCTGTGGCCGCTAGGCGTGGGTGATGACCGGCGCCGCGATCCTGACGAAGATTTGCTATAACCGTCGAACCAACCCATTGTGGCGGTGTGGTGGTGCTGTTGGAGCTGCTTACGGGTGCGACTTGGTGCACTTGGGCCAGACTGAGGGGTGAAGTGTCTGGTTGAGGACAGGTGGATTGATTGGGATAGATTGGTATAGAGGAAGGTGGGTTTGAGAGGTTGCGTAACAATGCCCCTGATGATCTCTTTGAGACTTTTTTTTGAGCTTCTGTGTGGCAATTGAAAGAGCGAAAAGAGACAGATGCAAGTCAGCCGCTAGCTGCTGCGGAGAAGTGCAATTTGAAGTCTAGGCCGATGTGTGCACCCGCTTTGTGGATTTTCTATGCAGGAAATTTCTTTGACAGCTGGCACAATCGAGATTCTAAGAGGGAATTGTAAATGATGCTGGATGCTAATTTCAGGCGAATCAAACGGGATCTTCAGATTGGTCTGATCAGTCACCCCCTGGTGGAATAAAAGTGGCTGGGGTGTGGCCGGCTGAACTTAGTCTTGAACTGCATTTTGCGATAGACAAAGTACTCCAGATAGTCAAGCAATCCACTCTCGGTAAACATAACTTTCAAAATTATCTTTGAATATGTTGTTGAATGTATAGATGCAGGTTAAAATCAAATATTTAAATATTTGAACCATGGAACCTGATGGGTATTTATGCCTCAGGCGACAACTACGTCACTGCATGTGATGATGCCTTCCATGGAAGACTTTCTCCCAAATTTCTTTCGAGTCTTATCATTAGTCTATTATACATTTTCTCTTGTTGAAAATACAACTAGGTGTGGCCATGACGAGTATGTTGATTTTGTCCTCTCTTACTAAAGTCTATACTAACTCTTGACCAGACCCCGATTACTGTAAGACCTCCACCAACGGCCCAACCAAGACAGTTCCAACTGACACATACCAGACAAGATTTTAGGCATCGCCCAAAATGCCACACAACAACAGATCCGCACAGCATATAAGAGGTGATTACACCACAACTACCCTCAAAACAACCCTCTAACTAAATGTAGGGAATCATTGAAATCCCACCCCGATCGGGTTCCCGTCGACTCTCCAGAGCGACCCTCACGCACTCGGAAATTCCAACAAATTAACGACGCCTACTACACCCTCTCAGACCCGGCGCGACGCCGGGAGTATGATGCTACTCGCGCATACCAGGCAGCCGAGGAGGAAGCCGAAGAGGAAGTCCCACCAACCGGTGGTGGTTTCCCCTGGTCTAGCTTTGGATTCGGTGGAAACCGCGATGAACGTGACAACGACCAGTTTGGCTCCGTCTTTGAGGAGATGCTGCGCGAAGAGGGTCTCGCCGAGGAGAATGAGGGAGAAGGCGGCAGACGGACTCGCCCAACTGGGCGATTCTGGGCACTTGTTGGAGGTGTCAGTGGTGGTGCTATGGGCTTCATTGTTGGCAATATACCTGGTGCGTTGGCTGGCGCTGTTGCGGGTAACCGTATCGGTGCAATCCGTGATGCTAAGGGCAAAAGTGTCTATGAGGTTTTCTTGGACCTTCCAACGCCAGATCGGACGCGGCTCCTGAGTGAACTTGCGGCTAAGGTCTTCCAGACCACTATGGGACGCTGAGTCTGTCTACTTCTGGTTTGCTGAGCGGTTTGGGCGTTGGGGATTTGGGAGCTGCCTCTTACAGGCCTCGGTAGGAATTGGGTTGGGTTTGACTTTCCACTGTACATGTATACATGACGATGGACTACTTAAACAGTAGGAAATACATATCTCAGGTATATAACAATTAGTTAAGGTAATTCTCGAATGCACGTCCATGGATGTTTAACATCTTTGGAATGATTGACCCCTCCGATTCTTATCGATAACAGCCAGGGACAAGACCTCGGGAGTCTAGGTCTTGATGTCGATGCACAACATAGCATAGTCCAGGACAGTATGCGACGTATACAATGTAGATCAATAGTCTGAGTGAGCCATTTGATCTGATGGTCCTTTTCTCTACAACAAAAACCAGTGAGACAGACCAGGTGGCCTTCTCTCCGCTTCTGGGCCCAACCCGTCTTCGCTCTCACCGCTTGCGGTCAGAAGAGGCCCCTCTCTTTGTATTTACTCCCGAGTGCCCGCAATTTTTATCTTTAACAAATTCCTCATTTAAGACTCAATTGAATAATCCCTTCAAAATGACTGAAGCTACCAGTGTTTACCCCTCGTTGGAGGACCGTCCCATCAAGAACACGGTTGTTCTGTTCGATGTTGACGAGACTCTGACCCCCGCGAGACGGGTAGGTTGCAATGAAACTCGCTGCTGTTCAATTATACTAATATATACTACTACAGCATGCCTCGAACGAGATGCTCGAGTTGCTCTCACGATTGCGCCACAAGTGCGCCATTGGATTCGTTCGTCTACTCCCATTCAATCTACCCACCCCGTTCCTAACATGATTCAGGTTGGCGGCTCGAACCTCGTGAAGCAGCAAGAGCAACTTGGATCACCCGCTATCGACGTCACCACTATGTTCGATTTCTGTTTCTCCGAAAATGGTCTGACCGCATTCCGCCTCGGCAAGCCGCTTGCCAGCAACAACTTCATTCAGTGGCTCGGGGAGGACAAGTACCAAGCGCTGGTGGATTTCGTTCTCAAGTACATTGCCAACACCAAGTTGCCCCGCAAGCGCGGTACTTTTATTGAGTTCCGCAATGGCATGGTCAACATTAGCCCCGTTGGACGTAATGCTAGCATTGAAGAGCGTGATGAGTTCGAAGCGTACGTGTTGATTTCGCGTTCACCATGTCAAGGTGATTATGGATAAAAAAACGGGCTGGCTGACTGACTTGCGCTTTAGTTTCGACAAGATCCACAACATCAGAAAGACCCTGGTGGAGCTCTTGAAGAAGGAGTTCCCCGACTACGGCCTCACGTAAGTCTTTGTCCGGCGAAGTGTGCTTTTGATATGGTGCTAATTAATCTACCAATACAGCTACTCTATCGGCGGTCAGATCTCTTTTGATGTCTTCCCCACCGGCTGGGACAAGACTTACTGCCTACAGCACATCGAAGCTGAAAAGGGCATCTCTGGTATTGATTACAAGACCATCCACTTCTTCGGCGACAAGACTTTCGTCGGAGGAAACGATTACGAAATCTACGAAGACCCTCGCACCATTGGACACTCCGTTGATGGTCCTCAAGACACCATCAACCAGCTGAAGAAGCTGTTTGATCTATAGATACCGAGGTTAGATAACAAGCAGCCGAAAAGGCATGGATTTGTGATAGCGTTTACATGTCAAGTCTGATTTGGACATTTTCTGAAAACAGCCTTAGTTAATGATCGATCAAATAATCCTCTAATTGCATGGAATGGGAATAATAACTCTATAAAATAGCCAATGCGGGTAATGCGGGCACTGGGGCCGGGAAACTCCAGGGCTGGAAGCGTCCACACGTCGATCTTTCCGATCCCCTTAGTCATCCCGACCATTTCACCTAGGCCCCGAAATAAGGGCTTCCATGCTTCCTTTTTCTGCGTCACTCTTGATCGGTTTAAAGTGCACTTAATTATCCGTTTGCCCAGTCCTTGATATGGCGCCTCAAAAACATGTCGCGGATGTTCCGCGCAATATCCTTCCCCGCCTGACTTGGAACAGCTCTTCCTCGCGTCCATCCGTTACTATCACCCATCATTCTGCACTTGCAACAAATCAAAAACGACCACTTCCACGGGCCTGGAGTCCTTCAAAACGACGATTCCATTCACTAAGCCCACCTGCCCAGTCCTCCCGGCCCATCTCCACATCCACCCGAGATGCTATCTCCGAATACCTCGTTTCCCGAGGAACCTCTATAATCACGCCGGCGACACCCACAACCCAGCGCGGCAATCCGATCCGACACAATGGCGTCTATGTGGCTACCTTTCACCCCGCTCGTCGCGCCTTCCATGCGACACCAGTTCGGCCCCGCGATCATCACTTTGATACCCTGAAATTCGTCAAGCGTCTACAGGCAGAAGGCTTCAGCGAAGAGCAGTCCGTAGCAATGATGCGGGTACTGAACGATATTATTCAAGAATCAATCCAGAATCTGACCAGGACAATGGTCCTCCGAGAAGGTATGTGAAAGCAGCTATAGCGCATCATGGCTTTATATTGCTTGTCGGGAATCTAACGGGAAACGCTTTGCTAGACTCGGAGAGATCGACATATACACAAAAAGTGGACTTTGCCAAATTGCGTTCTGAACTACTCAACGCAGATTCAACTGAGGCACAGTTAACCCGCTCATCGCACGAGAAGATCGCAGCAGACCTCGCTAAACTCAACTCGCGACTCCGGGATGAGATTGGACGAACACAAGCGTCCGTCCGGTTAGATCTGAACCTGGAGAAGGGTCGGATTCGCGAGGAAGCAAATAGCCAGGAAATGCGTATCAAGGAGACTGAAACGCGAATTGAGCAGGAGGTTGCTGGATTAAGGGAACGAGTTGAGGCTGTCAAGTTCTCGACTTTGCAGTGGCTTATGTATGATCCCCGAACTATCTCGACGTGCGAGCTTATGCTGACTTTCTTTTTCTTCCAGGGGTGTCTGTACCGGTACTGCGGCCCTTATTCTTGGTGCGTGGCGCTTGTTTATGTGATTGGGGCAAAAGTCTGCATTGGATATGGAGTGATTGTTTTTGGCTTTTACATGGGACATTTGATGTCTTGCAACTTCTCTTTCTTTTTGTATAATACTCTCCCCCACTCGTCTAACTGTTTTATGTTGGTCTATATGCACCTATATACACCGGATTTTGTCCGCCGGGTGGGGTTTTCCTATCTGGGCTGCCGCCGCTTTAATAAGGGCGATCAGGCTCAAGCCCACTGAGTAAATATCTGCATGGGCTCATGCTTAGTGATCTGGTCAGTGCAGTCATGTGATCAATAAGTGGCCAATCATGAGTGCTCAGTGATCGCCTAGTCGTGGATCAGTGCTTACTAGCACGTAAAAGAGAATCGTTGATAGCAAAGCTGATTATATCTTAGCTTCACTGTAGACCCAGAGGATGGATTTGAAGATTCTAAAACCGTTGAAGGTTACTTGCCTCTAAGCTATAAAATGGTAATAGAGTTTATTCGCAATATATCATTTCCCATAGCTTTCCTCATAACCTTCCCCGCCAAGATATGGCAAATGGCTGATTACATAGCCGATCAACCTCTTCAAGAAACACCCTCATGGCGCCTCTACCACCTATCAGAATGTCTCGAGGAACATAGTATCAGACACTGTATCGCTGGTGATGCTATTATTGCGACTCTCGGCTATCCGTTGGTCATTTGCGACTTTTATCTTGCGATCGCAGACAGCCAACTTGAAGATGCCTTCACCATCGTTCTTCAGCAGGGATTCCAGGTTTCCCGCGGCCGTGATGTATATGTGGATAAGGATGCCACGGTTAACCCCCTAGGTTGGCCAGGATACAGACTGGTGATGCCTTCTGCATCTCTATTCGCCCCCGGGGTTATGCTTGTTCCCTCGAGTTTCTGGCATATGGATCTCTCGGAATCGAGTTTCTTGACGAACACATTCTTGCATACTACTACACGATGTCGATTTCCAAAGCGGTTGTTCTATTTGGATGGTAAGCTATAGCGTGGACGCCTCTTTCAATTTCATCTTCCTTGGTTTCAGTCTTTCTTAGAGTCCTAGTCATGTACTAATCTTCTCTTAAAATCTTAGCTCTGATCGATGTTATTGTCGAAGACGCATTGAAACCCGGCGGCAACCAACGCCTATCTGGGTATTTTATAATGCAGTATCACTATCTAGTCGCCTGTCTCTCTCCGGGTACTCTTAGTCTGTCACCGGAGAATCAATTCTTTGTGGACTTATACGGTCGACTCCTTCCGCCAAAAACCCGGGAAACAGTCTGTTTGAATCGGCAGCGGATCCGACAGGGTCTGATGAACGTTGAGGAGGCATGGAAGTCAATCCCAAGAAGAGCTCTGCTATTTGAAGAGATGCACCGTAAAGCTCTGAATCATCGCTAGTGTATTACTCGGACCAGCGATAGCTAATAGATTTTGGTCTTGTTTGTTCTAGATATGAGGCTTAAGTCTAATCATAATGGAAATTGATGGACATGGACTTGAATATCATGAAGGGGCCCAGCTATTTTATATCTTGATTTATTACCTTCGTCCTAGTGCAAGGCAGCCTATTGATAATTACGGCGATATAAGAATGTACTCTCCCAGGAGCTCTGACCAGATTGAATGACCTCGGCTTCCTGGGAGCTGTAACGGGTATTTTTGAAGGGTCTACTAGGATACATGATAAATAGGGAACATATGGTGTAATGTATCAACATAGCTTACCTGGCTCTCTTGAACACCAAATTATCCATTCCTTCGGAACAACCAAAGTCAGCCAAAGCACAATAATGAGGCTAAAAAATCTCCCGGGTAATTCGGTTTTGGGCAGTAAGGCTAATACATCTTATTTGTTTACTATGTCTTGCAAAATTGGAGGACCAGACCCTCCTTAAGTAAAAAAGAAAAACTATCAAAAAGCCGTTGAAACGGCTTTTAGAGGCTCTCTAGTTATTCTTAACGACTACAACTAACGTATGGTGTGATCTGAGAGTAATTTAGGTGCATAAGTTATTCGGCACCTTTCGCTAGTCTCGATAAAGAAATTGTTTAATTATGTTTGATTGTGCTGTGTTATGGTGGCCAAGGATTGAGAATTTGCCAGGCTTCACTATAAATGAGCAACGAGACGCTGAAGCTTGATATATGTGGCACAGTAGACGGGCGGTAATTTGTATAGGTCAACGTCTCACCATCCGAAGACTATCAGCGAGAGATGATTAGATTAGTTTTACACTCGCTTTCACTCACTTGCAGTGCCGGTGTACTGAGGAAACCAATCGCTCACTATTTTAGAAGCCTAGCTCTATTTTGAGTAGACCATTCAAATGCTGGCTGTTATGACGTGAATAACTTTTCTCCGGTCTCTCGTATGCAGAGAACAATATGTTATGGATAAAAGAGTGTATTGGTACGAGAGAGTCGTAGCGAAGAATCAGATACAAGGTATGAAAGATTGAAATATAACCAGAGCAAGTATAGAATGATGCCGCTGAAGCTTCCCCCCGAAGTCCATTACAATGAAAAATAGAAACCCTCACTCAACATATGCAGCTGGTATCCAACCATCGTCTGTGACCGCTTCAGCTCTATCTAAATAGCAGTGACACTGACCCAGAAGCGAGTATCGTCAGTCTGATACTTGGGGTCACTCTCAATCTGCTCCTGGATCCAAGCAACGCCCTCCATGTATGCTGTCCCTAGTGTTAGTCGAGTAATTCATGAAATACAGAATCACCTCGGGATAAACTCACTCTTAATATCAGCTGTACCGGGGTTCTGAACACCTGTTGCTCCATTGCGGTGGCCGCTAAACCAGATTTCATACCCGTAGTGCTCCTCTCCTTCGTGGCGAGCTTTGATGTCCTTGCCGAGATCAGAGCTAGCGGTGTATTAGCTATGACATATCTAGACGTGCAAGTCATGCTAGAACTCACTTGAGAATGGCACCGTCCTTGACCTGTTCTGTGGTCTCGTTAAGGAACTCAGATGCAGAAGTTCTCAACATGAACCAATTCTGCTTGAAGATTCCGAAGTTCGTGCCATCGCCTGTCTTTCCATCACCTGTAGGTATAGGTGTTAGCACTACCGGTCCTACGGGTCAAACCTCAGACATACCATAGGTGTAATTGGTGGTCATGGTGTTTCTAGTACTTGTAAGCTGGTGTATCAGGTATGCAGAGTAGAAGAATGAACTAACGTCTCCAGCATCGCAATAGCCAAGTCACGAGTGTTGCCGCCAGCGCCCAATATCGCCTTCTTACGGTCTGCGAGTCCGGGATAAACGTGACTACCTCTATCAGCACGGATCGAGACCTTCTTGAAGTCTGTCACCGGAGATGATGCGACTAGCGCCGACAGGAGTGCAATAGAAGAGAAAAGAGATAGGAGCTGCATCTTGCAATGATGATGAATTTGTTTGATAGTTGGTTCAAATGATGGAATTGGAATGCAGAAGACAAGTTGGGGTCTATGGCTCCCTTTTATAAGAGTTGGTTAGAACATATTCATAGCTCAGACAACAGCGATGGCATAACCCAGATGATGGTGCTTCCTCTCCATCCGTGTGTAAATTGGAAAAGATCGTCTTGTTTCGAATATTCCTCTACTGTATCCTAAGGGATTTACGGAGTCCATGCCTACTTGGTGAAGCTACTAGACTACGCACCCTATGCAAATCTTTTCTCAGTCAAGACAGGAGTTTCGCGTACTGTTTCGGTTTTAACATCTCTAATCACAGCTCAATTGGGAATCAGGAGATTGTTTCACACGTTAAGTTGGAAGTGGGCAACTGAGACAACTGTTAACCTGAGGCACATATTTGTGGAACTGTGGAGTACATATATGATAAGTGAATTTAGAGAATTGTGGCTTATAGCTAAGGAAGCTTCTACAGTCGGATTCCCCACTTGTATGCACCCTTCCGCCTCCTACGTGCTTAAATAGGCAATCTGAAGGATCAAAACGGGATACTCCGTGACCTTGTTGGGTGATCTACACCGTAGTGGGGAGGAACGGTATGATCGACAGTTTCATCCCCTATAGACATTGTATCAAGATCAGAGAAGTGTTTCCTGTTCACCATAGTCTCATATCTCGGCAAAGTTGAAACTAATGATTGACCTCGCCCTGCATTTGATAATAGTCCTTGACTGTGTATCGCCAGCTAGTGAGCGTGGAGTGATACTGTATAGTTCATGTCGTGACACTTAAGATATCATGTATTCACAGTCTATTCAGGGGCGCTTTGCGGACGGTCAAAGCTTTCTATTTCTACAGAGTAGTGTGGTCAATACCAAGAACTAGATGATGGTCCCGGGATGCTAGTGCACCTGGGTACCTAAGATGCTTAGGTACGGCTCCACCTGGTAAGCCGACCACAACCCAGGGGCTCGGCGCTAGTGCAAAATGCTTACTCCGTAGAAGGCCCAGAATTATTGTCGGTGATATCATTAATCTGGAGGATGCACTAGAAGCAGGTGTAAGAGAGATACCTGTTTACAGAGGTCATAATAGACTTTGGCCTGTGAGGCTAGAGTGAGGTTATCACTTAATTACGTCCATGATAGTAATATATTGGGATTTACAATATATATAATATAGTTGTTCACGAGGAACAGAAGTCGGGGCGATGGAGATATGCATCTATATTACCACTTTTCATTAAGACCTGTTGATATCTTGTTATTTCACATATTCGACCTGTCTTAATTCAAATCTTAGACCAAAAGACAGTATGGCATCATCTGGGTAGTGAGGGGGTTAGGGCTGTCGGAAGTCCGACGTACCTTCCCCTCTTTATCTTCAGGGGTCAGGTACTTGCTTCAACCGCTAATGGACCCCAAATCCTTAATGGAATATTATTTTACCCGAGGGCTGTTATCTGTTCTCTTTCTCTGGCTTGTGATTACATTTTGCAATGTGTTTAAATCGCATCGCAGATCTTTGGATCGATCTTCGGTTTCGGTACTCAGTCAAGAACCACTGAAGTCCCAAGAGACTTACACAGCTGCAAATACAGTTTGGTCTATCGATCATTCCAATTTTAAATCGAGTGTGAGAGACATCCGCAGCAAACTGGAAAGAGTCAATCCAAGCTCCGGACTAGCGATTATGGTCCTGATCGCCATATGTGGGTTGTTGCTTTTGGGGAACCTCCCATCGACTTCCTCGCTTCAGAGTGGATTGCAGTCTATGGTTGGCTTTTCATACCTGACGCCTAGCTCGACTGATTTGCAAGATTTTTTTCAGCTCTACCAACCAATATCGCTTGCCTCCGGTGGAAATGACAACTGCAATGTCGAGATACTGCTCATGGATCATGTCTTTGGGGCCAGTTATGGAGCACCGTATGTTGGTAAGAGGTCTGGAAAGTTGTTTCGACTTGTGATCTAATCTTGAAACTTATCTAGGCGATTATGAGCCCCCACACTGCGACTTTGATACTGTGCGAATCAATCTCACGGTTACCTCTCGTGGAAAGCAGTATGACCGCTTGGCACTCATGTATCTTGGGGATCATGAAGTGTTTCGGACTTCAACGGCAGAGCCGACAGCCAATGGAATTGTCTGGACATATATCAAAGAAATGTCGCAGTACAACTCGCTATGGAGGAGTCCCCAGAAGCTGATATTTGACTTGGGAAATATCATTAATGATGTTTACACCGGCACGTTCAATGCCACATTAACGGCGCATTTCTCTACAGGGCAGAATTCCAAGACTGCGGATCTGATTCTTCCAATCTCTGCTAGAAAGTCAGCATCAGACTCCTCAAGCGCCTTTATACTCCCCACAGACAACACAACTGTCAAGTACGAGATCCCTGCTGCGGCATCGCGTGCTGTTGTGTCAATATCGGCATGTGGACAATCAGAAGAAGAGTTCTGGTGGTCCAACGTCTTGTCTGAGGATACGCAGGACTTTGAAAGCACTGTTGGCAGGCTATATGGGTACACTCCTTTCCGTGAAGTTCAGCTCTATATCGATGGAATCCTTGCTGGGCTTGTCTGGCCATTCCCTGTTATATTCACTGGAGGCGTAGCTCCTGGATTCTGGCGTCCGGTTGTTGGAATCGATGCATTTGATCTTCGACAGCCGGAGATTGACATTTCCCCATTTCTTCCCATGATCCAAGATGGGGGAAAACATTCGTTTGAGATCCGGGTGACTGGACTCAACGTCTCGGCAGATGGGATTGCCACATTTGCAGATACTGTGGGTTCATATTGGGTCGTCACAGGAAATATTTTCATATATCTCGATGATAACAGCTCAGCCTCTAAAGCTATTGCCACTGGTGACAGCGATGTGCCTACAGTGGAAGCTCCCTTGCCAGCGTTTGCTGTGACTCGGAACCTTATCCACAATGACACTGGGGGAAATGATTCCTTGTCATACTCTGTGGTTGTCGAGCGAGTCTTCAGTGCAACCTCTTCTCTATACTCGTGGTCTCAGAGACTATCATTCTCTAACCATGGTCTCCTCAACCAGCAAGGATACAGCCAAGCTAACAGACAAGTCACAACAGGGAATAATACTATAACCGAGCTCGGAGATACACCCATCTCACACAGCATCGCATTCCAGTACCCCCTGGTTGTTAATGCAATTTATGGTATCGCCTCAAATGGGATGACTATTGACTCTTGGATGAAGAGAGGTCTCGATTTTGAGGCAACAGGAGGGCTCGGTATTTCCACTTATACCTTGACCTTGGGACCATCATATCTACACACAACTCAGTCTGGGACGGCGCAATATAAATCCGTCGCTGATGGAAAGTCGAGCTCTTGGGGCGATACCATCAATCTGTTTGACAGTCAGATGAATGGACGATCGTACCACCGATCCGTTCATGCAATTAACGGTACCGTTGTACACGACACCGATCCTAAAGGCAAGAACTGGCCTTCTTCTCCACGTGATGATGGAGATATTGGGAGAGACAGTGTGAGGGCGATAATTGGAAAGGGACCTGGAGCTCTTATAACTTAGGCAGAATGACATAATATGAAAGGGTCCCGGCGGCGGGAATGTGGGCAACCTGGGGAGGGAGGTAGGCGATATCCCGTTTGGGACACGGAGGTACATAGGATACAACGCGTCATGATAGAGTATCATGACTAGTAGTGAGTTATGATACAACAGGAAATTCAAGGATTGTTTTCTGAAAAGATAAGCCGAATTTGGAGACGAGACTCCTAGATAATCAGTTACCTGTTTCGGCATTTCAGTCCTTTTGGAGCATGAAAGAATCTGCCATGTGAGCTGCTCATCGTTCTTACCCCAACAGGTTTGAATCCTTATTTTCCCTTCTTCACATATTTTACCCCGTCTCATCCCCTTCGCGTCAGTACTCATTGCGACGCGCCTTTGCAATGGAAGTTCCTACTTACAGCGTCGAGGGTACCGATCGGTTGGTCCACCGATTGGCGGAGTAAGTTCATGATCCTACATACTGTATAAACAAGGGGACTGACGAGAGACAGAATTTATCCCACAGGCATGTTCTCCGATTTCACAATTTACACCGCGGACCAAACCTTGATGGTGCACAGACTCGTGATCTGCAGTCGCTCTGAGGCTTTTGGCAGATACCTCGCTAATATTCCCAATGTAAGACTCCCAAAATCCCAAGCACTTATTATCCACGGGCTTAGCTTACATTGGTGATTACAGGACAGCAAGCAGGCCCATGAGTTCGAAATTAAGAACGAGCATCCACGAGTCGTCGAAGCCATGATACGATCGTTCTACGGACTAAACTACGACATCAACAATTTCCAGCTACAAATGTGTCCCATGTTGTTCAATGTCAAGGTATACTCCCTTGCCAACAAATTCGAGGTGGAATACCTCAAGATCCAAGCAAAGTTAACCTTCGTCAATGTCGCTCAAGATAATTGGAACTCAGACGAATTCTTGACGGCTGCGTTTGAAGCATACACAACAACACCGAAGTCGGATCGAGGTCTCCGGGATGTGGTCGTCGCCATTTGTCAGAAGTACAGGAAGGATCTGCGCCTGAAGAAAGGGTTCGAGAAACTGCTAGAAGAAACTCCAGGACTTGCTACCGATGTCGTGCTGCTTTCTCACAGTTGGCTGCCTCAGCCTGCTTCTGAAAGGGTTCGTATCGTTCAGTCTTTCTCTTGTCTTTCTTGTTTTGCGAAATGGCAGGTCCAGGTCGGGATGGTAGAGGACTTTCTTGAGTGCCCGTTCTGCCATGAAAATAAAATCGGGGCATTCTAGTCTGACTTGCTGAATTTTCAAGGACTTTCTCTTGCTTGGAGATACTATGGTTCTTTCTGATGTTAGTAGGAGCATTTAGCGCAAACAGAGACATGTTACGCATCTTCCAGTTGTGAATAAACAGTTCTTGTTCGAGAATACGGGCCTTAAATAATATATTTGCCTAAATGGGCTCGGGGCTATTATATTAGTATGATTGTATCAAAGGGAATTCTTGGACCATGACCCATGTTGTCAATATATGTAGCAGAACAAAAGCAAAATATATACTCGATTGAAGAGATCTATTTATGTTTAGTAAGTTTTCAAACATACTATGAGATATTGAACTGCATAACTATTACTAGATGAAATATATATGCTCTAGTCTATACCCGGGCTAGACGCAGTAGTTAGTTAGTCGTAATATTAACAAGTTGAGTCGGACTTTCATTTAGCCGGACTTGCATTTAGCCTTTTTGAATTTAGTTGAGCCCCTGTTCTTATCTCCCCGTGATTACTACGATAAGGTGACCCATGGACCCGCCGATCGCCCCATTCATGTCGCATTATCTTTCCTTCCCAACTCTCCATTGTGGCGACAGGATAGGTTGTGGTTTCAAAATGGGTGCGGTCATAGAAGATATCGAACTACCTGGTATGATTCTCTTGTTTGCTGATCTTCTTGACGAAATTGAAGCACTGACATCCATTCTTATCATAGATGCGACTCTCGACTCTCTATACCCCATCTTCCAGCAACACGATGACCGTCCCGCAAAGCGGCGCAAGACTACCAAAGGGGGCGCGAGAAGTCTGACACGGGAAAATGGAGTATCTGCGACAGGAATACCTCTGGGCTACATTCCCTTAGCACGGTTGACAATGCGCATAGTAGGTTGCTACTCTTATCTCGCTCTGAAGCCAAATTACTGACCCCTCACCCTCCGCAGAAACCTTCGAATACGAGCACGCGCAAATACAAAAGACCTTACGACCCAAGTCTCTCTACCCCCCGAGTTCCTATACTCATAAACGTTCGAAGCGTCCATTTTCTGGATGAAGATCTGAACGACACGCCACAACCACACTCGATCAATGACGACCCGAATCGTATGGAGCTGGAACTATCCAGTCTCGGTGAAGAAGAATTACTGATATATCCATGCGAGGATTCACGGCTGTTTGATCTTCTCGGACAACTCCAGGCCGTAAGCAAACTCGCCCACGTGGACCATTTCTCCAATAATGTTCCCACCGCCTGCTACCAAGCGCATCTGTGTGCTTCGCCGGATGAATCAACTTTTACTCTCGAGACTGTTGTACTTTGGAGAGATTCTCTTGAGATCCCAGATTTGAAACGCCTGACGGAAGCAGAATTGGAAACCTTTACACGATATGTGCTACAGAAAAAATGTGTTCGCCCATCAGCATTGGCCGACCCGCAGGAACATCGCAACAAAATGCTAGGAACCCCAAAGGAGTGGTCTCCCCGGGATTTCTACAATAATGTTCACGTTCCCGACCCCGAAGAGAGTTTGACGCATCTCAAATGCCCTGATTTAGAATGCAAGCTATACCCATTCCAAAAGAGAGCTGTCCGCTGGCTTTTACAAAGAGAAGGAAAAGAAGTCGGACCAAATGGCGAAATTATCCCTATGGCAGAGCTTCCTAATAACAAAATTCCGGCGTCTTTCAATTCCACGAAAGATGTCGATGGGCGGACCTACTACTTTAGTCATCTTTTCATGATTCTGACAACGGATCTTTCTGGGTGGAACGATGCCGCAGATAATTTGAAAGGCGGAATACTTGCAGAGGAAATGGGTCTGGGCAAGACAGTCGAAGTGATTGCGTTGATAAGTATGAATAAACGAGAACGGCAACTCAAGGCTGATCCCGACGGGTTGAGACCTACTGGTGCCACTTTGATCATCACACCACCTGCGATTCTTGAACAATGGAGACAAGAGTTGGAAGAGCATGCCCCAACTCTGCGTGTTCATCATTACAATGGAATCAAACGTGGGAAAGAAACAACCGACGACATGATTGTCGACGAGCTTGCCGAGTGCGATGTTGTTTTGACTACCTACAATGTCATCGCGAAAGAACTTCACTATACGGGGAGTGCTCCGCAGCGAGCTCTACGACATGAGAAGCGATTTGTAGTGAGGAGGACACCACTAGTTCGCCTTTCATGGTGGCGAGTATGCCTGGATGAGGCTCAGATGATTGAGAGTGGAGTCAGCAATGCAGCGAAAGTAGCTCGCTTGATCCCTCGAGAGATTGCTTGGGCTGTGACCGGTACCCCACTGCGCAGAAACATGGACGACCTGTTTGGTCTTCTCCTTTTCCTCCATTATGAGCCTTTCTGCTTTTCAGCTCCGTTGTGGAAAAGGCTGGGTCTGTGTTTTGGCACAGTCCTGGCGAAAATCATAAACACAATCGCTCTTCGGCATAGGAAAGGCCAATTAATGGATGAACTTCGCCTACCACCCCAAAAACGCATTGTGATCACTACTCCCTTCACAGCTATCGAAGAACAGCAATACGGTCAGCTTTTTGAGAGAATGTGCCAAGCATGCGGTTTGAACGCCTCGGGGGCCCCTCTTCGAGGAGACTGGGACCCTGAAGATCCTGCAATTGTTGAAAGGATGCGTATCTGGTTAACAACGCTCCGCCAAACGTGTCTCCATCACCGGATGTTTTATGGCCGAGCCCTTGGTTCAGGCTCTGGTCCTTTGCGTACTGTGGATCAGGTTCTGGACGTCATGACTGAATCCAACGAGGCGGCCATACGTACGGAAGAACGAACACTCCTTTTATCTCAACTTCGACGCGGTCAGCTTCTAGAAAATGCAAAACGCCGCCAAGAAGCCCTCGCTCTTTGGCAGAAGGCACTGGAGCATGCCACCCAGCTAGTTGAAGATAGCAGAGAACAACTGCGCCTATTGAAGTCCAAAAGCATTACCGGCGGCAATAATGGGGCTACTCCGGGAGTCATCAATCTGGATGACGAAGAGGACGGGGACGAAGAGGTAGACAAGAACAGCCGCCTCGGCCAGTGCCGACAGAAGCTTCGAGCTGCACTCGAGGTCCAGCATATTGCAGTGTTCTTCACTGCGAACGCATATTACCAAATCAAGAGCGATCCAAATCTTACTCAGCCAGATTCGGATGAGTTTAAATCGCTTGAAAAACGGGAAGAAGATGCGTATGAGGCTGCGAAAGTCATTCGCAAAGAGATGTTGACTGATATTTCCCGGAAAGTCGAGCGCTACATGAAAAAAATCAAGATCATGGCACAAGGAAAAGAATTCGTGAAAATCCCGAAAATGAATCCACAGCTCTACAGCAAAGGAGTCGAGTCATACAATCTGCTCTGCAGATTTGAAGACTTTTGCGACGCTCTCAATAAGCATGCCGACCAATATAAGGAATGGCGGGATGACATGGTCAGATTGGTCTCCCAGTCACTCATTGACCAGGAAGAAGAAGCAAAGCTGGAGGGTGATGAGTATGAGCGGTCAACAAAACATCAAGATGAGATGTATGTCTACATGGAGGCTTTAAGGTCAATTTACAGCGACCGTCATGATGCTCTCACTGGCGAAAAGAATACTCTCATTTCCCACGAAGTCAAAGCCGGAATCGTCCAGGCCCAAAAGGGTGAGGGGCCCTCTCCGCAACTATTTCTCAAGATTATGGAAACTCGCAATCAGATCATGCCAGATCCCAATCTTGGATCGTTCCGCGACATTGTCAGTGAGCTTCGCAAACTTGTGGCATCGCTGGAGTGGCAAGCCAGATCAGGCAATTCGCGTGCTCGTGCTGAACACGAAGTCGTCGAAATGGTACTGAAAAACGCCGGCCAAATGATTGCTGAACAGCTGAAAGTAAGAAGCAAACTAATCAGAGAAATTGAAATGTTCCGCGACACCATGAACAATCGACTGGAGTATTATCGTCACCTGCAGCAGATTTCGGATACGGTGGCTCCATATGACGAGGAAAGTGCAGGCAAGCCGCTAGATGAATTCGCCTTTAACCTAAGGTTGAAGCAAGAGGAATCTATTGAAGAAAAGATTGCTTCTCTCAGGTCCAAAGCAAGATACCTTCTTCACCTAAGAGATGATGGTGACTCCAACAGTAGCCCTCGAGAGTGCATTATCTGCCAATCGACCTTCGAAGTTGGTGAGTAATGGTTTCATTTATTATATCTTTTACACGCCAACTGACATTTAATGCAGGTGTATTGACTGTGTGTGGCCACAAGTACTGTAAGGACTGCTTGCGGATGTGGTGGGTTGCACACCAAAATTGTCCAATGTGCAAGAAGAAGTTGAAGCGCAATGATTTCCATCAGATCACATACAAGCCACAGGAACTAGTTGCACAGGAGGAAAAGCCACCTGTCAAATTAGACCACCAAGGCCATTCTCAGAACGTCATTTACAGTGACATCAGCTCCGGTCATCTCAATGAGATCAAGAACATTGACTTGGATGCACATTACGGAACAAAGATTGACACTTTGGCCCGGCACATCCTATGGCTGCGTGAACATGATCCCGGCGCAAAGTCAATCATCTTCTCTCAATACGGAAGCTTTTTGTCGTTATTACAGAGTGCATTCAAACTCTTTGGGATAGTCACTACCAGTATTGACTCCCCGAATGGAATTGAGAAGTTCAAGACAGACCCGGCTGTAAGTGGATCCCGGACTCATACCTCATTGGAATATGCTGACGGTTTATAATTTAGATTGAGTGTTTTTGTTTGCATGGCAAAGCACAATCATCCGGGTTGAATTTGATCGTTGCAACACATGTTTTCCTATGCGAGCCACTTATCAACACGGCAATCGAGCTCCAGATCATTGCTCGAGTGCATCGCATTGGCCAATATCGACCAACAACAGTATGGATGTACCTTGTCTCTGGCACGGTAGAAGAATCCATATATGAGATCTCAGTAGCCCGACGCATAGCTCACATTATGGAGAAAGAGAAGGAATACAAAAAATCGCTCTTGGCGTGTCCTGCAGACGAAGATTATGTCACTGAAGCGGTTATTGAATCTGCCAACTCGATGGAGCTACAAGATGCCACTCTCACAACCATGATGCAACGTGGCTCCTTAGGTGGAGAGTTGGTGAAGCAGGATGACCTTTGGCAGTGTCTCTTCGGAAATGCCAATAAGAAAGATGGCACTAATCCTTCAGCTGAGGCAGAGAGGGAGGTTGGTCGCTTCTTGAGAGGCGAAGCTGCTGAGCAAAGAATGGAAGGTTGAGATACGAATATTTGCTGTAATTCGGAACATTCATGTCTTGTTCCTAGTTAAACTCAATCTTCACTTCTTTAACTGCCCTCTTTTAGTACTTTCATACAATGTTGTAGACACATGCGCAGATCGTTTGGGGTCGCACCTGCCAGACATGGATGACTGCCAAGAAAATGACTAATCACATACTGACTAATCAATGGACCACCTGGGAAGGTGCCCCCCATACTGTTCGCTTGAACGGCGATGACGTGAGTGCAGTTGCCTATACCATCTATACTGTATAAATCTGGTCATCTTCGTGTTTTTCTTTTTCTGTTAAATTGATGCTCTGTTAGAATCACCCTGCAAAACACTTTCATCATGGCGGACTCACAGAGTCCTGAGGCTCGCGAGTTGAGTCTGATAGGCAAGGTGGAATTCAGAATTGCCATGGCAGATACAGATGAGAAACTGCAGTCACTACTTGGAACATATCTTCCTCCCTTGTTGTTGAAGCTTGGGTCAGATAGCGTGGAGGTGCGCAACAAAATCATCTCAGTCTGCCAGCATGTCAACACCCGAATCAAAGCCCCCTCTATTCAGCTGCCCGTGGCAGCACTGTTGAAGCAGTTCAAGGAGCAAAAATCTCAATTGATCAGGCATTTTGACCTCATCTATGCTCAGCAAGGTATTGATCGCCTTGGGTCTGCAGCCAGAGTCGAAATCCTAATACCCTTGCTCCAGGGCATCTCGAAGATCGGGACGTCACCCACTCAAGGTGCTATCGTATTTAATCTGGTTGTGCGTCTATTGCCACTTCTAAAGCTGCCAGCCAGAGGAAGTGAAGAAGATCAGGCCCTGAAAGCCCGACTCGGTCTATCAGACGAAGATGCCCAATTCTTGTCCTTTTGGCTAGCGAAATTGTTACTTCTTACCCCTGGCCCCAGGGAAACTTCAACATGCCCTGGTCTATCTCCAGACGAATATAACTTCTTGAACAAGGGCGCCCCCGCAAACGAGACATGGAACCCTTCTACCGATGGTGGCTTGAATCTGACCGAGACAAAGGTCACCGCCCTTCGATTCATCGGAAGCGGTGCTTTTAATGATTCACAAAGATTCTTGCCTTCACTAATCGCTTCTGCTGATGCCAACTCCCGTCTTGCGGATCTGGGAGATGAGACCCTCAAGCGATTTACTGCGGATATTGAAAATCCCGATGTTGTTCAGGAGTTGTATGATCTGTATTTCGGTACTGTTTCACCTAATGCGCCCAATGGTGCTCCTCCCGCGCGCCCCCCACTTCAAGTGAAGATTCTTGTCTTTCTGGGGAAGTCCATCAGAGCCACCGCAGACCCCCAGCGAATATTGAGGCTCATCGAAGATGGGCTCTTATCAGATTCTGCTAGGTCCTCCCAGGGGTTGCAAGCGTCGAAACTGAGGACCCAAATTTTTACATTTACTACTTGGGTGGTCCGTATGGGTGCACCATCTGATCTGAAGCAAATCGCGCCCATACTTATTGCAGGACTCAGGGATTTCATTCAGTCTCAAGGATGGCCCAGTCCAGCAGCTAGTGGGCAGAAACTACCCACAACAGACCTCAGTCTCCGAGGTCTTGCCTATGAAAGTATCGGTATCATGGTTCCAAAGGTCGACTTTATGTCGCAAGCCGATGCTGTAGAGAATTTCGAATTCGACCTGGTCCGATGGCTCTTTGCTTCCTTGAGTGCGGATGACTCAAGTCCTCAGATATTCGTTAGCATCGATCAGGCATTAGGAAGTATTCTCAATTCTTCATTAGATAGCCACGACAAGACCTTCCAGGATCAGCTACGTCCATTCCTAGTTCGTCAGATGAGTATGCAGCCTGGCGATATGGATCCAGACACCGGTTACCGTGCTGTGCGAGGTGTTCAGTACGCCGCAGTGCGCTTCGCGAACCGATTCCTGCCATTTAATGATGTTGTCGCCCGTTGGATCGATTTGATGGCCATTGCAAGAGGCCCAGAAAGACAACAAGAAATCGTCGAGGAAGGAAAAAAGGGTCTCCATCCTTACTGGTACCGACTCCTCAATCCCGCCAAGGACGGGAAATGGTCAGCTTCCTCGGCAGCTCCAGTTCAGGACGAATCCTGGTTCAATTTCCCAAACTTCGATGAGGCTACTCGTTTCCTGCTTGGTTCGGGAGGGCAAGAGGAACACTTGAATGTTCAGTCTTTGTCTGCTTCGCAACTCCTGTCTGGTCCTTACAAAGGTTCATTTATGCCTGCCATCTCATTCCTCCGAAATACATTGCTTTGGGAAGCATTCTTGGCCTCGGGGGTTGCTGCAGATCTAGAACAAGATTGGGACTATAAGCTAGAAGTGCTCCTCTCCACCAGCGTGGAAGCCCGTTCAGCCGTGAGGAAGTACATTCGAGAATCTGCGAAGGACTCTGTTTTGGCATTTTTGACTGGCACTCTTGAAGGCCTCGTAACTGGCGAGCGTGAAGGTCTGCGGCAATGTGGTGTTCATTTCATGGAAATCTGCTCGCTAGCACCCAATGACGTTGTTCAACACTTGGTCTCGCGTGCGACATCCTTAATGGAGCCTATTTGCAGCAACAACCAAGATAACCAGGGTATTACTGCGCGGGCATTCGGAATTCTGGTTTCGCATCCTGCCTTTTCAGAGGAGCAACTGAAAAGTTTTATTACTCAACTGAGTGCTACCATCCAATCGTGGAATACTTCTATAGGTCAAGAAGTCATGCGAGTCCGTGGAGCAATTTTGGCGCTCTCGTATTTGTTGAGTCGACTTGCGTACCGCGGTCTAGTGAACAGAGCCCCAGAAGCACAAACCAAGCAGTTTATTGAGACTCTCTTTGATATTCTAGATGTTTCACGGGATACTCTGCTCCAAAGGACTGCACAAGAGGCCATTGGACAGCTAAGTCTATCCGGTGTGCTATCTCTTGATATTATCACAGAAGATAACTGGAAAAAGATCCTGGAAAAGCTATCCCGTGACGCCAAAACCGAGAATCAGATCCCGATCAAATCTTTGGGATTGCTGACTATGACCTTCTCCCGATCTGGCTCGGACAGTACCTTGTTCAACGATTTCCTAACTTCACTCTATACTCTTCATGAAATCCGCAGCCCCGAAGTTCAGTTCACTGTAGGCGAGGCCTTGAGCAACGTCGCTGTTGGGTGGGATTCTCTGGCTCTTATCCAAGATTTCGACATCGATGCAGAATTTCCTCGCTCAGACGTTCCGCGCTCGGTGTTTACAGTCATCTGTGACAAAGTCATTGCGGATTGTATTGCGCCCAAGCCATCTCTGCGGAAGGCGTCTGCAATCTGGCTGCTGTCACTGGTTAAGAACTGTGGTCATATGCAGGAGATGCAGGAGCGGCTGCGTAAGTGCCAGGCTACTTTCAGCAGCCTCCTTGGAAACCGGGACGAAGTGGTGCAGGAGACTGGAGCCCATGGACTCAGCCTTGTATATGAGATCGGTGACCAATCCCTGAAAGACGACCTTGTCCAAGATCTGGTTGAGTCATTCACCTCAACTGGTCCCAATCTCGGAGGTGGTAAGATTGAGGCTGACACCCAGCTATTTGAGCCTGGAGCCCTCCCCACTGGGGAAGGATCGTCCGTCAACACTTACAAGGATATCATGAACCTGGCCGCCGAGGCAGGTGACCCCACTCTGGTTTACCGGTTTATGTCACTGGCTTCAAACAATGCTATTTGGACAAATCGCGCAGCATTTGGACGCTTCGGAATCAGTAGCATCTTTTCTGATTCTAGCGTCGATGGCTATCTGGCGAAGAACCCTAAGATTTACCCCAAGCTTTTCCGTTACCGGTTCGATCCCAACCCGAATGTGCAAAGATCTATGAACACCATCTGGCAAGCGCTAGTTAAGGACCCTACCGTTGTCATCGATACCCACTTTGATGATATCATGCAGGATCTGCTCAAGAGCATTCTAGCTGGTCGAGAATGGCGTGTTCGGCAAGCAAGTTGCGCTGCTGTGGCAGACCTGATCCAAGGTCGCCGTCCGGAGAAGTACGCCCAGTATCTCGATGATATTTACAGCAAGGCTTTCAAATTATTGGACGATATCAAGGAATCTGTCCGCACCGCTGCGCTGAAGCTGTGTCAAACTATTACCAATTCGGTCATCCGCACACTCGAAACGAGCGGCACCGAGAAGCGCGCAGGTACTCTACTCAAAAGTGCTATCCCCTTCCTTCTGAGCGATAAGGGGCTGGATTCCAGCGTGGAGGAGGTGCAAGGATATGCCATTGGCGCTCTTATCTCGATGATTAAGAAGAGCCCTGGTAACTTACTGCGCCCACATGTTCCCAATATGCTGGAGAAGTTCCTGAGTGCTCTGAGCTCTCTGGAGCCACAGGCTGTCAACTATGTCCACCTCAATGCGGACAAATATGGTCTCACCGGTCAAGAGATCGACAAAATGCGTCTCTCCAGCATCCGCACATCCCCTATGATGGAGGTAATTGAGCGGTATCTCATTGACAACTTGGATGAAAGCAATCTCGATGAACTGGCACAGAGACTCGAAGATGTGCTCCGGTCGGCCGTGGGTCTGCCCTCGAAGGTGGGTTGCAGTCGCGTGCTGGTATTGCTTAGCATGAAGACCTTGCTCTTCCGCCCATACGCGGATCGATTTATCCAAATCCTCACCAAGTACGTGGTGGATCGAAATGACACGGTGAGTGCCTCCTACTGCTCATCCATGGGCTATCTGCTGCGACTCGCTTCGGACGATCGGGTTCTCAAGACCTTTGACTATGCCAAAAACCTCTACCTGACGGCCGAGGATGCCACGCCGCGAGTGATCTCCGGTGAAATCTTGTATTCCGCATCAAAATTGTCCAACGATCGGTTCATGGCATTTGCGGCGAGCGCATTGCCGTTCGTTTTTGTGTGTAAGCATGATGGCGACGAACATGTGAAAGAGCAATTTGAGAAGACATGGCAAGATAACGTTGGTGGATCGCGTGCTGTGTCACTTTACATTCGTGAGATTGTGGGCCTCGTTTCGGATAATCTGGATTCCCCCCGCTGGGCTATCAAGCACACAGCTGCACGGGCAATTGCGCAAGCAGTGTTATCGCTGGATGCGGAGATTGACCACCCGACAGCTCAATTGATTTGGCCAGTATTGGAGCGGGCCCTAGCGGGGAAGACGTGGGAAGGCAAAGAAGTGGTTCTTAAGGCACTAGTGAAATTTAGCGTGCAAGCCCAAAAGTTGTGGCAGGCCAACGAGGAGTTGAGTAAGCTGAAGGTATGGGCTGACATGTCGCCACTTCCAAGTTTTTTTGGGGAAAAAGAAAGGGTTTAAACTATGCAATTGATGCTAACGCATGTCAGACTATTACGGTTCGCGAAGCCAAGCGGGCGAATGTACTCTACCGGCCGCATGGACTGCGAGCAATGGGCGAGATTGCACAGGCACGCAAGGATCTTAATTTCATGCCGGATGCATTAAAGATTATTCCTGGGGTGATTGAAGAAATGAGGGAGCAAGACCAAGACCAGATGGAGATAGACTCCAGGAATGGGCGCGGCTCGACCCAAGATGACACCCTTACGGCGTGTGTACAATGTCTCCTGCAATGTTTCAACCCCACCGCTGATTCGGGGGAAGGTCAGTCACCGAAAATCCCCTCAAATCTCCTAAAAAAGCGAAAAACCCTGTGAGAAACCCCTAGCGTCATTCCTTGCTAACACTAACCATAGCACTGGGAAAATACGTGGAACAGGTGACCGATCCGCTGGCTCAAGTTCTCCAGCTTGGTGGACGACAGGTCGTCAGCACGGGCTACGATGAGCTCCGAGCTTTCTTTACGCGAGTGGATCAGTGGATCTCGGATGAAAAAATCGCCGTGCCCTTGACTATTTTGGCAGACAAGACTCTCACAGGTGAAGTGGAAGGGTCTGTGGAGGCTATCCGCAAGGGTCGTGCAGAGGCCATTTTGGCGTACCTGAAATTGAGTCCTGCCCAAGCGGCTGTGCCTGACACGCTTATTCTGCGAGTTCGTGAATGGAGAGCCAGTGAACGATCTGGACCAGTACAAAGTCTACTGGATGAGGCCTTAGCCTTGCCTAATTAAGCATCCCACGTGGTTTCTTTTTTATCTACAGTTTATTTTCAAGGTTATTTATGATATATTGAGATACGCCTTGAAGCTATACCAATAGGAAGTCAGTCCAAGAGAAATAGTTGAAGTACCTTGAAAACGCCACTCGCTTAAGACTCGGCCAAGTCCGTTTGGAATGCGGAGAGTCCCAAATAGATCTGAAGTGTGATCTCTTAGATTTTTATGATTCCAGACCGGGGTCCCGGCCGATCGAGACTTATAATTCTCCCTTTCCTCATTCTTCGGCTCCGGTAGGGGAAACCCCCTGAAGTCCTTGAAGTCCCGAGGTTTTGCTATAATTCCCCTTAGCCCGGACCTAACCCTTGTGTAATAATAGTAACTTCCACATGGTTGGCATCTGCATGCCATTTGAGGTTTTTCATCTTTTCCCTCTTTTTCCCTCTTTTTTTTCCTTGTTTTCCTTGTTTTAGGGTACTTTCGGTCTTTTTTTTTTCTCCCCTCGCTTTTTCCCCTTAGAATAATTTATAGAATGAAAATAGAATGAAAATAACTATTTTATATTTCTTATAATTTCTTATAATTTCTTAATTTTTTTTTATTATTTTTATATTTTTATCCTTTTCCCTAATTCCCGCCACCCGTTCAAAACCTATGAACCTCCTACATTTTTGATATCCTTTTCCCTCCCTTTTTCCCCACCATTTTTCTCTCTCTCTCTTATAATATCCTCTTTTATAATACACACCTTCCCCCATACTTTAGCTTTTGGTCCCTGAACCCTTTTTAATATACCCCAGTAAGTGTTCCAATTCAGCCCATCCCCGTACAGCACTGATCCATACAGCCTGATGACGGTAACCAGTCTGATCATGCAAAACAGACGGAGCAAAGCCTCTGGAAAACCTCCTCTACGGTTACCCATCATCGCTCCAAAGGAAGATCTTTTTGACGCCTTTGCCAAGTCCGAAAAGACCATCGCTCCACCGCGCATCCGCTTGCCTCCGCGATCTCGTACCGGGTGTTGGTAAGTGATCGTCTCTATACCCCTGAACAACCCAAGCTTATTCGTTCTAGGACATGCCGAGTGAGTTTCTAGTCTTTTCCCTCCCCCAAAAAAACAGTTGATTAATTGTTTTTTTTTTCTTTTCTTTTTCAGAGTCGAAAGGGTAAGTGAGTTGAATAATTTGTTTGTAATTTCGTGGCTGACATTCTCTAGTCAAATGTGATGAAGGACACCCGCAATGTAATGTATGCATTCTTCTCGCTTCTAATTTCCACTTTACTTATTCTTTACAGCAATGTACTCGTCTAGGCCATACTTGCGATTATCGTCCACGTTTGGCTTTTCGTGATGATACCCCTCGTATCATGGGCCGTATGGCCGATGTGAAGACCAACGGCCATGTCGTTTGGGATCGTAAGCACCTTCTTTTCTGAAGGTTTTCTTCTTTTTTTTTAGTACTAACTAGCGTAGTTACCTCCCCGGGTTCCAGTGATGAGAGGACCGATTATTTCTCTCTCGGGGATTCACTTCCGCCCTTTTCCATGCTCACTTCGGATGAAGAGCGAGAAAGGAAAGCAGAAGCGTTTAGTCCAGGCACGTACCATGTCGTGATGACACCAGACAGTTTCTCCTCTCTGCCGGAATATGCAGACGATACAATTGAGAAACCTAAATCAAATCCTAGCGAGTGTAGGAGTGCGACCAATAGTCCCACAATCACGGCCAAGCCCGACTGCAGTGTGGAAGAAGATCCCAATGTGGTGATTTTGAAGACTTTTGAAGATGCGACTCGTCGCTCGCCGTCTAGTGGGAAGATCAGGATCTCTCCAACATCGGAGATCTCCGATCCTTTCTGCAATTTGTCTCTCTCGCCAAAGTTCACTTCTCTTCCTTCGCCGAATGTGAAGGTAGAGGAGATGACTCTGCTACCACGTCTTGACCAGCAAACTCAGGATTCTACCGTCTTTGCCCATTTCCGTCATGTCGTATGGAGGCAATTGTTCCCTCATGACCATAGGCTGGATGATTCGTCTGGATCGGATAGTCATAGTCACTTTACGACTCTCAGCATGGGCTTCCTAGAGCAGGAAGCTGCTCGTTTTCCTCCTGTGGGTAATCCATTCTGTAGTTCATATGTTCGCGCTAATAAGAATCACAGCTTTCTCACGCTATGATGGCTGTATCGGCCCTTAGTCTCTCGCACAGCGGCACAGGTCACAATATCGATGCGCTACAATATTATTATCAAGCTTTTCCCTCCCTCCAGGTCAGCATACGGAACAACGATGATCTTGTTTCCGATGGACTATTCCTTACTCACTTCCTGCTTTTGATCTATGAGGTAAGAGACTACTGGTTATTGCAATTCCTCTATATACTTATAATCCCTTAGATTGCAGCTGCCGAGCCACACGGTTCAAACCTCTGGTCTCACCATATCTCTAATCTCCTTCATATCGCCTGTCTTCGACGGGAGAAGTATGGCCACGAACCACACCCATTTATCCTCTGGTGGGTGTGCCACATTGACTTGTACGCCCTGTTCAGCGGAGCAGGCACGGGAGAGTTTGTAGCAAAGGTCATCGAGCAGCAGATGCTCCCTGGCTCTGAATGTCTTCTCTATCCTTCTGCCCCAGAGGGCTACAGTTTGATTTACTCCGACGAGCATGAGAGTTTACCGGTGATTATGCGCCTGTACCACGATACATTCCGACTGGCCGCGCAACTGGGCTTCTTGGCTGCTAAGCTTCGTCACGATAAACAGACTCTGCCCTTTGCAGAGTTCGACCCGAGATCACAGGAAGTAAGCGATCTGCGTCAGGCTTTCGGGAGACTGTGGGAATCTCCCGATGTTGCCTTCCTGCATCAACATCAGGATAACCTCCCGCGGCGGTCTCGGGAGATCATGCAGCAGGTCAGTTTTTTCCCCACTCATTTAAAAAGAAAAACTAAAAACTAACTTCTTCTAGTCCGCTACCCTGTACCATGTTTGTCAACTCTTCTCCTACAGCAGCATGTGGCCTGGACAGCGTATGGAATCGGAATTCCCACCCGACAGAGAGATTGATCACCACGCAACAGAGATCCTGCGTCTAGCTGAGCAAACGACACATACTCGTCGAGCCGATCGACACTTCATAGTTTTCCCCTTATTCCTAGCAGGTGCTACGGCATCGGCTAGTGGATTGAAGATGATGGCGATGGAATTAATGGCTAGCATGGAAGATGAGGAAGATGGCATGGGACGCAATGCAGCCACAACTCGTGCTATCCTGCAGATTGTCTATGAGCGACAATTAGAACGACTCAGGGTGGGTCATACATATGATATTGATTGGTCGGACTTAATGGCTCAGGAAGGACTTCAAATGGTTAATTTCGGATTTTGATTTTGAGCATTGGCGTTGATGTGATGGGCATATCATGATTGATGGAATATGTATAGAAATGAATAACCCATGGAAACTATTCGGGCCGACCCATGTAATTTTCTGTCTATTTATATCTTGGATTCTAATATCACTTGGCATGTAGTGGACTACAGCTAAGTAACTAACTAATCTAGGCCAAGGCAACTGTGATATCTCATCACCTGCGGGGTCGGCGCTTCGCCTACTTGGCGGCTACAAGTCTCCTGATCTTCCTTTTTTTTTCTCTCTCTCGGACAATTTCTATGAATAGATGAAATACTTCTCTCCCCGCATCTACCCCTCTGTTCCAACTTTTGCGCTTATCACCCGGGAGTACACGTATTTCTGTGGCTGAATTCTGTCTTCTGCAGCTTCCAGCCGCAATTTCTCAAGGATGAGTGCTGGTAGTAGCCGTGCCCTCCATCCCGAGGAGCTTTTTCTCGGCCCCAGACAAGAATCACCCACTATCGGCCCTCTACGTATCAACAAACGGGACTCATCATCCCCAGCATCGGCCGCGGGCTCCAGCCCCCCACCAAACGCCCCGCTCCCATACCCGGATGACCGTCAACGTCCGCAAATGCGCACCTCAAGTTCCAATGACCGCTATCACGACAATATTAGATATGGGTCTCCGCCAGCTGGTCCTGGCTCCGGCTCCGTGAGTCCAAATGAATACCCAACAGCGCTACGGCCGCGGGACGGCCGCGAGCCCCGAGTCGCAACACTGGCTGAAAGAAGAGGTGCTGCCCCTAAACCGCTTCCCGAATCTCCTAGCTACGATGCGCCAGATCGCGAAGCTATAGCGGCCAGACAGTATCCTCGACCGCCGGCAAGTCAACCACCAGGCCCACCAGAGCCACCAGCAAATACAAGTCAATATGATTATCGTCAACAATACTACCCGCCCCCTCAACGCCAAAGCTCAACCTCTGCTGCCCGTCCCCCGTCAAGTCTACAAGCCCCACAAGGCCCGCTCAATCGCATCAGTTCCACTTCGACAACGCGCGCACAGCGTGGCTCGCCCCCGCCCCCGGAGACACCAGTCGTTGGGCCAGGCCAGAGCCCCGCCTCCGATATCGAGGCCCGCTATGCCGCTGCCGGTATCGCTGGTACCGGGACCCTTCAGGGTATCCAGTCGCATAACGTGGCTGCGCAGAGGAGAGCGGAACAGTATTCTGGACACCAGCCGGTTTTCCAGCAGCAGCAGCGTCCGTGGACACCGACTGAGCAACCTGGTTCGCAGCCTCATGGCCCTCCGACGGTTTATCAGGGTGATGAGGTCGTTACGGATAATCAGCCAGCTGCTGTGCATCCTGGTCAATATGGTAGTCCGCCTCCCCAGGTTCATCCGGGTCAATACAGCAGCCCGGCGCCCCAGGCTCATCCGGGTCAGTATAATACCCCGCCACCCCAGGCCCATCCGGGTCAATACAGCAGCCCGCCACCTCAGTCTCATCCTGGCCAGTACAGTGGATCCCCATCCCAAATGCACCCTGCAGCTGGGCTACAGCAGCAAGAACAGCCAGGAAGAGTTGCCCCTAACGCCCTGGAACAAGACATGGACCGGTTGCGCCTCAGCTCCTCTCCTCCTCCTGCCTACTCGAGCGTGTCTGGTCCATCTGCTTCCAATGGATATCCAAATGAAAAGCACAGCGGAGCGGCAGCGGCAGCACCAGCACCAGCAGCTACTGCTGCAGCTGGAGCCGCAATGATGCACCCTGCCTTGGCTAGTCAACCCAATTCTGCTGTAAAAGCACATTCACCTGCACAGACAGCCTCCCCGCAGGACCACCCCGCATTCCGGAATGACCAGAGGCAGCAGCAGCAAACAGGACAATCCCCGCAGACGTCTGTCGCTAATGACTTGTCCGGTTTCCATCACCAGACAGTCCAGGTGACTTCTCCAGGCCCCTCTAGCGCAGGTCCGGCTTCTCCACCACCTCTTCCGGAGGGGTGGATTGCGCACATGGATCCAAGCTCAGGACAATATTACTACATCCACTTGCCCACACAATCAACTCAGTGGGAGTTCCCGAAAGGACCTACGCCGCTTAACCTCAACGACACACCGTTGTCCCCAGTGGCAAGTGTGTATAGCGCCCACCCACTAGCTTCACCGGGTCTCTCGGCTTTCGGCAAGCCTCTCGCATCGCCGGGTGTGCCTTTGACCCCTGGTTTTGAAAGCCTACAGTCTCCCATAGTGACTGGATTCTCTGGGCCTCCCCCGAGTACTGGCATGGATCTGTACAAGAACGTTCCGACCAACGGTGTCTACTTTGGTCCTTATCTGCGTTACACCAACATGGATCTCGAGCGTGGAGTCTGGTTGGGATCTATCCTGCTTGTGACAGATGCCGCCCAGCCACCCACAATCCACATGCACCAGAGTCTGGACCTGTCCCCAAACCCGAGACAATTGAAGGCAGTCAACATTGCCGCCCATCAACGCTGGACTTTCTACAAGTATGAGATTGACCTACAGATGGATGATGCGGGTCCTGCAAAATGGACCTACGCCATCACCTCACACCTTGGCTGTACTCGTTACGAGTTCCTCGTCGCTGGTCGACACGAGACAAACTGGCGCTTTATTGCTACCTCTGGAAATGACTTCTCACTTAATGTCAACGCTAGTGAGCGGGCTCGTGTGGGTGGTGTTGGCTATATGTGGAAAGATATCATGCAAAAACACAATGAGATTGGTGGCTTCCACGCCCAGTTATGTCTTGGTGGTCAGATCTATGCGGATCGCATGTGGAAAGAGATTCCGTCTCTCAAGCAGTGGTTAACTATCAGCGGAAAGGAAGCAAGAAAGAACGCTCCTTGGACAGCGGCGAACGAGCAGGATGTTTCATATGCATACTTCCACTACTACACTAGCCATTTCGATCAACCCCATATAAGGGAGTCATTTGCGCAGATTCCTTATGTCTGCCAGATTGATGATCATGACATGTGAGTCGTTCATAACAACAGTCAATTAACAACACACTGACATATCCACAGCTTCGACGGATTCGGCTCATATCCCGAGCACATGCAGTTCTCAAACATGTTCAAGAACATAGGCCGCATTGGAATCGAAATGTACCTCCTCTTCCAGCATCACACAACCCTCGACATCCTCCGAAACGTCAGCAACGATATGGACCTCTTCACTATCACCGGCACAGGCTGGCACTTCGTTAAATACCTAGGTCCCGGTGTCGTCGTCGTCGGTCCAGATTGTCGCTCAGAACGAAACCCTCACCAAGTCATGGCCGGTCCAACCTACCAGGGTCTCTTCCCAAAGATTGCAATGCTACCACCCAGTGTGCAACACTGTCTCTGGATGGTCGCCGTGCCACTCATCTACCCCCGTCTAGAAACAGCAGAACATATTGTGCAGACCGTCGCAACCGGAAAGCGAGCCGTGACTGGCGCATACAACGTGCTAGGCAAAGTAACCAGCTCAGTAGCCGGAGTCGTCGGCGCGAAAGACTTTGTCGGCTCAGGCTTCGACTCAGTGAAGCGAGCCGTCGGAAAATCAGGACTAATGGGCGGTATACTAAGTCCATTTGGTGAATTCAGCTCTATGGACGAGCTACGCGATCAATGGACACACGAGTCGAAGGTTCGTTCCCCTCTCCCCATACCCATTTATATATACTAACCCAAACCAGGATCTCGAACGCACATATCTCATCCGCACACTCCAAGGCATCGCCCACCAAAAATCAATCCGAATGACCTTCCTCTCCGGCGCCGTCAATGTCTGCGGCGCTGGTCTCGTCCACGACCCCTCAAGCCCTTCAGACCACAAGACAATGTACCAACTCATCGCCTCCTCCGTCGTCAACACCCCGCCTCCCTCATACATCATCAAGCTCCTACACAGCCACAGTAAACCCCTCTACGTCCCCGCCAACGGCCACAGATCCTCCGCCCAGGTGAGCGATACTAAGGAAGATATGATGGAGATCTTCCAGACAGATGTCAACGGCCAGGCTCGTGAGTATCGAAAGCTCATGGCGCGAAGGAACTACGTCGCTATCGTGGCATATGACCCTGAGGCAGTTAATGCTTCTTACGGTATGTCGGCCGGTGTTAGTAAATTGAGTCTCGCGGCGGACTTTATGGTTCAGGGTGATGGAGCACTTGGGAATGTGGTCAAATTTGGACCAGTTATTGTGCCATGTTTGGATCAGGGGAGGTGATGACGGGGTCTCATATACTTGTATTCCCGGATCTTTGCTTTTTTGCACAGCATTGTTATTGTTGGTTTTTGATTTCGCTTTGGCGTGTTTGCATATGTTATATTTGCTGGCATGTCTTGTTCATGATATGACAACTATACCGTTCTAACTTGCTTATATTATTACTTTAAGTAACAATCTTAGAAATGGGATAGATATCAGCTTAAAGGTCATTTCTAAAGCAAAGGGGGTATCCTATCTAAAACCAAACGCTATCATATATTCTATCCAGTTGGGTCTCCCCCAGGAACACAAAGACCAATCCTCCAAAAATAATCCCGATGAGCATAAAACAGTTCCCAAAGCCGATACCTCGCCGGTATAGACCAATCCCACCGCGAGAATCTATCCTCACAACTAACATCAGGACGTCCCAAGACCGCCTGCTCCCCAGATACGTCTTCATCACCACCATTCGGCTGACATCCATCCCCAGAATCAGGACCAGCAGGCACATTCAAATCCTGCAACTCACCCAAAACCCCCTCCCTCCCCGCAATACACCCCGGATCATCCACCCCATCACAATGCACCACATCCTCAACGCGTGGCGGCAGTCCAACCCTCGAAATAAAAATCTCCCCAGAATGAGGTCTATACCCCCACTCAGCAAGCGGCAACAAAGGAACCGGATCCCCGACATGCGTGACACGCCGAAAACCGTCGTCGAACTGCTCATCCATAAATGCCGCAAACGCCGCGTTCCCAATCATCGGCTCCCCGAATGTCGTAACATTTACATCCCACCCCGCCAAACGCATCTCTAGTCCTGCGAGTGCGGCGACCGCGCCGCCGAGGGAATGGCCCACTAGCGTTATAGTGTAGTTTGGGTATTTAGTGCGTAGAGTAGAGAGGAGGGGGATGACTTTTGGTTTTGTATGGAGCCATGAGCGTAGGAAGCCTGCGTGTACGGTGCAGTTTTTGCAGGTTGGGCTGTAAGGTGTGTAAGATTGGGGATAGATGGATAGGTCTATTATTGTGTTTGTTATTGAGTAGGTACCGCGGAAGGAGAGGATAATGCGGTTTGTGAGGTGGGAGAGGGCTATGTAGCCGCATGAGTCTGAGAGGAGGGGGCCGGTGTTCCAGGTCTAAATATGGTTAGTTGGTGGTGTGGAGGGTTGGGATGGGCTTACGGTTATTAGTTCTAGATCAGGGAAGTCGATGCAGTGGTTGAGGCATTGGAAGGGTTGGTAGACTCCTGTTGTTCCGACGCAGTAGGATATGTCTACTAGTCTGGATAACTCTTCTAGGGAATTGAACAGGTCGGTTGAAACATGTTTGGGTTTGTTCTGGGCTGTTGCGGGGCTTAGGAAATAGATGTATAGTAGGAAGAGAAATAGAATGTTAGTCATGGTGTAACATACTGAGGGTAGCTGGAGGAGAGAAGATATACCTAAGTAAATACATTAAAGGAAGAGAATAAGATCGTGTGATATGGAGATGTGACTTGCCCAGGTGGAATCCGGGGTAATCTGAAATTATGTCATCGATTTCCTCATTGGTCAGCTATGTCGATCCTGGGGGAGAAATGGATGGATCTACAACTACATAGTAAAGGCAACCTTGCAATCTGACCAGAGACTGGAATGTACTCGAAGGATTCTATCCAATACTATATGTATGTTGACTCTGACCATGGACAAAGGCCAACATTAAAAGGTAGTTAGAATCAGGCGGCCCAAATGACAACACGACCGTCGACACCGCTCGCTAAAATATGTGAGTCTCTCAATCTCAAGTTTCAGGATGATAAACTTACTGCTGAAGGAGCTCACAACTCCGTTGGCTTCATCGTGGGCCCGGATGGTGTGCACAGTGTTCTGGTGGGTAGACTTGAGCTTGGTGTCCGCCTGGGCCTGGCCCTTAAGATCCATCTGTCGGAACATGTTCAAAGCAGACTCCTCGCGGGCACCCCGGGCTTCTCCAGCCTTATTCTCCAGAGAACCGGCAAGTTGCCATCCATTCTCATCTCCGCGGAAACGGAAGGGCTCACAGTCCTGGATACGGTTAGCACAAGCCGTAGTATTACTGAAAAGGAAAACGACTTACATGTCCAGCTGCGATGATCTCAGTCTCGCCATTCCAGATAAGGCTGTTGAGGGGCAGCAAACGGGTAGCAATATTCAACATCGCCCGCGGGGGCTGCTCCGGAGCGCTGGGGTACACGACAGTCACACTGCTATCGTGTCCAGTGAAGGCGAGCGCGTTACCACTAGGAGAGAAGGCAACACCTTGGATCCAACCGGCAGTGTCATTCAGGTATTCACCACAGATAGTGTTGAAAGGAAGACGCTCTCCCCATGCACTAGGCTCCGGGCGGGTATCAACACCCTTGATGAAGCTCGAGAAGACACGAGCGTGAGAATCGGTCGATCCGGCTGCCAGCAGGACGGAGTTCGGGTGCCACGCCAGGGTTGTAATGGTGCTGCGAATAGGCTTCTTGATATGCTTCGAGATCCACCAGTCGTTCTCCTCCTCGAAGTAGCAAACTGCAATCACTCGGGCGCCGGAGCCGACGGCGAACTTCTGCTCCGATGGAGACCAGCGCACAAATGTTGCGGCACGGTTGATTCGGAGAAGAACCAAAGTAGGTTTCCATCCGGTGGCGGTCTTCTCCCAAACGTAGGCATTGCGATCTATAGATCCAACACCCGTTAGGTATTGCATAGGGTGTAGTAAAAGGAGCTTTGCCAAAACATACCCTGCGAGCAAGTGACAATTCGGCCACTGTTGGGAGCAATATCCACACTAGTGACGGTCTTCTCGTGGCCCTTGAGCTCATCGCTCAGCGCAAACTTGTTGCCTGATTGTTGGTACAGCTCCACATTGTTCTCCCGAGCGACAGCAAGCGTCTTCTTGTCGGATGAGAACGAGTGGTCTGCAATTGGTGCATGGAATAGATGGTGAACCTGAGGAGTGGCCATATTGGAAATAATTACGACAGGAGGATCTCTCTACCGTCGTGCTGTGTACTTAGTTGTTGTAGTTGCGGGACCAGGAGGGGAGCTGGCCCCGGGGTGACGGTAGTGCTTAGTCAGAAAATACATCACATGACCCAAAGCTACTTTTATGTGAGTTGCCATGGACAGACATAGCGCGCGATTGAGCTTCATTTCTCCACACGCTGTCCCTTTTACTCTTTCAATCAGACGACAGCCTTTTCGGAATTTACTGAGAAATGGCTTCAAAATCGTTGCCCGCCCGCGGAGGCTCTGATACTAAGGCCATCGCTACCGGCCCTCCCAACCAGACGTGAGCTTATCCTTCTAAGCACCGGTGACTGTAGCGCATTGGTACTAACAACTTCTAGACTCTACTGCACACAATTGCCCGACAAGAGAATTACCAAACATGATCTCCAAACCGCACTCTATTGCCTGTTTTCCACATACGGTACCGTTCTCGACGTCGTGGTCATGAAGACCAGCGAAATGCGAGGCCAGGCCCACGTCGTGTTCAAGGATGTCCAAGCCAGTACACAGGCACTGCGAGCTTTACAAGGATTCGAATTTTTCGGAAAACAGATGGTATGTTTTAATACCCATCTATCGTCGCAAACCCACTCAATCAATGAATGTCTAGAAAATCGTGTACGCCAAGGGACCCTCAAATATCATTTCCAAACTTCGCGGCACTTTCGCTGCGCCAGTTGAAAGTGTGCCAGCCCCAACCACGACCTCCCTCCAAAAGTCTATCTTCGGTGCTCCTCCGAGTGCCCTCCCTGCACGACCCACGACCGGTGCCAATGGAGTATCACAAGGATTGAAGCGAGCGCGCGAAGAGGAAAGTGACAATGAAGAGGCCCCAATGGACGAAGATAGCGATGTGCCAATGGAGGCTTCCTCTGATGAGGAGTGATCTAATGAACAAGCCCTGGAGGCCCTGCTGGGGACCGAGAGAGAATTGAAGTCCTCGCTTTGCATGTGATGGATGTTTTAACGTTACTAATATTACGATTCATACCTACTGAATAGGTAGAAAAAAAGCACCTATGAGAAATATTTCTTAAAGCCTATGTAGTGTACATTTTCGTTTCTTTCTTTTGATCATATACAGCCATTGGTTATCCTAGCAGCATCAAAATTATCAGATAAATATAAGATAAAAAAACCTTATCTCTCCCGAGTCTAAAAAGTGATCTTATCTTACCAGGTTCTTCAATATTACACCGCCTAATTTCATACTTCATATGATCTTTCCACTTCTCATTTTCTCTTCTCTTATATCCCCTATATCGTTCCCTTAAGTACCGTCTATTGGTCGTCCGGTCCGGTTTCAGGCGTCCTCCCCTAAGCGCCCTACGGTAGGGACCCGAACACAACCCTATATCAGGCTCTGATATGCCCAAGTCTTCAAACCCTACTAGGTTATATGCACCTATCACCTTCTCTGATTTAGCTCATATATAATAATCACCGCCGCCGTCGTCGCTATATCCTTCTTCTTTATCCGATTCAGCGAGTCTTCACTCTATCGTGAAGATACCTTCTAGCTATAATACTCTTAATAGAAATGATAATGTCCACCTTTGACGTAACTACATGAGTTCGAGGACCTAGTCCATCGCCCTCTATGCAATGTGGAATACATGACTCACGACCATAGTCGTAAGGATGGAACTACACATTAGTATTTCTGTTGTCTCCGAATAATGGCTAAAATCCAACTCTACAACTATTATGTATGGCTTAGTGGTAGATACGTTATCTATTCCTGGATTATTCTATGTGTCTGTGATACTGAAAAAGGCTTAAGTGACCATATAATTAGTATGATATAAAACACTAATATTGATTCTTCTAATAGCTACCCTGTGGATTGATATACCAACTCAGCCTACCCATTCGTACTTTCGAAGAGTGCCGTGAACTTTGTGGTTTTTATTCTCCGGGTTTCTAGCATATGCAAGAAGTATTGGCTGGTACTGTTCTAAGCAAAGATCTCGCGTGGAACGTGCAGGTTCACGCAATGACCTACAAGCCCAAGCCAGATGAGGAGATATGACCCAGGAGTGACGCTCTGTGCATCTGCAATATTCACCATGGCATCCGCGGTGTTGCATGGGTGGACGAAAAAGGCCGGGGCGTCAGTGTCAGGATGGTACTACAAGCAAAAAACAAAAAAAAAGACATAAGCTCTTGCCACGAGGTTCCGAGGATGCACCTACACCCATACTAATCCCACCCATTACACCCACACTCTTCAACTCTTGCTTGTACTGCTCTGGTACGAGATACTGATAGACTTCATCTAGTCCGAGTGGGCCGTGATTGTGCCACCTGAGACCGAAGTACAAGACGGGGACCTGATATGTGGGGGATAATAAGATGTCATAGTCGATCTGTAAGCTGGGCTGGGGTTTGGCGCGAACGAGAGCTTCCTGCGGTGAAGAGTCAGGACAAGTGGACACGTCCCTTAAGGGCTAGAACTCTGCTGACCGGATCATCGTCTTCCTGTGATTCTTCAAGATCTGCCAGTGCTGGGGTTTCTAGTGGGCTAGGGACATCGACATGTTTTGTTATTCTGAGGCCTGTTCCATCTGGCTAGTTCCATTCAAATCACTTCCCATCAGTTCTTTGTTTCACAAGTCAAATAAGGAAACAGATAAGAATAATGGCTTATGCATGGAAAAAGGGATACCTTTGTGAGCAGTCGAATGGCGGACCAGCAAATATTTTGGGCTGAAGTGCATCGATCGGCGATATCTTTACATGCACCTTCAAACTCCGACTGCGTGAGAAGAGGAAATACAGAACAAGATTCAGCCATACGGGCTGTAGCCTGGGGGAGATGACCTCCCAGTGTACGGAGTACGTCCGGATGCAGACGCTCAGCTGTGAATGCGGTGTGGCCAGGGTACGGGGGGGTTTCGCAAGAATACGAGCACTTGACTTGGTCACTTGTCACTTATATCAAATTAAAAACATTGGAAGTTGAATCCATGGATACAATGTACTTAAAAAAGAAAAAGATGATTGCAACGGACCGGATATGGAAGAAAAAGAAAAATAATGGAGCTTGTCAAGAATACTACATGTGCCAAGAAGTAACTAGTACTTGAGTTTGATATGGTGTGAGCATATTAAATACAAGTACTAAATACTTCTTCCGGTTGCGGTAGAAGGAGGTACCTTTTTTTTTTCTCTCTCCTGTCCCGCGTGGAGATAGTTCCTTGTCGTTCTGCATGCAGCTTCATCTAATGCAAATGCGCGTAGCATCTTTGTGGCGAAATGCTTGCGTCTTTTTCTTTCTAGCGTTTAGTTGCATATACACACGTTTGTCTAATTCTCTCCACTTTATGTATCGTATGTTCCCCCTTCCCTATCCCCCACCAATTTCTTCTTAATTTTCTTTTTATTTTGCTTTTTTCTTTTTATTTTTACGATCTATAATATTAATGTCAATTTGTCTCTCTGATTTTGATATACCCCTGGTCTTTCAACCTCCCCGTGAACCGAGATCGTGAAATCCTCAAATCCTGCTTTGTGAAAGGGGGATTCCCTGACCAAGATCATCTGCTTTGACGGTTACCTCAATTGCCCGTCATCTTCCAGCTCTCCAGTCCAACCAATTCCTGCATTGCACTCAATCTGAAACACGGACCATCATCTCCGGATTTGTTGGGAAACCCTGAGCCGCCAATCGTCTCAATTCCAATCTAAGTGGTTGTACAAGCTTGGGGCTCGGATTGTGTCGGGCAATCAGAGCGTGGCTTGACGTCAGAAGTCCGGGGTGCGATCTAATCTGAAAAGCTCTATCGGGATAAGCTTGGAAATCCCAGAGCTAGGTCACCCTCGTGCGGGGGAAAAGTCACCAAGCCATTCCAATTGTATATCATTCTGATCCTGCACATGCCTTGAATCTGGATATCTGAATCTACTTCTGGTGTTTCTGAAGTCATGGGCAACTCTCAATCGAGCCAAGCCAAAGACGACACCCGCCGCTCCAACCGCCTTTCCAAGCCCCTGACCAAGAAGTTCAATGCCACTCAAATTATTCAACTGCCCGAAACCGACCCTTCAACGTTCAGTTCAGGGTTGATAGGGTGGCAGAACCCTTGGGTTGGCAAGAATATTCCCAGTACCCCTATAGAGAAACGGGGTAGTTACCCCAAGAAAGCAGAGATCCCACCTACCCTTTTTGAAACAGAATCGCCTGAAGAAATTTCGGAGGATCGAACCTTTCTATATGATCAGAGTCCCACGCAGCGTCATCCCCGCCCAAGCCTATTGACCGCAAGCTCTTCGAGAAGAACATCGTACCAGTCGGAGACTTGGGAATCAGCTTCCCAGCCCTCGTCTCTTTATGAACAGCCACCAAAGCGGGCCAGCTCGACTCGAATTCCCTTGCAGAGGCACAACAGCGCTGTTTATGAAAACCATATCGGGGATGCGACATCCTCCAACACCCACTTCTTGGTTGGCAACCAACGGTTCTCATTAACACGTCGACGATCGCTCCTGACACGACCTGGGGTTGCCACAAGACGAACAACAGGCGCAGTTCGACGCGTTCCATCGCCTATTGGCGAGCCTGAATGCCCGGTCGATGATCCGACTGAGTTGACTGCTTTGCAATGGCCATTGCCTTCGACTCAGAGATCGCGTCTGCCATCCCCAGTCCGGCCGAGGAGCCCCACAGATACCCGATATACCCAGCTCGGAGCACTCAAATTAGGTTCTTTGCGAGTCGTAAATGGTTCCGCCTCCCCATGTCCGAGCGAACGCATTCCATTTGATGGGCCCTGCGCTCCAGGTTCTGGGCTCGGTCTTGAGAACATCGCAGTCACAGGGCCTAGCAGAGGGTCGACGCTGGATATTCCATCCTTGCCCGACTTGAAGAAGTCGGAGGATGTTCCAGGCAGTCCATTCTCCTTCGAAAAGTCTCCCACTATCACAGTCCAGCCTCGGGCAAAACCATTGTTTCCTGGGGATACTGAAGATGAAGGAATTGTCCTCTGCGATGATACCAGAACCCAGTTGGAGAAAGTTGATCTGGACACTGGTCTCACCCGGAGCGCGTCTCAATCTGTCGACAAGCCCGACAGTGGCTACAGCTCTGCCACCTCTATACATTCCATACAGCGGAGCCGGACTCAGAGTTCTACTACCTCGCAGACCTCTAGCTCGTGTGGTACGGACAGCTCAAAGAACGTCTGTATCCCGAAAGGCTCAGCTTCAGGCCGCCCAGGCGATAAAGTGCGTCCCATGAGCCTACAGACAAAACCAGAGAACTACTCAAGGCTATATCCAGTCGCTGCTCCATGGTACGATTCGAGCGATCCAACTCCCCTCACTCCGTCGCGATCGCGTCGGTCCACCTTATGTGCGCCCCGATACACGGAATATTCTTGGCCGCGCGAATCTGCCCTCGAAGTCAAGTCTGCTGCTGTCTCTGCTCCACAACAAGGATTCACCAGGGGACCTTTATATGGAGATCGATTGTCCTTGGGCTCGTTTGATCTTGCGTCAACTATAGGTTCTACCACAACTACAGAATCACAACTCAGCCACCAACAGACAACCGAAACCAAGGAGCGACTTCGCAGATCAGTCTCTGACTATCAAATTCATGAAGAGTACGAGACACAACGACAACTCTCTCGATCCAGAAGCCGGCTGGGGAGTCGCATCTGGAGCATGAAACCAGGCGTTGACGCTCCTCCCCTCCCTACCATCCGGTCCCCAGGTTACTTGCAGGATGACCTTGACCTCGATGGCGAATTAGCTTCTGAGCCGGTGCGAGGCCGTTGCCGAAACCGGAGCAATGACTATCGTCGTCGGTTGACGAAGGCCCGTCCCCAGACGGACGTGTGCATACGATGACCTCTTCTTTTTTGGTTATTGATTTTCTAGTAATAATTTTGTTGACCATTTTTCTGCCTTGGATGTTATTTGGATTTTGTCTTTACCTCTGGCGTCTACAAAAGTTCATTATGGAGGTGCGGTCTTTTTTTTGGAATTTGGCGGGAGTTTACGAGACATTTTGGATATGGAGTCTTATTAGGTATACCCTTTTGGAACTGGAAGTGGAATTGGCGTGAATTTATCTGGCGTTTTACACAAATCCATTCTGTATGCCATATGTTTGCAATTTTAGGGTTTATTTGGGCGTTCTAGTCTCCAACATGTCTCCGATGGAATACGATATTTGGTTTCAGTCATCTTGCCTACTTGTGCAAAGGTACTCCATACTCCGTACATAGTTCTTCGAATCGTGGGGACTACCCCAGCCATTCCTGTACGAAGTAAGGTTATGGAGTCAAGCAAGGGGTTTCTAAGACGCAGGGTCGATCTTAAGTTCTACGATCTCGCGGCATATTACCTGTCTAGACACGGGATAGCAATATAATAAACATTCAATTTAGATTAATATAGCAAAGATCATTGTACATCGTAGCAAAGCCAAATCATAAAAATGCAAGGAAACAAACACCCGAAAATCCCAATGCAAATGCAATCAATCAGCGATGGATTTAAACCCAACACCTTGATTCCAATCACTCAATGCGAATCTTCTTCGGGGTCGGAACCGCCTCTTTCGGCACAATAACAGACAAAACACCATTCTTCAGACTCGCGCGAACAGAGTCCTGATCAACACGCGCTGTGAAGCTAAATGTGCGCTGGAAGTCTCCGATGGATCTCTCCTTGGCCCAGAAGTGAGGCTTGTCATTCTCGGCCGGATGCGAAGCAGCGGTGTCCGCTGTATTGACAGAGGTAGTAGACTGTGCATCCTCGTCTTCGACTGTGGGCTTGTGCCAGCCTGCAGGAGATGAGCTGCGGGAGCTGGTATCATCGCTGATATAGTCGCGCTCTGTGTGACCCTTGATCACGAGGGTGTGTGGATCGGTGAATTCGATCTCGATGTTGCTCTGGTCCACGCCTGGGAGCTCGCCGTCGAGGTGGTAGGCGTTTGTTAGCTCGCGCACATCAAAGGCTGGTGCGAAGGAGTTGCGTGTTTTCTTAGAGCATTGGACTGATTTGGGACATTGGCGAGACTTGTTTTGGGGAGTCTCGTAGTCGTTGAGGAGTTGGATGAGTGGCGCAAGGCTGGGTTGAGTGTAGTAGAAGGCCATTTTGGATTTTTGGTTTGGAAAAAAAAAAGTTGGAATAGAGAGACGGATTGTCTGGGAGACTGTGATGATTGTTTTCTGATTGAATGATGTTTGATTGAACTGGAATATCTGCCATTTTATATTCGTTGCTTGTTGTAGTTGTGGTTGATTGCTTATACTTCGGCGGAACCATCCAGAAACTTGTGGCGCAGTCGACAAACCGCCAGCAACTTCAAGAAACCACCACTCTATTCCATTCCATACAGGAATTATTTTTATCACTCTGACAAATGATGGAATGAATAATTCATGATTGGTAATTACTTTGAACCTCGAAACTTCCAAGGATTCAGAATGAGTCAATAGTGATGCTATGGTATAGGCAGAATACTCCATGACAAAGCCCTAATGACTTAACAGTTTATGATATACTATTATACAAATGCCTCCAAATCCAGGTATCAACCATATCATGTATGGCTATGCCTTTTAGGTAACATATTCAACATGTCCAACATGTCCGCAGGAATCCGCAAGTGGAAAGGCGACACTAGACATCTCCGATTCTATTTCAATGAGTGAACTGGTGGCGTCATAAGGCTGAAAGGTATGAGACATACAAAACTAGCTGCTCCGTAGGCACCCCGGAGAACTAAGATTCTGGGGTCTGGCTCCGCTCATCGGATATTGCGGATTCCCGGGGTAGCATATAACTCGAGCTGTCGATTGCCTTTCCGCAGGAGATATTCAATAGTGCTAAAGTCCTTCTTATTCACGGAGAGGTGTTTTTGGAACTCCGCCCTGTATAACATCTCAGCCGGACTGCCCCGATATCTAGGGGGAATGTTGTCGGGAAAGGAAAAAGGACAGGAAATGGAGATAGGAAGATAGGAAGATGGACAGATAGGCATTTGATAGACACTTACCGAGCATATTTCTTGAAATTGATCCTAGAGTCCTACAATAGAATATCAGCTTGAGGTTGACGTCGGATGAGGTGGTATAACCCACCTCCGGCTTATTTCGGATCTCCCGCAGGCATTTGCGGTATAGAGACAGAACATCCCTCTGGAGACCGGAGAGTCTAGCCATTGCGAATATGAAGAGGGGAAAAGCTTGCAAATCATTGGGTGGAGCTGGACATGTTTCCCGCTCTGGGGAAAAAGAGGTTCCCGGCCGAGATATCACCCCCAATCTCCAATCCCCAATCCTTTGTTTCTAACTTCCCCATATTCCCCCAATGGCTACTTTTACTGTGAGTTTGGAAATAACCTCTACTATTTAAAGGGGAAAACATCATTTTTTCTATAAAAAAATTTGATCGAATCGAAAGTACTTGCATCAATATATACTAATTTCCTAAATAGCACCTTATCCGCTTCCTGGCCAAGGATGGCCAAGTCTATTACGGCGATGCTATTCTCCCATCCGGAGTGAGCGATATCGCCAAAGCCACCAAGGCCAAAGTCATTCAAGGTGACATCTTTGGCCAGCACCGGGTTACCGACCAGGTCGCAGAAGTGAGAATGCTCCTCGCTCCCTTGGCCCGTAAGGATATCGGCACAGTCCGATGCTTGGGTCTTAACTATGAACAACACGCCAAAGAGTCCAACATGCCCATCCCCACATATCCAATCTTGTTCTACAAGCCCGTGACTTCAATTTCCGGCCCTACAGACGATATCCCCGTGCCCCAACTTGCCCAGGAGGGCGAGGGTCTGGATTACGAGTGTGAACTGGTCATCATTATCGGCAAAGAAGCCACTAATGTCCCTGAGAGCAAGGCTCTGGATTATGTCCTCGGTTATGCTGTTGGTAATGATGTTTCCCACCGCGATTGGCAGATCAAGCGCGGTGGTGGTCAGTGGGGACTGGGTAAGGGATTCAATGGATGGGCACCGTTTGGTCCTGGTATTGTTTCTTCCAGTGTTATTGCGGATCCGAATAACTTGGCTATCGCGACCAAGCTGAATGGGGAGACCGTCCAGTCTTCCTCCACTAAGGATATGATCTTCGGTGTGGCTAAGACGATAGCTTTCCTGTCCCAGGGAACTACACTCTTGCCTGGAGATCTTATTTTCACTGGAACGTAAGTACACCCGATGAGCAAGCAAAGGCGCGTTTGGATTTGATAGACTGACTGTTTGACAGACCCCAAGGCGTGGGCATGGGTCGCAAGCCTCCTGTGTGGCTCAAGGATGGCGATGAAGTTGAGGTTTCGCTGGAGGGCGTTGGGTCCTGTGTCAACCGAGTGGTCTTTGACAAGCCTAGCGCTAAGCTCTAAATTTATCTCCCTTGAACTTAGCTTAAGACCAATGAAAGGGTTGGCACTGGTTCAAGTTGTATATAACTACCTGCACATTTCAGTCTTGGCAATTGATCATTGTGGTTATTTGGACCCAAAAATTATCTTTGCATCCGTAATCCCGTGTGCATTACATGTAAAAGAAAAAACATAAATAAGGATCTAAGCAGTCTGAGCGCCGTATCCCCTGATTCTCTCGGCAAAGGCCCAGCTCTGACCCTCAATCTGCTCATCCTCCTTCAGATCAATACCATCCTTCGTGATCACGGCTATCGAGTACTTGTCGCTACTTCGTGCATCGCGGTAGAACAGAACCTTCATGCATGCCTTCACGGCCCTAACGGCGTCTTCCTTGGTGACTTGTTCGAGGGGAGTACCCTCGGGGAACTCGCGGCGCAGGATGGGAACCGCAAGATGAGCACCGAATGCTGTAGCTAGATGAGGAGCAGAGAATGTAGTTCCGAGCAAATCTGCCGAGCTAAGGAAGGGCGCCCCTTCCGCATCGAACCCTGCGACAAGGACGTGGTTCCACAGCGGGTTGAACTCGGAGCGTCGTTTGTAGAAAACCTTTGCAAGGTAGGTGTGCAGATTCTTGGCGTTTAGCATGTTGCCGTGAGGCGAGTAGTTCTCCTTGATATCCATAGAGTCGAGGAGACGGTCGAGATATTGCATGTCGGAAACGTCACCGCCAAAGCCAACCATTGCCTTATCGCCGAAATTACGCAGACGCTTGGTGTCGGAGAAACGAGCCAGGGATCCGTAGGAGGCTATATATTCACAAATTGGATCACGTCAGATGACAATGCAGCGAAGGGAACGGAACATGACAATGGATCGGCATACCCAGGTTGTCGGTAGCTATAACAACTCCGCCATTAAACTTGACACCCACCACTGACGTTCCGGTCACTGCAGGGGATGAGGTATGGGCCTTGGGACCCGTGGTCTGCAAATATGAGTGATCGTAGGCACCGTAGACATCGTTCCTGGGCTGGACGGATAGTTAGCAACAGAGCAAGGACTGGGAAAGTTGTGCCACCTACGCGACCCCAAGCTTCAGGGAAGTGGTTCATGATGAATGAAAATAAATGATAGTTTCAAGGCTCGAAGAAGGGGAGTAAATTGCAGACAATGAGGGAAGACAACAGATGGATAGCACAGTTAAGTGATGACGATAGATGGGGAGCTATCTTAGGCAGTCGAGCTGACGGAGAGCTCGGCTGACTAAGATTCGCGGTCACGGCGGAGAACAGAGCCCTGGAGGATGTCGGCCATACAACTATGTATGGAGTAAGTTATCCTTTAATTGTAGATATTTAAGGGAGAAAGGGTAAGTGATTGGTCATACTATATTTAACTACTCAATCGCGATGTCTATACTTTTGTCCGACCTAATTTGGTGCTCGTATTCGCTTCCAAAGGGACAATTTTGCTTCGCCTCAAGAAACTTTTATACTTCGTAGACGGCTGTGCCCCTGATAGTTTCTCTCTCCATTTGACAATCTACGAATATCAGACTCTTTCCCAGGAAAATCAAATGTCTTTTTCGGGCTCAAGTCGTGCTGGGTCAACGGCATATGCCCATCCCGTTGAAGACAACGGACCTTCGCGCGTGTATAATATCACCAACCGGCTCTTGCACCGGCACTATGATATCACCTCAGCAGATGACCAGCCTTTGTTTTACGGCGAAATATCTATGTTCACCCCCAACAAACCCGACCTTATTCTCCATGCTGGTACCAGCACCCAGGCCCCAATCGTGGCCGTCTCCAAATTTAAGAAGTCGTCCGGTGACTACAAAATAGGCCTTGGGAACCCCGACGATGTCAGCGCCGTGCAGTGGGAGGACATGACCAAGGAGCTCATTCTCAAACCAAAATACCGCTTCGAAATGACAGTTCAATGTGGATCTGATCAAGCTCAGAGCGGGAGGCGGTCATTCCTATGGAAGCGAACACGAACCATCGGCGTCGAAAATTCAGCACCATCTAAATGGACCAACCAGAACTATAAGCTCGTGGATGAGCACACCGAGCAGATTTTGGCCATCTTCTCAGGTGCGACAGGACTGAGCAGAGGTGGGAAACTCCAAATCAGAGTGGAATACGGAGAGGACTTTGATCGAATGGTGTTGATTTCTTGTTTAAGTCTGTATGAGAAGGCGAGGCGGCGCAAACAGAGGGGATCTGGTGGTGGCGGCGGAGGAGGCTGAAACGAGCATTACTGTTCCAATGTATGATCCACAAGTATGATAATCTACACGAGTGCAACTGTGCGCTATGTTAATTGAGGGGACATCGTTGATCCTCTTCTAGAACGTTTTCTAGAGACATCGGATATACCACCAGGATATCTATCCGAGAGAGTACACAGTCTTAGAGTTGGTCGAGGACAGAAGAGTCCTGCTTGAATGATAGGATACCAGAACGGGGGTTCCCTTGCCCGGGTCACTGGATACTCGAAACATTCAGGTTATGTGCTGGAGCCACCCTTTTAGGTCCCAATTCCGAATGCCTGCATTTCCCAAAAGAACTGATGCACCCGAGGCCATTCGAAAACTGGCAGATTATAGGGTTGGTCTTCTTGGTCAGGTTGCCGCAGAACGAATGTTCAGGCAGACCCGGTGACGAAGTCAACCGAGGTTCGCTGGCCCGGTGCTTGTTTCTCCTCCGATTTTTTACGGACATCTTGTTGGGTTCTCAAGAGCTCTTCCTTGAAACCCCATTTTGGTAGATTAGATGTATTCCACAAGTCGGCGGGCAGCGATGTGTCATATTGCGATTGCTCATCGATCCCAGCATGCTCCATCATCTTCTTCAACAAGCTTGGATTTTTGAGCGATGATGAGCTAGCCAGTTTTGAGTTGAAGTGTACACCTTGCTTTTTGAGCGAGAGGAAATGCTCGAATTTCGCGTTCGCGGCTGGGTTGGGAGACCCGGGAGGTGATGGCGGGATGTCTAGATTGGGAACTGGAGGGAGAGTGAGGTCTTGAACGAGTCCTCGTGAAGCTGAAAATGGAGATAAGCGTCCGCCTGTCGAATGTTTGTCCTCCGAGAGGGGCGCCATGTCCATAGAAGCAGGGCCAAGAACAGGTCCTTCTGGAACTGATTCGGTGGGAATGTGAAAGGGTGTCTCTTTTGGTTGCTGGGACGGTTTATGATCTGGATAAATTGTCAGCGTCAAATTTTTGGAGTTTACCGACGGGGATTAAAAAGCATGTTACCTTTGTCCTGGCCAGCTTGCGAGGCTGCAGGTGGGATATCCTTGCTACGCTGTTGCTTCGGAATCAACGACTCTGTAGCGTTGCTCTTTCGGGCTAAAAAATACCTGGGAATTGGGTGGAGGGCACTTCTGCTCTACCTCATCCTCACTGCTGCTCTCATAGTCACCAAGGCCAAGCATCATGTCGCAATTTATGTCTAGGTATTAAAGTCGAGATTGAAGGATACCAAGAAGACACTGGAATAAGATCCAAGGATGTAATCTTTATCTCTTGAGTTAATGTCCAAGAATAAATGAGGCGCGGAGAGTAACTATCGAGACAGCCCTCCAGGGCTCTCGGGGAGCTTGGATAATTACCTAATCAGAAGGCAGCTACCGCATCGCGTCAGACACCCAGCTTCTTTGCTCTCCATCTTCCAGAACTCCCCAATCCCGAGAATCTTCTACTTCAACAATTTAATCTTTCTTTACCAGGCTGCCACTGTGATATTCTCTCCTGATCAAGCTTCATCTCCCCGAAAATGACGTCGCTCATGGGTAACCACTCTGGGACTATTGGATACTCCTTCTCTGAGCCAACATCCGCTAATGTCAAACAACACTCGTTCTACCCGTAAGGAACGACTTGATGAAACTGGACAGGAATGTTGGCTAACAGTCATACTAGTTACACTGATAATGGCGGTTCCACCCTAGGCATCACAGGTGCTGATTTCGCTATTCTCGCCGGTGATACTCGTTCCACATCAGGCTACAATATCAACTCTCGCATGGTCCCGAAAGTCTTCAAAATTGGCGGTGACGATGAGACCGGCGAGGGAGCCACTATCATTCTTTCCGTTGTTGGTTTCGCCGCGGATGGAAATGCTCTGAAGGAAAAGCTGGACACCGTGGTGAAGATGTACAAGTACCAGCATGGGAAATCCATGTCAGTGGCAGCATGTGCACAGCGATTGTCGACCATTCTCTACGAGAAGCGGTTCTTCCCGTACTACGTACATGCTATTCTGGCTGGTTTGGATGAGGAAGGTGTGGGAGCTTTGTACAGCTACGACCCCGTGGGTTCTTACGAACGTGAACAGTGCCGGGCTGCCGGTGCTGCATCCAGCTTGATCATGCCTTTCCTGGACAATCAAGTCAACTCCAAGAACCAATATATCCCGGGAAGCGGAGAAGGACATGCCCTTGTGCCCAAGCAGGCTGAGCCTCTGGACAAGGAAACAGCCAAGAAGCTTGTACAGGATGCGTTTACAAGTGCCGTGGAGAGACATATCGAGGTTGGCGATGGTTTGCAGATGGTGATTGTTACCCGGGAAGGAATCGAGGAGGTGTTCCATGCCCTGAAGCAGGATTAGAATATAGGACATGGTAGATCATGGACTTCTTATCGGAGCGCGGGGCTCTTTTTTGATCAGTTGATCACAAACATAATCGAGATGACTGAAATTTCCATGAATTGATATCTTTACGTTATACGTCGTCAGGCCTCTAAGATCAAGAAAAAAGAAGACAGCGTAAAACCCGATGCACCTGAACGCCCACACCATGCCGGATGAGATAAATGAGTTGTGCAATCAGAAGCGTTCCTTCATTCGCGAGGCAACGGTCCGAAGGTTGCCATAAACCTTGCCCTGTTTTTTGTTAGAAAGATTCTTTTTGATGATTTATACGATCAAGGCTTACCGGAGGGCTACCCAAAATCAAGCTAACAATTGCCTCCCGGGCAATGTGAATGTTCTTAAATCCACCCAGGATGTGAATCTTCTGGTCTGCAAGTACCACTCGTGTCCGACTGGCGTTTTCGATAGCATACTTGGTCTTTCCATCCTTGCCTGCAATACGTCCAATGGCACGACCAAGATGTTCTCCGTTCAGAGTCTTCACATCCTTGATCTCGAAAGTTTGAATGTACAGATCGTCAAGTCGGAGAAGGGCAATCGCATCGTCAAGATCAAAGCCAAGAGTGAAGGCCTTCACGAAATCAGCACCTTTCTGCAGAGCTCCCACGTCGGTGGTAAACTTGGAGGTCCGCAATTCCACCGATCGGCTTTTGATGTTCATTCGCACTTGCAATTTGAGGTGCTCGACAATAGGAGGACAGATTTTGGCCCAGCTCGCTTTGAGAGGGGTCATACGGTGCGGTGGAACAGGCACCTTTCGTGTTTCGATCCGATATGCTGCGGCGACATCTTTGGCCGGGGTGAAGACAGGGCGACCTTCCTCGTCGATGCGCATTTCACTGTCCTCTGTAGACTCGGCGACGGGGTTAATCGGAGCGCCTTCGTTCACGGCTTGTACATCGATCAAAACTTCATCATCCTGATCTATTGATTGTCAGCTATGAAGGAATTTTTTTTCAGATTAGATAGAGTACTAACCATGAGAGACAGTCTCGGGCTGAAGCCCGATGGCCTGCTCTGGCTGACGAATAGCTGTAGGTGCCGACATTGTGTTGATTTAAGAATGAAGTTTTTTCATAAAATCTGTTATCGCAAAATTTAATCAGTTCCCCCCTCACGGAAAAATGAAGTGTGGGCGGAAGGGAATTTTTTGATGCAAACAGAACAAACTCCGATGATTTCATTTGGGTTCTTCCAACCCGCAAGCTCGGAAGCTTCCTTGTCAACAAGTCAACTGCTGTATATGATACAGTTTGTCAATCAAGTTTCTCATTTACGTCCAGGATGTAAAGATAAAGATGTCTGCTAATCTGGGACGCCGACTGTACGCCCAAATTTGGGATACAGCAAATCCGTTTCTTGGTCGCATACGAATAAATCCCGTACCGGCCGATGCTTATAGCTCAAGATTATTTCTCGATTCATCCATTTCAAACCACTCGCGACGAATCTCCACACTTCCATGGAAACCCACTCATCTCACCAGAAGGTTCGCTTCTGGTGGTTTTTTCGTCCTCGGCGTCTCACCTACGTCAACTGTTGCGGACACTACTGCATCATGCATCCTCTCTTCTCCCACAATTGCCGCCAAGTATGTTTGGAAGCGAACTTTACATACCTCGAAGTATCATCGAGACGGGAAAGAACCTTCTCAAGAGACCCATGAACGCAACGAAAATGAACATTCCCAGAAAGTCGGCCAATCCGGCAAAGATACGTCTACCACACATTCACAAGTCAAACCATCTCAAGATACTCAACCAACAACGCACAATCGCCACTTGATGGACCGCTTACCACAAATGCCTCATCTACATCGGCCAACCAAGGAGGAGCTTTTGGCCGCAGCAACCGGGTTCTGGTCACGTCTCAAAGTACGATTCAAATGGTTTTCTATAAGAAGTGTTCGTCCTTACAATTTGGATGAAATGACTGCCTTTTTCTCGTGGGTTTTGCTGGGCCATGTTGTCTGGGTCGTCGTGGGAACTACAACTTTCTTCTCACTTCTGATCCTTGCGATCAACACAGTCTTTGCTCAAGGTATGTTCACTTTTTTATTGCAGAAACGTCTGGAAACTAATTTGCTTGAGCAGAAACATTGGCAGGCTGGGTGGGCAACTATCTCACCAAATCTTCTGGAGTCAAGGTTGTCTTTGAATCTGCAATCGTGCCGAAATGGAAAAATGGCGTCATCACCTTCAAGAATGTCTTTGTGTCGAAACGACCAGGCCAAGGTGCAGGCCATGTCAGTAAGGGCTCATCGAAGTCTGCGGCAGCCGAGGCCGCAGCTCGAGGTGATACTGGATTCGAAGATTCGCAGATAGTATCTGATGAAGAGGAAGATACTAACTACACACAATTCGATTTGTCGATCGAGACGGTCAACGTGACACTATCATTCACCAAATGGCTCAATGGAAAGGGCCCACTTCATGATGTTGAGGTGAAAGGCATACGGGGTGTCGTCGACCGCCGCCATGTTTATTGGCCGGAGGAAGACTTGGATCCTAAATCCTACCGGCATGAGCATAATCCCGGGGACTTTGAGATCGACTCTTTCAAGATGCATGATCTGCTTGTCACCGTTTACCAACCAGATAACTTCCGTCCCTTCTCCGTGAGCATATTCTCGTGCGACCTCCCTCAGTTGCGCAAACAATGGCTCTTCTACGATTTCCTCTCTGCCAACATGATGTCTGGATCTTATGACAACTCTTTGTTCACAATCCACGCTCGTCAAACCCATGGATTCACCGGTATCCGGCAGGATAATGAAGCAGAAGAAGATGGCAAGCAAAGCCCGTGGAAGAAACATAACAGGATTCGAGTTGATGGACTCAATGTCGACCATCTCAACCGTGGTGTTCAGGGCCCCTTCTCTTGGATTCACGAGGGGACAGTAGACATCGTGGCCGACATCATGCTACCTGCAGAAAACGATGAGAGCTTGGCCAAGGTGATGGTCGATTTCTATGATCGGTTAGAAGCCACTGTTACCTCCAATCGTTACCCGGAGCCTCTATCTTCAGACTCCAATTCAGAATCTGAAACTGAAGATCGACGTTTCCTCGTCATGGATTTGCGCGTGCACCTCAACAACGTTCGGGCTGTCGTGCCCATCTTCACCCGGGACCTTTCTTACATTAACAACGCACTGATCCGTCCCATTGTTGCCTATATCAACTCTAAGCGCACTTTTATTCCCATCAATTGCCGATTAGTCAAGCGCGTTGGAGATTTCGATGGAAGCTGGACCATCTTTGACAGTGGCCTGATGGATGACCTGTCAGCTGCAGTGAGTACCCTTTGCTTTTCCTACAATATCTGATCATTGCTGATAATCTTTCTAGACCTACGATGCCTTTGCCCGAGATGTCGTGGATGATCAAGCCCGCAAAAGACGGTTCAAGAAAGTCGGGTTTTGGTCCCTTCAGCTGGCCGCCCAGGCTATTTTCATGGGCATGGCTGGCAACATCGCCTAATTGTACTATCATGTACTTCATTTGATTGGCGCTTTTTTACTTTTTTTTTTTGGTCTGTATCATAGTCATTGCGGTCGCATTTACAGGGAGTCTAGGTCATCTCATCTTATTTTCAAGATAGAATCCATTTCAAGCTGAGTAGGAAACAGAACTCAAACTAGTCTATGAGATTATTTCCTAGGTATTGCCCTGGACATTCAAAACAATCCAATCACCATCTCTCAACACATATGTAGTTCTTGATCAGTTCCACCGCAGTTGGGCCGAATGCTAGGACGGCTTTGTACTACAAATAGTTTATATATCCTATTTCCCCTTGTATATTGTTGGTAAAAGGCCATTATACACATTATTTTCCTTGATATAGGCAAAAGAGGAAAAAAAGACAAGGCCAGGAAAAAAAAGAGAAAGATCAGTTTGTTGTACATAGTATATTGTAGGTAGGATACTCTCTTAGGTAACTCCGAGTAGAGACCTAAGAGAACCGGGGGGATTAAAGGGATCAGTTCTGCATACCAACACGTCGCAAAATCTTCCTCTTTTCTTTTCTTCCTTAGTACTGATTTATCTAAGATCGTCGTTTCTTTTATATTTATCTCATTATTGTCGTTTGTTTTTATTCTTATTAGCTTGAAACCCCCTTTTTGCCCCCACTTCACTTTCTTAAGCTCTCCGAGGCTCTCCAGCTCTCCTCAAACTCTCAACTCTTCTCTCTAGGGCTGCGTCAGGGAGTTTTTTTTACCATTATTTTCTTTCCAATCAGTTGATCGCTTAACATCCCTTTTTTACCCCCTGGCGTTTAAGCTTCAGCTTCCGGGGTTCCGCGCTCTCGCCCCCTGGGTCTTCGCCTCGTGTCGCCCCCGAACGTGACCCCTCTGATGAGTCTCGATTCATACAGCCATGTCGCAAGTTCCGCGAGGGAATGATGAAAGCTCGCCAACTTCGTCTAAGAATCAGACTGGCTACTCTATCAATAACGGCCTCATCCCGCGGGATTATTTAGCTCGATCTGATCAACGCCCCGGACCTACTCCTGGTTCCCGACATATCACACCTTCCCCGTTGCATACAAGTTCCCTGCCTCAGTCGCACCGTGGCGAAGAATCCGCGTCTCAGAGTCCCCTATCTCCGAAATCCAACCCTTCTTCCTTCCAGAATCGGTCGCCAGTGGCTCGCGTAGCCAATGCGCAATATCCTGCGCCACCCTTCAGCTCTGGTCAGAGTCTGTCGCAATCACCAGATATGGTAGGAACAGAGTCAGTGAATGTCAGCGGCCAGTCTAGTGAGAGCAGTATGCCAAAATCGTCCCGTGCGCCGGAGCCCGATCGATCTGCCTCTTCCTCCGTCAGCTCTATACACTCAATGCCAGGAGATCGCGCACCCCATCGTGCCATTCCTCGCACCTCGTCGATTGACTCTGCTATTTCATCCCTCTCCTCCAGCTCTCAGAGATCGGCCTTTGATGTCAATGCTCTGAGTTCAACCGACATTAACAATCTCATCAACGCCGCTGGATCTGCCGAGGCCGTGATCGTGCACCTCTTGAAAGAGAAACACCAAGCGGCCTCTCAGAACGCGCAACTTTGGAAACTGGTTGATAAACAAAGAACTTTAATCCTCGGCCTTAACAAAGATCTAGAGCGTGCTTTCCAGGAGAAGGATAAATATCGGAAGAAGCTTAAAGACATACAGGACGCCCCGCCATTGCCCGTTACCGCGCCCTTGGCCTCTGTGGCCGCACCAAGCAGCGACAAAGAGAATGTGTCGCGCAAACCTGATCAACCATCGATTGTACCACCATCTGAAACCTCCCGGCGGGGTTTCGAAAACACCACAAGCCCGATCTCTCCCGCAGATATTCCATCTCCAGCAGGAGACGAAAGGAGCCGGTTTCCCCACCCAAATCGCAAACCACCTCCTGCGCCTCTAAATCTACGACAAGCAGAAAATAAAAGGGCATCCTCGGCTTCAGATTCTGATCCTGGCTCTGATTCCGGTTCCGATTACGGTGACACCCAGGATATAAATGGGGTTCCGAGTGCGGGCCGTGGGCGGAGAAAGACGAGAGAGCAGGACGACCGGGACCGCGAAGCTGCGCTGCAGAAAGAGATGTTTGGGTCTACCGGTTCTGTGGGACCAACCCAGACAGCATCCTCTGACAGCTCCCGAGATACAGCAACATGTAGCCCGGAAACGCTCCCCAGGGAGCTTTCTACAAGATCACCACCGAATGTGGGTAATAACTCACTGGGGTCGCTTTTGGGCGCTCGACCGCCTCCCGCTTCATCCTTTGGTGGGCGCTCCATCGTTGCTATGCCTATGAGCCCTGGATTGCCTTTGAGCCCAAGACCAGAAGACCGACCTATCAATTCGCCCATGCCTCGCATGCCACGGGACCCGTCCACTTCCATGGCAGCCGGGTATCAGGCCCCAGGATTGCCGCTCTCGCCACGAATGGCCAACCACCCCATGGGCTTTGCTCCAATCCCTTCGGGCCGTCCCAATGGCCCTATTCCATCAATTGATCCCGCTGTCATGATTGATAGCCCGAGATCCGCAACTTTTCCCGATAACTCAATTTACCGAGGATTGATGTCCGATGATTATCAGGGCCTGCTTTTGCCTCCGAATGCCCTTCCTCTGGTTCAAGTCAGAGTGTCTTCATCGCGGCTTCGTCCTTCCCGGAACAGCTACATGGCGTCCAAACCCCTAGATGAAGAGCCTGTTTTTACTCTCAGTGTAATTCTACGGTCAGAGATGGCAGAGCTATGGCGAGTTGAAAAGGTCATTGGTGCTTTGCCCCAACTGGACCAGAAAGTCCGGCAATCTTCTCCGTTCCCCGGAAAATTACCGGATAGGAGTATTTTCAGCGGACACTCCCCTGCTAAGGTTGACTTGAGACGTGCCGCACTTAATGCGTACTTCGATAGACTTTTGGACACGCCAATGGACGAGAATGCCGCGATAGCTATCTGCCAATTTTTGACAAGTGATGCCATTGAGCCTCGAGATGACGAAACAAGTTTGCTGAAAGGTCTCGCCCAAACAAGGCCTGATATGCCTCGTGGACCAGACGGAAAGCCTCAAAAGGAAGGCTACTTGACCAAGCGAGGCAAGAACTTTGGTGGCTGGAAAGCGAGGTATTTTGTTCTCGCTGGACCCGAACTGAGGTACTACGAATCTCCGGGTGGTCCGCACATGGGTACTATCAAACTCCATCATGCCCAGATTGGCAAGCAATCACCAAAACCCACCGAGAGTCCACCTGCTGGGAGCGAGGAAGACTCTGACAACCAGTATCGCCATGCATTTTTGATTTTGGAACCGAAGAAGAAGGATTCTTCGGCCCTTGTCCGGCATGTTCTTTGCGCTGAAAGCGACGAGGAGCGCGATACATGGGTCGATGCTCTCATGGAGTACGTTGAGAACGCTTCTTCTGAGAATGAAGGACGTGGTAGCGTATCCAAGGGTCAGCCTCAGTCTCAAGATGAATCACAAGCACAGCAAAGGCAACTACTCTCCGGGGCCGAGATGAAGTCCAAAATGTTCAACGGAAGCAAGAAATCTGGCCGAGGGGTTGATAGCCCCGACCAGGATCTAGGAGGCTCCGTACAGGGTTTCAGCTTTGAGGATGCAGTGCCAGCTGATCCTCCGACTATTGGTTCCACTCTTGAGCAAGCTTCCCGATCCCCACGAGCCCCAGCGGCTTTGTCCACAGAATTCAGGGACACGGCCATGTCTCCCGATCAACCAATGCAGTCTCCCAGGCTGATATCTAGGCCCACGAACGGCACAGTCATCCAGGACGTGGAAGCGTGGGGTAACAAAGCAAAGACATCGACAAAAGAGAAGAAACGCAGCATCTGGGGTTTCCGCACCAGGTCCTCTTTCGATCTTGCCAACCAGGCCAACAGTGATACAGTCGTAGCAACCAACAATGTTGAGAGGACAGATCCTGTTAGACCTGTGTTCGGTATACCCCTAGCAGAGGCCGTACAGGATTGTGGACCGCCAGGCATTGATGTGGAACTGCCGGCAGTGGTTTATCGCTGCATTGAATATCTCCATGCCAAGGAAGCAGCCTTGGAGGAAGGTATCTTCCGTCTAAGCGGCTCCAATGTGGTGATCAAAGCATTAAAGGAGCGTTTCAACACTGAAGGTGATGTTGATTTCGTGTCTGGAGATCAGTATTATGATATTCATGCTGTGGCTTCTCTCTTCAAACAATACCTTCGAGAGCTCCCGACGACAGTCTTAACCCGGGAGCTTCATTTGGACTTCCTTCGCGTTCTTGGTATGTACACATTCAATGTTGTATTCTTGTATCCTACTAACCTGACCGAAAAGAACTTGATGATCGCCAAAAGAAGGTGGCTGCCTTCAACTCTCTGGTTCATAGATTGCCTAGGCCCAATCTAGCATTGCTACGGGCCCTATCGCAGTTCTTGATCGAGATTGTGAACAATTCCGATGTGAACAAGATGACGGTCAGGAACGTCGGCATTGTCTTTGCCCCAACTCTCAATATTCCGGCGCCAGTCTTCTCGATGTTCCTCACGGACTACGATAGTATCTTTGGTGATACTGAGTCGAACTCTACCAACCCTACGGAACTGACGGTTGAAAGCAACCTCTCGCCCGATGATATTCGTTCCCCACGTCATCAAATGTTCTCAGATCTCCCTACCCCTTCGTACCAGCAGACTTCGTTCCGAACCACTGGTGATGGGAACGGTCCTTCTGATGGCCCCAGGACACACTATGACACTGGTTTCACCCCAATGCAACCTAGCTATGACCAACCGACGTCCAGACATGAGCAGTACAACCAACCCCCGGGTGCCGGCGCTCCGTATTCTTCTTTGAATGGCATGTTGGGTCCTAGCTCGGACGACAATCGCTCGGCAAAGTCGAAGCGACGAGAGAGTTCAATGCTCTTTATGGATGGTAAGACCCAAACACCAGAAGATTTTCGCAGCCTTTACTAATATATTCCAGATCCTTCCTTCTACCAGGGCAATTGAATTATGATTCGCTTCTCACTGGTCTTTTCTTTTTCCACGCCCTTCTGATTCCAGACTGCTCCAGTGGTCATGCCGCTCTTGTCCGGAAAGATTACGACTTGCACGACCGCAGAATGATGACTTAACCCACTTGGCAATCTCAGCCATCGAAGTCGCGAGGGAATGTTTAATGATAATGGTAACCAAGATGCGGTTGCACACCAAATTTGATGGGCTGTCCATCTTGGAGTTGAGAGTTCCCATGCTATGGTCAGCAATTTTGACCGTCGTTATACCCCTTCTTTTCTTTGTTTCTTTCCCTTCTTTTTTACCTTATTCTTCACCTTATTCTTCACCTTTTATTTCTTTCCCCTCCATATTTCAGCGCTTCCATTGTGTCTCAGTGTCCATATATTAGTATCTGCTCTCATTTATCTGGAAATTTGGTGGTCCACGGTTACGCGATATGGGAGGCTGGGTGGCATACTTTGCCGATTTATTCTTCTTACAATTTACACGATTTGTGATGGCAAAATACAAATTTCATTTCATCTATAATATCAATACCCGTAGTCTAATTCAGAATCGTCGTGTACTTTCTCCTCTCCAGAGACCCATGAGTTCGCCAGTTTCCCTCGTCCAATCTCGGACACCATCCACCAAGGCCTTGGCCATTCCCTTGTTCTTGGACTTGCCATCGGAGGGACCTAGACCAGTGGGTTTGCGATCCCCGGTGACGTACTCAGAGCCCATGCTTGGCAACACATTTTCCCCCGCGCTCAGACTAACAAACAGAGCGAATGGAACGAGCCAAACACACAGACCAAAGTATGAAGCCACTTCAGAGAAGGATGGCATCTCCGCGTAATTGACTCCATATGGTTGACGCCAGTTGTTCGACGGAGGCAAGGGCTTCGAGAAATGGCGGAACCATAGCCAGTGGTTGAGACCAACTAGAAGGCAGGAAAGGAGGAAAAGAGGATCGGATAGTTTCACAATCGGGAATCGGCGCAGGTTGCTGGCGTATACCATGTGCGAAGCAATGGTCAACACAGATAGTGACACAGGGAATCGGTCAATCAGCATAAGCAGAACTTGTATCGCGATGATGCCGTAGATCAGACGTGTCAACACACGGCGGGCAAGGACCGTGTGTTCTTCCACAAGCTCAGATAGATAGTAGAGTCCCGAAGCTTGAGTTCCAATGAAGTCAGCTTTCCATTGTACTTAAGATTGCATGTCGCTGCATACCTATAGCCAAGGTGAGAAAGGCGAACCCGACAACCACCCCGAGATATCCGACTAGCGGTAGAATCCACATGACGCCCAATGAATAAGAGCTGTCGAACTGTAGCAGTGGTGAAAAGTAATGCAGGAGGCAAGCCTCGGAGAAATAGATTCGAGATGCAATCGGAGAAACGTGGACGTTTTGGGGTACGGATGCCTCAGGCATCACCACCAAAAATAATTTATTGATTTTCTAAACTTCCAATTTACCCAACTTGCACATTCAATACCACACACCATGTCGCGCCCTGAAGATATCCTGTATGACTGTCTGACCCTATTCCACAGATCTTGAAAACAAAACTAATCCCACTCGAAACCTCCAGCCCACCGGACTTGTTCTACAATGACAATGAATCGAAAAAGTATACGAAATCCTCGCGAATTCGCAACATCCAAGCCAGCATGACCAGTCGCGCACTGGAACTCCTCGACCTAAAATCCCCATCCTTCATCCTCGATCTCGGCTGTGGCTCCGGTCTCTCCGGCGAAATGCTATCGGAAGTCGAGCCCGAAGACGGCGGCCCGCACACATGGATCGGAATGGATATTTCACCCAGCATGTTGGACGTGGCTTTACAACGAGATGTGGAAGGCGATCTATTCCTCGCGGATATCGGACAAGGCGTGCCATTCCGACCGGGTACATTCGACGCCGCGATCAGTATCAGTGCGATCCAGTGGCTGTGCAATGCGGAATCCAGCGATGTCAGTCCTGAAGGTCGTTTGCGACGCTTCTTCGAAGGTCTGTATGCCAGTCTTCGTCGGGGTGGACGTGCGGTTTGCCAGTTCTATCCCAAGAACGATGTCCAGCGGAGTATGATCAGTGGGGCTGCAATCAAAGCGGGCTTTGGTGCGGGTATCCTTGAAGATGACCCCGGCACTAAGAGTAGCAAGTTGTATCTCGTTTTGACTGTTGGTGGTGGTGGTCTGACTGGTGATATTACTGGTGTTGTGAACGGTATGGATGATGTCAGTGTCTTGGATGCTAGACGGAAGGCTACGGAGATCAATAATGCTCGTGGGCCACCGAGGAAGGGAGATAAGGCTTGGATTCTGAACAAGAAGGAGCAGATGGCGAAGAAGGGTAAGGTCGTCAAGGCTACCTCCAGATACACTGGTCGCAAACGACGAATCGCTTTCTGATTGAGCTGCTTTGTTTATGCCGTTCGTCTTTGGATTCAATCAAAAGAGAAGGAGAAAAAGGAGAAAAAAGCCTGGGAAAGGGTGTTCAAGTCATTCCCCTTCAAGTATATAACCCATCCTGTCTATGTATGCGCATTTCCTTGGGCGTTATCCAAATGCCTGAATCGGAATTTGTTCACATAGTCTTGTCGAGGGATGCTCATGTGGGCCACTTACAATTTCGACTTAGGTCAAGTTGGTCGATTGTGTGTCTGCTTGAGGCCTCGCAACAGGTTGGAGGTTGAAGCTCTTTACCTGGGCACCGTGATATGAAGTTGGCCCTTTGAAGATTGGCCTTCTTTGATGTTTATACCCAAATATTAATGCAATGAATGTCCACGTTATGATCACAAAAGAAAAAGTGTCTATTGCTATAATTTGCCGGGGAACGTTTCGAGCTAAATTGAAAGGAAGATAATACATCAAATGAGGACCACACCAACCAATTCATGGTGTGCAAGACACATTCCAAGGATCAGCAGGCAGCAACCTCAATCGTAGCGGTAGGTATATTGGAGTGCGGAGGATTCCAAAATTTACAGAGACGCCTCCATCTTGTCCAAAACAGCCCGGGTGAACTCGTGAGTGGTAGCCTGACCACCCATATCGCGGGTCAAAATGCGGCTAAAACAAAGTTAGCTTGGTCATCTTTCACAAATGGTATTAATTCACTCACCCTTCACCGATAACATCGTAGACAGCCTTGGAAATGCGGTTGGCGTGATCATCGAGACCAAGGTGACGCAGGAGCATGGAGCCAGACAGAATCATAGCACTGGGGTTGGCCTGGTCCTTGCCCTTGATGTCAAGACCGACGTGACGGCAACCAGGCTCGAAGACAGCAACGTCACGGCCCATGTTGCAACCGGGGACAACACCGGGTCCACCAACGAGGGCAGCACCGACGTTGGACAGAATACCACCGTAAAGGTTAGGCATGACCATAACGTCGAACTGCTGGGGACGGGACACAGCCTGCATGGAAGCGTTGTCGACAATCATGTCCTCCACCTCCAGGGTGGGGTACTCCTCGGCGACCTTGTGGAATGTGCTGCGGAAGAGACCATCGGCCAACTTCATGATGTTGGCCTTGTGAATGCAGGTAACCTTCTTGCGGTTGTTGGCAAGAGCGAAGCTGAAAGCGAATCGGGCGATACGCTCGGACTTGGCGCGGGTAATGATCTTCAGGGACTCGACAACACCGTTGACGGACTGGTGCTCGAGACCGGAGTACTCTCCCTCGGTGTTCTCACGGATGATGCAGAGGTCGACATTCTTGTGGCGAGTCTCGTAACCGGGGATGTTCTTGATCAGAGAGATGGAGGCGTAGATGTCCAGCTCCTGACGCAGGGCAACGTTGAAGGACTGGTGGCCTGAGCGCTCAACGGGGGTGTGGAGGATACCCTTCAGACCGAGCTTGTTGCGCTTGAGGGAGGCCAGAGACTCGCGGAAAAGCTCCTCGGAGTGCTTGTTACCGGCGTCAACACCGCTAACATCGACCTGCTCCCACTCAATGGGGACGTTGTCGGCCTTGAAGATGGTCTTGACCGATTCGGCGACCTCAGCACCGATACCGTCACCTTGTCGAGTGTTAGTCCAGAGTATGCGCAATTTCAAGCAGAGAAGGCGCAGAATATGTGAGGCATACCAGGAATGAGGGTCACGGTGTACTTGCCACCGTACTTGGTGGGCTTGAAGAGATCGGACTGAATGCTGGCGAAGGCTGCGCAAATTGGGTTAGCGGGAATTTCGAGACACGTCAGAAAAGATCAATGGCGTACTTCTGGCGGGAACAGAGCGACCGAGAGAGGAAGCTCCGGAAGCGCTGCGGAGCAAAGTCTATAGAGCAGAGGTTAGCGAAAGCGCCCAGCTGGCTTGAAAAGGACTGTCGCGGAAAAGCGGAAACAAGGAAAAAGCAAAAAATGTGAGCTTACCCGAGCAGGCTGTGCCGTTCTGGAGAACATTTTCAATTGATTAAGAGTTTAAACAAAGAAATTGGGACAGAATCACGAATCACCAAATTCGAGGGGGTTGGAAAAGGGAACAGTGAAAACGGGAAAAAAAGCCTCCGGATGGGCTCGGCATCGATGTGGTTAGCGCCGGCCCGATCTTATCTGAATGGATACAACTACAATGAAACAATGAAATATAAAAACTCTACATCCTTATTCATTTATTCCTTCGAAGTTCAATTTCTTTCGTCAATTCTTATTCATATCTTCTTCCGGTCCTCGACCTTCGTCAACCCTAAGCTCAGTGGTCAACTTGAACAAAAGATATATCTACATGACCTGAACTAATATACTCTAGCTCAACTAACTTGACTTACTAGTCTATTTCTCTGTCAAAGCATTCGAGGTCATGGCTTGCCCTAGACCCTCTCAACACGAGACATCAGTTCATTATTGGATTGGCAGGTGGACATCGGTCAATAAGGACCCTATTCAGAACGGGGAACCTCGAACAGTACCTCTATTCGGGGTGATGACGATCGACAAAGAATTCTATTCAGAATCATGCCTCTATTCAGAGTAACTAGGACCTTCGAACTCACGCCCAACATGTTCTTCCCAATAACGGGACTATTATTGAACCAGCGATGATACCTAATCTTCATGGATATATAAATCTCATTGCAGTTCGTCTTCTCCGATTCTTTTCCCCAGACATCTCCATCATCGAGCTTTCTCAATATCTCTCTCTCTCCAAACCAATCCTCCAATTCCAAAACCATCAAGATGAAGGCCACCTCCGTCGTCCTCGCTGTTCTCGCCGCTGGCTCCGTCCAGGCCGCCGCTGTTGCCTCTCCCCAGACTCTCCCCAAGTGGTGTGGCCACATCGGCCAGGGCTGTAAGCGAACTGCCGAAGCCTCCGTCGATGTCAAGCGCTCGGCAGATGCCCTCGCCGAGGCCATGGCCCGAAACTTGCCCTTGGTCCTTCAGAAGTGGTGCGGCCACATTGGCCAAGGTTGCTACAAGGCCAAGCGTGCCGCTGATGCCGCCGATGAGGTCAAGCGTACCAGCGACGCTCTCGCTCATGCCATGGCTGCTCTCGAGGAAGAAGATGATGAGTAAAGGTACAGTTTCATCTATCCTATATGTGGAATCAATCGGCTGACTTTTCCCAGTGTCTCCTTTACTTTAAGTTTCGTGATGCTGTATGTATCAATAGAGATTTTTCGATAACTCTCTTTTTGATTACTGGCACACTATCGACTACTTTTTCGATATGCAAGCTCTCAGGGATGCCCGGTTGGCGTGTGATGGATGCGTTATGAAAATGTCAATGGCGAACACTCCTTTATCTTCACCGTTGGACATGGCATTGATTTCTGGTAAATCAATATTTGATTTTTGGGGTGACGGATCGTTTCTTGAAGAAATATGTATCTAGAATCAAAGAATTCCATCCCCTTTTGACACAACACTTCTGTTCAGAATCCCAAAAACAAGATGTTCAGGGCAGGCCAGGCCACTAACTATATATATCTTAGCTCAGGAGGGGGCTTCAGAATCTAGTTGGGATATATTCGGGCAACTACCTACTAGTAGACAACTAGCTACAATGAGAGAAGGCGGGGTTAAAAACCCCTCCTATCCATGTATTCCGTGGGATCTGCCAGTGACTATTGAACTCCAAGAGTTCAGTCACCAACTTATCAGGACTCGCACGAGAACTGGGAGTTTGATTTGTATTCGGACCTTCGAAGGCCTCAACAACTTGGTGTTGATGTCTTTCGAGGACCACCCTCTGCGCTGGCTCAGTGGGCTACGGTGAGACAGGGAGGATTGGAGAGAGGAAGAAGAGAAGAGAAAGAAAGGTGGGAGGAGTCCTTTTATAGTCTCACGTACCTTCCTAAAATGGATGGGTCCTTTGCTCTTGCCATTCTTATTTTCAGGGTCAAATGTTTCTGCCAGCCAACCTCAGAGTGTCAAAGTAGAACTATCATTTGTTTCAATATTGTGTCTATAGCAAGCCAGGATATGGTTATTGTGATCTTTGATTTGATTCAATATTTCGTGCTATCATAAACCTACTCAGGATCCACACTATAGACATCCTAGCTAACAAAGACTACAGCTTCCACTCGAAGAGAATGCATTCACCCAAAGGGATAGTTAACCAGGTAAAGGGGCAGGAAGAACAATGATAGGAAAATATGTACAAATGGAATTCGTTTCAATAGATCTATTTATGACAGAACTAATGGTGGTATACACCACAGCTAGGGTAGTATCGTCCCATCTCTTGAAATGCGCCATATTGTGATTCCATTGGAGCAGCTCTGGTCATCTCCCACCATTGCTGGCCTTGATACACCGGGTCCTTTGAGGGAACATAGGATTCACCAGTGGTGGGTTCTTTAGGTAGATGAGGAGCTTGGTTGGCAGCATTCTCGTAGCCAGATACCATGTACGGTTCAGCATCGGTATAGACATTTCCATCCCCACTGTAGTCCATAGCAGAATCATGCATAGCAAAGTCCGGAGCAGGGGCACTGACTTCAGTTCCAAACTGCGAGTACAGCTGCCATGTTTGGATCAGTCGTTCTCTCTGCTCTGCATCGGCGTTTTCAAAGAGAGCTAGCTGATCCTGGGTAAGGGTGTTTGGATCAAGGCCGTGATGCCTCAGAATATCGATGCTTGAGGGTTGATCTGTGTGCTGGGCGATTCTGTGGGCCGAGTGATGGTAGTGTTGGGTAATGCTGTATGCGATTTCTGGCGATGGTGGCAGGACGGTTTCTCTAGGGGCGGGATGCAGTTGTGTCATACTCATTTGTCTGTCAAACAGAGCGGAAAGTTCGTCCTGCACTTTCGAGTCGCTTTCCGAAGCAGACATGCCGCACTATATATATATACACCTGGTCAGGTTCTTGGCGTAGTAATATGAATGAGCATAGTCTACCTGTTTACAGTGAGGGTTCTCGATAAAGGCTGCAAGTGCATTTGAGATATCGGAGACATGCCCGCAGTGCGGGCACTGATGTAGTATGGAGGAAGACATGGCGGGGTGGATTTCTGTCTAGCTGAACAATATCCGAGTGAATGGGAGAATGTCGAAACTGTGAGTGAATGTTTGTTCCTTGTAAAACTGAATGTTAGAAAGAGTTTGCGTTTATGTTTTTTTATTTAGGCCGAGGGGGAAGATGCCCAAGTGCTTGTTCGGTTGGGCTGCAGTCCGAGGGGCCACTAGGAGATGATCATGCTATACTGCATATTATGTCTATAATATACCCAGAATGAGCCCATAATATGTCCATTATATGTACTATACACAATACTATAAGATACTCAATAGTACTTTCAAAGCTCATAGAGAAGACATACAAACCAAAGTACCAATTAGGTATCTCGCGGTCATGTGACTAGAAGCTCTGCCAGGCAACCCCGTGACGCGACAGCGTCACTGCTTAGTGCCTAGGAACCTCCGTTATCATCCCCAGAGCTTCCAACCTCACCCTACCTATCAATAGTCACCCTCCAACCCGGCCATTCTCTTTTCTTATCTGTCCAATATACAGATTAACCCTTTCGGCCTACCTACGGTGACGTCTGTTATTCTTGAATCTCACCGCATCGCATCACCAAAATCATGGTCAGTCAGCTTCGGATCTACACAATGTGCTATCTTGTATCCCAATCAAGCTAACAGAGTGATTATTCAGACGTCAATCGGCACAGGGTACGATCTTTCCAACTCGGTGTTCTCGCCAGACGGCCGGAATTTCCAGGTAAACCAAACACAATCCAGCTCGTGAACGAGCCACAGAACCCAGCTTCACGTTGCTGACCATACCAACTAGGTCGAATATGCCGTCAAGGCAGTCGAGAACGGAGGCACGGCTGTCGGAATCAGATGCAAGGATGGTGTAGTGTTGGCAGTTGAGAAGATCATCACTAGCAAGCTCCTAAAGCCAGGCGCGAACAAGAGAATCGCGACAGTCGATCGTCATGTCGGAATTGTGAGATCCCTTCTATCCATACCGCCTCTTCCCAACATATTGCGTTTTACATCGAAACCGTGCTGCCAGGAAGGCTTTGGAACACCCCGTTGTTAATCAGCTTCTTTCTACCCAGGTATCCGCTGGACTCGTCCCCGACGGTCGCCACTTCGTTTCCAGAGCTAGAGATGAGGCTTCCTCCTGGAGAAGCACATACAAAGGTCCCATTCCGACCTCTGCGCTTGCCAATCGCTTGGGTGGCTATGTGCAGGCCTACACGCTCTACTCCAGCGTACGGCCCTTTGGTGTAACTGCTATTGTTGGTGGATGGGATACCGAGGCGGAGCTTCCAGTTGATGGACAGGTCGGTTCTGGACCCAAGTCCGGCTCCGGTGGAAAGGTCGAGGGTGCCAAGGCCGGAGGTCCTGGCCTATACATGATTGAGCCTAGTGGACTGTATTGGGTATGTTGAGAATTCTGTGATGTGGTTGAATATGCTGACAGGAATTGGTAGGGATACTACGGTGCTGCTACTGGCAAAGGACGACAGGCTGCCAAAGCTGAACTCGAGAAACTGGACCTGACCTCGGGTACTCTGTCTTTGGCAGATGGTGTGAAGGAAGCTGCCCGTATTATCTATGTTGCCCATGAGGACAGCAAGGATAAGGACTTCGAGCTCGAGATGACGTGGATCAGCTCAGTTGATGGACCCACCAAGGGTCGCCATGAGGAAGTTCCCAAGGAGCTCCTTGAGGAAGCAGAGAAAGCAGCAAAGCGCTCCCTGGAAGGGGAGGATGAAGAAGAGGAGGACAAGGGTCAAGGCGAACAGATGGAAGAGTGAATATGTAATAGATTATGCTCCCAAAGAATTATGGTTCTGTGAAGGTGTTTCCTTTCTCCCAAAACAATCTACCGTCCAACTTGTTTCCAAAATTCAAATATGTAGGGTTTCCACCGTAGCCCTCAAAGATACAACCATCTATCGCAATTACAAAATTTTGCCCTCAGCCCACTCCTTCCTCTTCAATCCCAACTCCACGGCAGCACTGCCCCAGTCCTCGCCATGGTTGTGCATACCGCTATTCCCAAGACCAGCCCGCTCTAATCCCTGCTGCTCTGTCAAAACAGTAAGCAATCCAAAGATAACAGGGACACCGGAATCAAGCTGGACACGCATGAGCCCGTGGCTGACGGCGTCAGCGATATATTCAAAGTGCATAGTAGCGCCCTTAATGAGGACACCAATGGCGATAATAGCATCGAAAGGCTTCTTGGAGCTTGTAGACCCGGCCGAGCCGGACACTTCGGTAGTGGGCGATGCCAGGAGGTCGGTGGCGCTGATGCCCTCGCCGGAGGAGTTAGCCTGGAGCTGGGAGGCGGCGTAGAGACTGTGAAATGTTAGTTAAAGCTATATAGTAGCTGTAGTAGCTATATAGGAGATTATGCCTACCGTTGCACTGCGAGGGGCAGCTCGTAGCTGCCGGGAACTGTCTGGACTGTGATGTTGTCCTCTGTCACGCCGGCTGCCAGGAGGGTCTTCTTTGCACCTGCTACCAGTTGGTCAATGATGACTGTGTTCCATCTGGCGTGCACGATCGCAACGCGGAGTCCAGAGCCTATTGTCAAATTGGTATTAGCGGGGGAGTTTTGCCGAGGGTTGATTTGCTTTTACCATCGTGGGTCTGAGCAGCGCCGGGGCCTTTGATAGTAGTCATTTTGTTTGGGATTGTTATTTCAAAGGAAGAAGAAAGAAGGTGTTGTTGGGGATTGTGTAGAATTGAGCTTGACTAATGTTTATGAATCAGAAGTGCTTGAGGGGCGAAATCCCTCGGTCCCGCATTTGGCGGGGAATGTTAACGAACACGGCAATTAAGCGCAATTAGCCCAATGGAATGATTTTACAGTCAATCGAGTACAAATCACATAGAACGAATGAATTCTTTATGGTAAATTATAGGTGATAAAAAAACAAACGAGATTCCATTGTCTCGAAGCTGAAAACACCTAAAGATAAAAAGATGACCGGATCATAAGAATCGTCTAACCTTGCCCTAAAGAAACATTTACTCGACAGTGACCGACTTGGCCAGGTTACGAGGGAAATCGACATTCAGTCCCTCGCCAACGGCAAGCCAGTAAGAGATCAGCTGCAATGGGATAACATTGAGCAGACCCTGAAGGCAGTCAACAGTCTTGGGCACGCTGATCTTCTCGGTCAGGGCGGATGAGAACTCGGGGTCATCGTTGTTGCAGATGACAATGGGGCGACCGCCACGGGCAATAACTTGTTGGTAGGCGTTCAAGGACTTGGTGAACAGGTTGTCCCGAGTGAGAATCATGATAATGGGAAGGTTCTCGTCAACAAGAGCCAAAACACCGTGCTTCAATTCACCAGACATAACAGCTTCGCAGTGGAGGTATGAGATTTCCTTGATCTTCAGGGCACCCTCGAGGGCAGTGGGGAATTGAGCACCACGGCCCAACAGCAGCAAGCTCTTCTGGTTCTTGAAGGACTGGGCACACAGCTCCTTGATCGGGTCGTTGAGCTTCAAAATCTGCTTGAACTGCTCGGAGATCTGTCCAAGACCCTCCATGATCTCCTCGCGTCTCTCCTGCTTAGAGGCACGGTCTTCACTCAGCGACAAAGCGAACATGACCATAGCCACGAACTGAGAGGTGTATGCCTTGGTAGAGGCAACACCGATCTCGGGACCAGCGTTAATGTGGACACCGCAGTGGGTGAGGAGAGAGATGGAAGATCCGACAACGTTAACACAACCAACGGTCAGGGCGCCACGTTCCAGACAGTAGCGAAGAGCCATCAGGGAGTCAGCGGTCTCTCCAGACTGAGAGACAAACACGCAGGTATCATCACGGAACACTGGGGCTTGTCGGTCAAGGAAGTCAGAGGCGAGCTCGACTGCGATAGGGATCTCAGTAAGCTCTTCGAAGATACCACGCACAGCCATGCACGAGTGGTAACTGGTACCACAGGCAATGAAGATGATTCGTCGGCAGCGACGAATAGTCGAGATGTATTGACGGAGACCACCGAGGGTGACCTTCTTGTTGGTCACATCCAGACGACCTCTCATAGTGTTGACGACAGACTCGGGCTGCTCGAAGATTTCCTTCTGCATGAAGTGATCGAACTTGCCCTTCATGATCTCCTGCAACTCAAGTTCAATGGTCTGGATGGCACGGACGTTGGAGGTGCCATCATCCTTAGTCAGACGGTGAATGTTGAGCTGTCCCTCGTGAATGTGAGCGATATCATCATCCTCAAGGTAGAGGACCTTCTTGGTGTGCTCCACAATAGCAGATGGGTCAGAAGAGAGGAAGAACTCGACGGGCTGGGGGATGCCATCGTCAGAGAGGAAAGCCCGAGACTGGGAGCGGTGCAACAACGACTTGTCAGGAGGAGCAAGGAGGCTTGTGGCAGACTTCTTGGCAGCCGCATTCTGGGAGGCCTGCTCCGCGGAAAGGACACCATCTTCGGAATATTCAACATCGACGAAATCCACCTTCATCTTCTTGGAGGTCTTCACACCGATGACCAGGGGCGAACCCTTACGGGCAGCAATAACTTCATGGGGGTAGTGAACAGACTTGAGCAGCAAACCAAAGGCACCCTCAAGCTCTTTGATGACTGCCTTGGCCAGGACTGTGAATTCGATGTCGGGGTGTTGGTCGTAGAGGTACTTGGCGAGCTTGGCAATGCACTCGGTATCGGTCTCGGTCTCGAAACGGAAGCCCTTGCTCTCCAGCAGAGCCTTCAATTCCTTATAGTTGGTGATGATACCGTTGTGGACCACGGAGAACTCCCAGTTAGGAT